CAGGCCGTTTAGCCCCCCGTCATGTTTGCGCTTTGCTGACAAGAGGCTCGTCAATGGAGTCTGGCAAGGTGCCCACAAAAACCTGGCGGGACACGAAGCAGGGTCTTCACTGCAAGACAGAGGAGTGCAAGACCTACGAGCAGACTGTGCGCAGGCATGTGCAGCTGCCTTCTTTGGGCCAGTGTCTATGGGCATCTTTGCCGCTGGCTGCATGGAGCCGGCGCCGAACATGCCCTGCAGCAATCGAACTGCCAGAGTAGTCTAACGGCGCAAGCAAAAGGCCACAGCATTGTCAGTCGAATTGTCAATTGTGAGGGCCTGGTTCCGCGCCAGTGTTACCTGACAGGGAATCGCTGTTGTGCGTGGACGAGGAAAAAGTACAGCAAAAACGAACCGCGGCAGAAGTGCAGCTCTGGCCTCGCATGGTCTCGTGGACCCTTCGAACTGCAGCCTGCCGTTGGAAACCTCCTGAGCAAGGATACGTGCAAAACGTTGCATTCGACAGGACCGTTCCCTGAATGTTTGCCGAAATGTTTGCCGATACCCCTCCTGGGCATGCGCCGCGGCATTGGGCGAATCGAAGGTCACAAACGCCCATTGTCGGCCCGGTTCACAGCCAGGCTTTAGGAAGAGATCCTGACAGCAGAGAGGCTCTCACCCTCTTTCTGCTTTAGTGCGACGTAGTGCGACACTCCTCGATGGCGCCATACTTCGAGAACTCGAGTCTCAGGACCTCCTCCTGATGTGCAGACTCGTGTGAATAGCTCAACCGACACCCTCAGCGAAACCTTTCCTGCACCGTTCTTGATGTGCGTGATGGCCTTCAGTTAAAGCTAGCAGCTAGCTGTAGCGGCCATGCAAAGCAAAGTCCTGGATTCCATCCGGGAGAGATCCCACAAAGATCTTCCGTGGAGCCTGGGATGCAGAATAGAATGAGACTAACGGTAAATCAAGGGCGTCAAAAGAATTCTACTTATTGCGGCACTGCTATGTTGCCGCTGTATGCCCCGAGTCCTTGAGCCTATACAGCCTGCACAGCTTTGGCAGATCTCGATCCGGCACGTGCATCGCTTGCTTCCATGGAGCGGAAGGGCTCACATCAGCGACCCCCGCGCTGCCTGCATTAAGCACGCATCATGTCATGTCGTCGACGAAATGCGGGATCAGATTCGGCCTTGGTTCTTAGCCAGCATCACGTCGCATGCACCTCAGCTCGGCGTGGCCCAATCCAGAAAGGAGTGTCAGCACGAAACCTGAACGTGCCATTATGTGCCAAGGGGCGGTCTGCACCTGGTAATCTCAACTGCCGGTCGCAGGCTTCCTTTGCGCTAGCGGCCGCATCCGGCGAAGCAAAGGTGACAAAGGCCTTGTGCTGCACTGCTGGGATGAGCTGGGCATGTCTCACTCTGTATGCTGTTGATACTACCATCCTTGCACCCAAGAGGGCCCAAGACTCTGTCACGCTCTGTGTTCTGAGACCGGCACCCATTGCTTACCTATAGGGCAGCCTTCCTCCCAGAAAGAAGCACGGACCACAGAGTTCATGACATGTCATGATAGTTCACTTGTGACGCAGGGACTGCCCGAGTCCTTGATGAATATCTCCTCGATCTGTCCAAACCGGTCGAACTCCGATCTGAGCAGATCTTGAGTGATTCCGGATGGAAGCGAGCCAACAAAGATCTTCCGGGCCATCTCTCGCGCCCCGGCTCCCACTTGAGCACTAATGGCGACATCTGAAGGAAAAGGGAAAACTTGCATCCTTGGCCGACAAAGTAGATATTACTAGCGCTAGACCCTGTGATCACATCATGAACAACCACAAAACTTTTAAGCTTCTGATAAACTTCGCCAACATGCCGCCAACCGTCCGGCCTCACCCATTGTAGGCCAGGACTGTCTCCGAGCCTCCGGTCCCGAAGAGCCTCGTTTCCAGTCTCAAGTACCAACAACTGCCGAATGATTCAGGATTTTTCCCCACTGAGGTGCCGGCAGAGCTGCCACATCAGATGAGGTCCCAGGCAATGGACTTAAAGGAAGTTCATGTGCAATCTACGCCAAGCGACTTCAGGTAAGCTTGAGCCGAATCATCCGAAACGCCAGACTGCTTCCCCCATGCATGCGTCTGCAAACAGGAGCAAACATGGAGGGGCGTCCATCTGTTGTGCCTTCTCGGTCTCGCCCTCGACTCCCCAGGTGTCGCGACACTGAACATTTGCATGGTTGTTGCATGGACAGGTTGCCTTCGATGCGCCTGTAGGGACCTCACGTGCACAGTCGTAAACATATGTAATTCTGCTTCAACAGCTATAATATCAAATCAGATTCTTTACTAAACATCCTGGATGAGGTTTGGCTTTGGCCGGGCCTCAGAAATGCTCAGCAGCACCTGCGCTGCCGCACGCCTCGCCTGTGAGCAGGGATGCTTCTCAACTACCATCTAGGCATGAAATCCAGATGACGGGATTTACATGTGACATGTGAATCCGGAGGGCCTCGCTGGTTCCAAGTGCCACAGTCTGTGTCACTGCAGCCAAGGCTGAAGTGCCCAAGCCCCCTCAAAATTCGACGAGTATCAGAAGAGTTCCGTGGGCTCAAGTCCATCAGGCCCCGGCCAGAAAGAGCCATAAAGCAAAAAGCTTTGCTTGCCTAGGAGAGGCAGATGTAAAGACTAGTGAAGCATCACCGGCAACGAAAACGAGCTTTGCCCCTTCTGCAGCAAGCTTGTATCCCTCAAACTCGGACATTCACCACGGACGAGACTGAGAGAGTAAAGGCCGACAAAGCGCCATGCCGTGCACAAATCCAGTAGACCGCGCACACGCGCAGGCACACGCGCACGCACACGCGCAAGCACGCGCGCAGAGACACGACAGACTGCTCCGGAACTGCCGAAGTAGCACAGCTCAGATGATGCCGAGCTGAAGCCAGTCTACCGCTCAAGCCACACTGCAAAACTTTGCACGTGACAATTCCCCTCCTGTGTCAGTGGAGCTCCTGTCTGATTGACACTTGCAAATGACAGTGCCCGTCGTCATCTCTTTCAGGAACTGTTTAAGGAGCTTCTGGCATAGCTAGGAAGCAAGAAGGTGAAGAAGAGTTCGACTTTTAATAACAGGGCGCGCATGAGATACCTGCAGGCCAATGAGGACACACTTTTCACAGCGGGAACCAGAATTTGGGGGAAGGAGATGGGGAAAAAAAGCCTACGAAGATGGCTGCCACACAAATGTCATCATGCTGAGCTGACTTGGCTGTGGCTTGGCTGCTCCGGTCACTGGCAGTGTGCCTCTTTCTCGCTGCGAGAGCCATCTCACGGATTGGAGCGGAGCTGCGCATTTCGTGCGAAGCTACGCGAAGCTGCGCGAGGCGCAGTCTTATGTCGGGCTCCAACCCTTGTTGGTGCCCTGATGGTGCCTCCTGGTGCCTCCTGCATCCAGCAGTGCTGACCACTCCCAAGCTTATCACTAAATAGGTCACCACTAAGTAGCAACGTGACGCTGAGACCGTTGGAGCTCGTTTGTCTCGTATGTCAGGGGGACCAAAAGGAAGAGAAAGCACGAAGCACCGAGACTGGGCACAGGTCAGGAAGGCTGTAACAAGGTGTAGAAGAAGCCCCTGGGTAACTCAGGTCCTGAGGTTTCTAAATTTAAAGGGCTCAAAAGAGTTCAGCCCTTGATCCCATGGCCCCATGGCCCTGGCACGGGCCTTCAGAGCTCAGCTCTGCGGCTACCGGGATTTGGAAGTCACTGCGGGTCTTCGCAAGTCTTCCGATCTGGAAAAATACATCTGGTGCACCAGGTCGAAACATGTCGAAACCATCTGAATCGGCAAAGCACAGAACGCTGGGATGCGGATGCTTTCTGAATGATTTCTAACACTTCAGCTACCTGAGCTCCCTCAAGTCGCACGACCCTCACTCCACCTGCGCTGCAGGTTCACCAGTCCTTCATGATCTTTTTCCTGAGGTTAGTCGATGCAGCAGCAATGGCTTCGCATTGTGAATCTCAACTGCACTCCTGCCTACATGTTCGTATTCGTCAACCCTTGAACACCTTAAGGCTACGCTTGTGCTATCTCGTGTTTGCATGCCTGGATGTCATGTGAGCCCGTGGGCCCAACTTAGAAAACTGCGTCGTGGTTCCTGGCCGAGTCACAGCTGCTCAACTGTGACCCAGGTGATAACGACCTCGCGGTTTGCTCAAAGAAGTGCAGTCAAAGCTGCTGTTGAACACCTAGGAAACCCAGACTTCGCAAACTTGACCGAGCTGCGTAAGGGCATTGTCGGGCAAAAGTGGCTGGGAAGCCCTTGTATAGGGCCAGTGGCCCCTCCTGCAACAAGATGATGGAGGGCATCGTAACCGAAGAGGAGTCACAAGTGCTACAAAAACCGTTCTTGTTTGCGGGAGGCCTGTTGCGCTATTGTGCTCATTGTCTGCACTGTACTTCTGTACAGCCTCAATCGCTGGGAGCCGGAAACATCGTTTCCGGAAACAAAAGCAAGAAATGCAAAGGACATCGCAGCATCGCACGCAAAGTCTCGCAAGATCTCGCAAGTATCCGATCCGAGCGACAAGGGCTTGCCCTCTTCTGGTCTTTGGTTCATGAGTCGTGTCTTTGCCACATCGACTGGATTGGACATCACCTTCAGTGATCAAGATGCCCGTTGGGCCATGCAGCATATGAAGCGCATGTCTGACTTGAGAATGAAAGTAGCGAGCGGAGAGTGCGAGATAGACGAGATAGTCTGACCGAGAGTGGAATCAGAACGAAGCGACCACCAGACTAAGAGCGCTCCACGGACTCTATGTCTTGACTCATAAGTCATAATGGCATAAGAATTTAGGAGCATTCGCACCAAGGCTGCCACTGAAGCGATGAAGGCAGCACCAAAACTAGAGGACAAATGAAGCCCAACCTCAGGAGAGCCCAAGCAACAGTGCAAAGCATAAAGTGTGGTGGTTTTTGAATCAGACTCTTGGACAGCAGCAGCCTGACCAGCTGCATAGCATCACGCAAGGCAGACAAGCAAAGTCTAGTCAGTCTACTCGCGGACGGCACCTCAGCAAAACTTGCTTCGATTCGGTGCATTGAGTTGCCCACGCCCTCGGTCATCTTGAACACATCCTTTGCTGCTCGCCGGTTTCAGCTGTTCATATGCCCGCTGAGCTGCAACAGCCCTGCAATTGCTGCCCTGCAATTGCTGCCCCAGCATCAACGAAAACCTCTTTGCAGGTGTCGTATGCCGCCAACTGTCCAACAGTGATGATCGTTGCCTGATGGCCGAACAGGACAAAACAGTAGATAACAGCAGGCTGCTAAGCACAGGCTCCATGGTTTTAGAGCTTGGTTGACGCTGAGATACACGGTTCATGTTGGGCACAACTCCTGTTCGCCACATGGATAGAACTCCTTCTGAACGTGCAATTTTGCCAACCTGAGCGGACACAAGTCTGGCCTGGCAGCCAATTCTCGAGCTCTACAGAATCAAGCGCAATATCAAGCACATTCTAGCATCCGGGGGCTGAGCCGCATCAAAAATGTTCTTGTATCCACGACCTGTTGCAAGGCTGGGCCGAAGCTTGTTCAAGCTCCGCATGGACTGGGAGCTGGGAGCTTATGCCACGTTATGCCTACCGCAGCCATTAGTCAGCACATAACTTTCTACGTGCTGCAGGAATGGGCTGCCGGCGGTCTCCATTCATACACCTAGGGCCCACGCGTTCTGCTGGTGGCAGCTTGCCATCTGCCTGGCTTTCAGCATGCACGCAAAGTTGATGTTTTGGCATACGTCAGCACGCACTGCATAAATCTGTAACCGTCAACCTGACTCGCAATGCACCCAGTGGCGGCACAGTTTAGGGCAGAGGTGTAAGGGCTGCTACATAATTACATTCTCTAGGACTCTAGGCAAGATGGCACAAGGAGGAGCGGAACGAGCGAGAGAGGAAGAGAGAGCGAGAGCGAGAACGAAAGAAAGAGTCAAAAGAAAGAAAGAAAGAAGGGCAACAAACAAAAGACGAAACAAGAGAGAGGGAGAGAGACGGTATGAGACAGTAACCAAAAAGAATCAAGGAGGGCTCGGGTTGAGGGAGAAGAGCGGGAAGCGACAGATAGAGACAAGGAAAGCCAGTTGGCAAGTGCACATGGAGGGAGAATGAAGAGAGATGCACCTGCATGCGCACCATGGCCAAATCGCCCGGATTTCCAGCGAAAGCTCCGGTTGCACCAGCCACAGCAGCACACAGGACCTACGATTTTCCAAGCTGCACAGAGGAAGCAACAGCTGCAGAGCGGGAGCCTTCTCGACTGTGCTGAGTGGTCTCTGGGATTCGCCGCAGAAGCCCTCATTGACACAAAAAACTCAGCTCTTCAGCTTTTTGGCAGATGCGGATGCCTTGAGCATGTCGTACATACCAAATCGGACCTTGAAGGCGACACGGATTCGATCACCAGACAAGCACCAACTGGCTTCGGCCTCGCGTCCCACACGTCCCGCGCCCTTACCCCTTATAGATGCCACGCCACACCGCTGTAGACCTTGATTGGGCATGATGGTATGCACGGAAACTCTGTTGATCACCTCTTGCTGTAAGGGCCGAGAAACCAGTTGCCGAGCTGCCGAAGCATCGACACCTTGCGTCAGTACTTGCCCTTCATGCTGTCTATAGTCACTATACCTGCCCCAGGGCGTGGCCTTTGAAGAGGCCGAGGACACCCTCATTCTTGACAATGTGAGGGCCCATCCTGTTCCGTCACTTGGCCAAGAATTATAGTCACTTCTTGGCGTTGTTATGTTAGCGGGTATTGTGACCAGGGCCTGCTCCAATGCCAGACAAGTCGCTGTAACATACTGAGCTTGGGAACTTCTGTCTGCAGCTGCATCCGGACCTGGGCATGTCACATTGCTGTAGACAGCTCCCACCCTCATCCCGCCCTTGCCACAGAACCCGCAGATGTGGAAGTGAGCTCGTGAAATCTTGTTTCCATGTGAAGTAGGGTACATATTTCTTGTACCCCCAAAAGGACACCAGGTATATACACTCACCAATATTAAAAAGGAACCTTATATACACTCACCAAAAACAGAAATACAAACCCTGCTTCATGTGATATTTACATGTCTCCCACCTTGATCAAGTCCAGAGGATGCGCGCAGGACCCGCCAATCGCCGCGCCGACGGAACCCTGGACGAAGCCCTGGCATTCGCAGATTGCATAAAAGGCCATCCACACTTTGTTCATCTTTGTTCAGTCCGTTGGTTCACAACTTCCTGGCTCCGAAGCGGCCTTCCAGATCTGGGCATTCTTGGACTTAGCTTGCCCAGATGGCGTCCGTGGCAGACGAGCCTCCATTCCCATGTGCGCTTCCTTCAGGTGCACCAGAATCAAAAGCAAGGCCGTAGCTTCCGAGTCTTCCAAAGACTCCAACGAATGACAGCGAACACAGCAAAACCAAGAAGTGAAAATTCGCCCGCCACGCCTGCTTGCCATCCGAGGCCATGTTGCCTGTCAGATTTGAGCTTAGTCCACACACATCGCCTGAACTCATATTCCCCAACCCGACAAAGGTGATGCAACTGGCCTCCACTGGCCCGGCCGGCCGGAGATCGGGAAAACTGTCAACCGCTCGGAACCGAAACTGGCAACGCATAGATGCAGACACTTGACACAGTAAGACATGCTGAGTCGAAGATTGGGACATAACACCCCGCGCCTACTTAGTGAGTAGTACCATGCATCGCTCAGGCTTGGAGCTGCAGCATCTTGGGAGCCTGCCGCTGTGCGTACTTCTGCTACCGGATCATTGAGGCCTCAGGATCGCTAAGTGCTCATGAGAAACTGCTGACTTGCGCGCCACACGGGGGCGAACAAACTGGCTCTTCTTTTGGTGTGAGCGAGTGTGAGCGGTACACGCATCGTTCTCGCTGTCACTTAGCTGCAGGCGGTCCAACAAGCTCTGCACGGCTTTGACAGACAGTTCCTGGTCGAAGCGAGGCAAAGCCGGGCTATGCTGAAATCTGTAGAATTAGTGGGGGAGCGGCGGGGAAGGAGTCGGAGCTGACGTTGGACAAGATCTCGATGGCTGCCAGGCCTTGGAGCGTAACAGTCGCCACTGGCGACCAGGCTCTGCTGCTCTCTGTCAAATAGGAGCCTCACGTATGCCGGAACTGGCATTCGTCAGCTTCTTCATGACCTCACCATCTCTTTGGAGAGTATGCTTCGTGGCTTAAGGCAACTTTGGAAGGGCTCTTGTTCTTGCCCCTTTCAGCTGCAAAGCTATTTTTAAAGTCGCTTGGCGAGCGTGACGGGTGCTGCAAAGCTTTTCCCTCAGGTTACCTGTGTCCTCTTGAGTGGGCGTGCGGGTCTTGGAGTTGTCTAAGTCAAAGCTAGCTTCGAATACGCCGACTACGCCAGGCTGCGAGCCCCGAGAGGGGGGGGGGGGCTAAATCGACGAATTCAGTGGCTTTCGCCTCAATGCCTTGGACCCGAAGGCCTGCCCATCTTGACAATCCAGGCATGACTACTATGATAAGATGCCTTGAAAATCGGTTTTGCCTCGGCCGGAGTTCCAAGGAGCTCGCTTTGAAAATTTCGCGTTTTCCATTATCGTTCACGGATTAAAGACCATCCACCCTAGCATTAAGCCACCCCCCTCCCCGGATGTCCCTCATCGCGACGCTTGCTTGCTTTGCCGCTGCAGCATGGAGCGGCTGTGCAGGGCAGGGCTATGGCTGCGTTGAGCTAAGGAATTTCTTTTGGCAGCAGGACATGTCCAGTCGTCCAGCCTATGAACACATGGGAACAAGCGCTCCAAAATCATGAATCATGACACGGTCTGCACTTTTGTAGCTCGGTGTTCCTCTGGCCTCTGCCGCCTCTGCCAATCAGCTACTCAATCAGCTAAAGTGGCCGGCCAATGTCGCGCAGATGCTGCAGAGCGGCCTTCATGACATGCTCAACGGTTGCGGGGTCGAGCGATGCCAATGCCATCTCTCCTTCGGGCGTTTGGGCTCTGCCCATGGTCATGACTTCCATGAGGGCCTTGGCAGCCAGCGTTCCTCCGGTTCCTCCGGTTCCTCCTTCTGTTGTTTCCGGTGGGGGCACGTTCAAGCAGCCGTTGCTGTAGAGCTCCTCCCACACTTCGGACACAGAGGGGCCTGGGAGGCCTGGGAGACGCTCGAAATCACGCTTCAACGGCTGGGCGTCCACACCAATAAGCCTTACCAAGCACCCCAAAGTCGGGTGCCACACTGGCATCCAACCCAAGGAGCCCTCTTGAGATTCTTGAGACTCTTCACCGCCTCCACAGGGCCGGACACGCATGACGCGCCGCCACTGCTGCGTAGCATCCCACTCGCCCAAATCCACCTGCTGCCCGGGCCGTACGTGAGAAACTACGGCACTCTGCATCCACGGCTGACTTCGAATCGCCACCAGCGGTGAATGTTCAACGACGTGTGGAGACGAAAGCGGTCCGGGCACTTGTGGCTCTGCCTCGGACCGGGCCTCGGACCGGGCCTCCTTGGGCACGGCCTCGGGCGAGGCCTCGGGCGAGGCCTCGGACATGGCCTCGGGCACAGCCTCCTGCGCACGGTCCAAGACCTCAATGTCCTGCGCCTCTTCGGGCGAGCGGCCGGCCTGCCAAGACCAAAGCTCACTTCAGTCCAGAACTAGAAGCCGGATTCTTGCATGCTGGGTTCTCATAAGGAACCTGTGTTTTTTATCCCCCACAATGTGCCGCCCACCGTCCCCCCTTTCCGTTCGTCTTGCATGACCAACGGGGATTTTCGCCACCGCCTATGTCACGGACGATTAGCCGTTTCATGCGGTGCTGTGGGTCTGCTTGCCGCTATACACAATGCGGCGCATGGCGTCTGGAGATCTCTCACACCTTGATGGTTCTCTACTGACTTACCTCCACTCCCGGTGGCCACTCCTGCAAGGTAGGAAGACTATCTGTGTTTTTCGCCCTCAGCCTGGGTTTTTGCTGGTAGTAAGCTTGCGATATTGTAGGTTTTGCAGGCTCGTGGGAGGAGGCTGTCCTTTGATTGAGTGATCCAACGCTGTCCTCGACTGTTCTCTGCGGAGTGGCCCCTTGAGGGGTCAGCCGTATCAGCTTCCACAGCTCTCAAATACATGGGGGGTTGCAGGGTTTCGACTCTCACAACTAGCGCACGCGCAGGCAAGGCTCCAGAGGTTTCAAGTTGGGCTACATCACGACACAGTGGCCATGGAAAGCAAAAGACCAAGAAACGTTCACTGTTGTGATGCTGTCGCTCGGCCGTCAGCCTCGTGTTAGCATATGACAGGACTGGAACAAAGTTGATCATCGATGGTATGCCGGCCCCAACTCATTCAGTCCGTTCGTTTTTTCGGGTTTACTCTCTGACACTCCAAGCCAGGCGAGGCACACACTGTCTCAGAGTCGTGCATGGGAGCCCGTTTGGGCCTATGGTATACCCTACTTCTACTACTCCAAGTACACTCTGGGTGACGCATACTCACGAAAGAACTTGGTGCTATAGGGTTTCTGCAGCGCTATGGATCAGGGTTTCAGTTTTAGGGCGGCATTTCTCTTGGCAGAACCTGAGCGTGGCTCTAGAGCCCTCAAGGCGGAACTCAGGAAGGTTTCAGGGTTCGGGGATTCGGGAGGGGGTGGGACTCTCTACGAATACCAGGAAACCCGGAAAATCCGCAGAAAACCTGCATAAGGCCAACCAGACAACGATTTGAGGGGTGGTAGAGACTAGAAACCCCCCAATCATTCACTAAAACGTTTTCAGGGCCTCCCGCAGGGACCCCTAGCGACCCCCAGGGCAAGGTTCGCGGAATGCGTGGACATAAGCATGGTGCGTCCGTGGCTTGGGAGGCCATGCTTTGCTAAACACCCTGTGGCCTTGACAAGATAGGAAGCATTCGGAGCGGCAGCGCTTCGGCACGTCGGGATCCCTGGTTCTGTTTATCACGGCGCGGGCGGCAAAAACTCACGCAGTGGGTGTTTGGGACCTTTGGTTGGCTCGGGGCATGGAAACATGTCGGATCAGGATTCTCTAGGATTAAAGCAACGCCTTGATGAACCAAGGTTTCTCAGGGAACTGATTTCGGGAATTCGGACCCTCGGCCAAGGTGGCCGACGCGCAGCGTGCACAACTTGCATCAATTAGCTAGGACTGCTATTTGCCAGCCATCGCTACACGTCGCTAGACTGCTGCTCGCTAGATCGCGAGGCTCTGCCCGGACGCCCCACCTGCTTAGCTCCTTCAGCTCCTTCGCATGCTGTTGGAGAACGCTCAGACTCAGCGATTGCCTCTCCCTGCGTCTCTAGCTCTGAGGCACTCCGAGCAGATGCTTGATCGTCCGTGCCGGTCACCAGGTCTCTCGGCTTGTCGAGGTGGCATGCACCAGGCTCACCACCATCACGGGAGACTTGCTCTTCTGGCTCCTTTGGCCCTGGCTCACTCTCATCTGGATTGCTGGCTTGCGACATCACTGCAGGTGCTTCACCCAGCTCAGGAGAATGCCGTCGAGCTATGTGCTCCAACACTTGCGACTGCAACGGCGCTGACAGTGTGGAGATGGCCATGCCTTGCTCCTGGCCATCCACTTTTCGGTCGCCAGAGAACCTCGCACAGGCAGCCAGAGTCTTCTACAAGCTGCCTCGATGCCTGAAAGGCCCTCTGTTATTGAGAAACATACACACACACACACACACATATGAAAGAAACACCTTCATATGTCGGAAGTACAGTACCAGAATCATGATTATGCACGGGTGCGCAACAAAAAGTCAAAAAGTTCTCAACTGGCGCCCTCTGGCAGATCCAGAAGGATCTGAGTCGTCCGGTCTGCCGCCATCTGCCTGGCAGCAGGTTTCCAGCCCGTTTTGCAACATTTCCAGCACACGCAGCCGTGCCGATTGTTGCAATTTCACATGTGCAGGATGCATTGAATTTTGCTATTCTTTTCATACGCATGGCCGGCACAGCCGCGGGATGTGCCAAAGGATTCTCACAAAGACGCGAACCGAAAGGCTGCCATCAGCGTCTTGATGCAGGCACTGCCTTTTTTGTTTTTTTAAATGTGTTTTGCTTCAATGCCAGCGGCATGGCATGCAGGGCTCACAAACGCTACTCAAAGCGAGGCCTTGCCACCATGTCATGATATGAGAGGTGGTTCGGATTGGCAGAGCTCAGCAAGAGCACCGAGACGATCTCCGAGTTTCCCATAGTTGCAGCCTGCCGAGCTTTCCAGATTCTATCCACTTTCGAGCAACAAGCTTGGAAGAGTTACGGTGTGCATTCGGGCATGAGCTTTGAGTGCTTGCAAAGACTGCTCTCCTGGAGCTCCGCATGGAAATCCAAACTTAGAAGTGTTGTGAGATCATGGCTGCCCTGTGTTTCAGGGACTGCCTCCAAACCTCAAACCTGCAGCTGCCACTTCGAGCACGTACAAGCGGTTCTTGCCCGAGCAGTGCAACAACTGGTTGCCGCAAGTGGTTCCTACGAAATCCTGCGGCGATACGCTCTCTGCCGAGCGATGCTGAGCACTTCGAGCCTCGAAGAGCGGTGTCTCCCCAACCTCGTCCTGTGCATTGGGGTCGGCCTTGGATTTGCCGAGTCCAGATTGCACTCTCCCTGCACTTTACGGCCACAAGGCCATAAGGCCATAAGGCTCTAAACCCTCACAGCCCCGGGCCCTGGAAGCGAGCAGTCGGAAGACGTCCTCCAATGGAATCGGCAGTGCATTTCATCGCCCGATGGGTCTGCTGAGTCATGCTGGGTCCACTGCACGAAGCTTGCAAAGCCAGTAAGCTTCCGTCCTCAACGTTGCCTTTCTGGGTCGCTTCCAGCAACTGGCTCGAAAGGGCGCCACTGCCATCTTCGGACATGGTCAATGCGCGTTCCCTGGGAGGAGCCCTGTGCATGTTTACCAATAATTCTACTCGTAAACCATTCAGCTGTCGCTGTTGGTGCATTAAGGCGGGCTCTGACAGAGGGAGCCTGGCTGCATGGTTGGGACGGCTGAACCTCCGCCTTATATGCCTTGTTCGCCGTGCTTTCCCACATCATGAGCTCATGCCCGCATTTCTGAGCACAAAAGTGTGCAGCACCTGTGGGGCACGGCAGCCGACTGACCAAGAACGTCACTGCTACAACTTCGACATTCTACACTGCAGCGGAGGCAGCGAAGCCAAAGTGCCCAGCTCCTGTTGCTGCGTCATGACCTGCAGCATGATGCTTAAAGGCTTGCAGCGGAAGGACCGTGATAGGCGCCTCGGAGATTCCTTTCATTTGGCTTGAGCTTGGAGTTAAAAAAGCTAGAAGAGTTGTTCGTGGATTTCGCTGGTTCAATATTGTACCATGCACCGGATGGCCCAACAAGTTGCTTCAAGTGATCTTATTTCTGGACAGCTCCGATTCAGGCTTTTCAGGGCGAATGATTACATGTAATTTGTGAATGATCTAAGCAGTGGGGCCTTTGCAAACATACCGTCTTTCGCATTTCTCCCAGAGATCAGGGTGCCACGCTGCCACTTTTCACTGTGGCCGTCAGCTGCTCCACTGCCTGCTTCCGCAGCCTGTCAGCATTGCAAATGCCAATTCTGCAAATTCGGAACATGAGTCTCTGTGTGGGGCACGGACATGCAAGCATTCACGCCACGATACGACATGGAATTGCATGTTATGAAGAACAACAACCAAACCTTCCCCCCCTCTGTTTGTAGCCTTTCAAGCGAGTGAGTCAATTCGTGAAAGAAGCGACCAGTGACTTCCCAGGTCATTGCCGCTCGACTGCCCAAGCTCCAACAACGTTGTTGCTCAGCTCAAGCAAATGCGGAGCATCATGGATCTGCTCACACCTCCTCCAAGGGAAGCCCCCTCGGTAAACAGCCTCCTTTGCACCCCCACCCATCCGGGCAGCTGTTCTCCAACAGCCACTGTTGAGGGTTTCCCGCGGGTTACATGAAAGCCGATGGAATCCTATGCCTGGATGCACCGTGGGATTTGTGTCAGGACAGCGTGAGCCGAAGAGGCCTCCACCAGCTGCTTTCCAATTGCTTCAACCTTGGGAACCGTGAGGAACCGTGAACCGTGATGAACCGGTTGAACCGGGCATGTGCACACATCTCAAAGCCGAAGCCCGCAGTCCATCCTGGAAGGAAACGCGTTATGAAACGCGTCTGAATGAGCGTCCAAGTGCAGCATGAACTTGGCTTGATGCGCGTCTTCTGTGCGCTCTTGCTCCACGAGGATGGGGTGCGGCCTTAGGCAGAAATTGCCCATGACATGCTGAATTCACAAGGGCGCACAAATCGTTTACCCCTCTCTTCACAGCTCTGGACCATTACGCACTAAACGGACTCAGCGGCCATGTCTCATCCGATGCTACGATCACGGGTCTTTTCAAGGCCACCCTTCCGCGGCGCGAGGAGAATGCGTCACAAAGGAAGCCCACTTGCCGACGTTCCTGGTGCCGTCGTGACCAGTGCAAGTGACCAGGGCGCGCCAGCTCTATCTAGTCTAACGATAGTTTATTCAAGCAGCTGCAGAAAGAAGCTTGCCAGATTGAGGCCGCATTCCGGCAACAACCCAGGCTCTCCTTCATCTGCGATTGCTACAGTACAAGACTGTTCTCAGCCGTCGCACGTGCTGCGCACCATAAAGCTTTGGATCCATAGTCATCTATTGCTCGCTGCAAGGACTCTAGCGCACAACCTGTTTCGCGATTCTTCACAATCTGAAGATCTCCTTTAGATGCGAGCCTGTACACGCGACCTCGTTGCATAACACTTTGAGTGGAATGCGGAGGAACACAGCTTTGCACCTGATGCTGTCGCAATTTGACACATGTAATCAACATAAAGTTAAATACAGTTAAATACAATAGACTCAAACAGACTCAAAAAGACACCCTCGCAGATGCGACGGCATCAAGCATCAAGCAAAGCAGCGCTACGGATCGGTCCTGAAGGGAAGGAACCTCTGCAGAACCAAGACGAGCCTACTCCTGCAACACGGCCAGAAGAGGTAATCAGTGTGGCAGCTTGATCTATAGAGGTTCTTGCTGGCCGTTCAAAAGGCGTCTCTGCAATGAATCTGTACAGCTTCCAGAGCCATTGTGCAGGTGCCCCATGCTCGAGTCGAGCCCTTCAACAAAAGAATAAAGTTCAGGTTAGACAGCAAAAGCACATTTATTCCACGACTTTGCTCGGCAGCCCCTTGAAAACAGCACAATGCCCACGGGACGGACCCATCATTTTTCCAGTGTCCATGTCCCGTCAGCTGCCTGGCCCCCTAAGCCAACACAGCATCATGAACAGCATCGTTTGGGCATCGAAGTTGGGCCGTGCAGTAGCGACTGAGCTTTGGGATTCACCTTTTGGCGTTGTTGCGGCACTCTCTCAGGCAACGCGGCATGCTGAGCAGCTCGGACCACTCTCTTCTTCCATGACAATCTTCGGAACACCTGCAGCTTCCTGAGCAGAGCTCATGCCAAGCCCATGTCGCATCTACACTGAATCTACACTTCCGGTTTTTCTCCTCCAGCACATATGGGCAGGACCACTCCTGCGAGTATGGGGCCTTTGCATGTGCAGCTTTCGTTTCTGCCGTGCGGCGGGCTCCCACTTCTTCGCGGCAATCTCCGAACTCACGGCCTGCAGGGGATTTATTCGGGCGCAGATCGGTCCTTCGTGATGGTACTCGTGTGAGACGTGAGGTTTCTTGCAGGCCTCCGCTGTGTCCCCCAGCTTCTTCTGAGCAATTCCGGCCTTAGCCATGCTTAACGGCTTAGCATGAGGTAGTGCGAGCCGATCTGCCAACATCTTTCTTGAGTTTGTTCTGCAGCTCAGCGTCCTTCTGAGCTGCCAAAACGACCCTCACCGCCACGTTGTGACCCACCTCACGGATCCGCCCCGTGCTCGGTAGGACGGAGTCGGCCTCCACGTCCTCCTTGTCCAGCGAATTGGCCACGGCCTCGGCAGCCTCCATGAAGAGTCCGTCCGGGATGTGGCTCGCTTCACAGCACATCGCTCCGAAGGACATGCCAGGGAAGACGAAGAAGTTGTTGACTTGGCCTGGAGGACTTTGCGTGCAAACTTCTAAGACAGGCATCGTATTGTCACATTGGCCTGGCGTGCGCGTCTTGCCCTGCACCGTCACCTTGGGATTTGGGGGCACGAACCTACAAACGTGCCATGTTTTCCAATGTTTTCCGATGGCCGTAAGAACATGGAACTTGGGAGGCAAGCCTGATAGAACTTGATTCAGAACTCAGAACCCAAAGAGGTTCAACAAAGAGCCGAGACACCGGTGCGAACCTGGTCCCAGAGCCGAAGATCGCCTTGCCGTCGGAAAATGTGTAGCAATCCTCGGCCGTGAGCTCCGCTTGGGTCATGGGATTGGACAGGGCAAAGATGATGGGCCGGAATTTTCCACCCTTCGCAGCTTGCACTTGCACCATTTCCTGTACCACTTCCTGCGAGGAACACAAAAGGTGATTCTAGTGATTCTAGTGTGCTTCATGTGCTCTTCCACATAGCAGCTGACATAGCACCGGAGTCCTTTGTAAAGCATCCTGGTGCACGGCCAACCGCGCCCACAAGGACATCAGGCTTGTGGTTCTTGATAATGGAGACAAGATTGGTTGCATCGTATCCTGGCAGAAGCACTCAGGAGCATCGTGCTGCGTGTTTTGGGTAGCTCTTTGCGGATAGACCGGAACATGCACGGGGAAACAGGAAAAAGGCAACAGACGTCAATTGACCCATCTGAAGAGCTTAAACCGAGGCTCCCTTGGGCTCTCCCACGCGGGCAACTGCTTTTTGCTCGTCGTTCTTGAAGGTGCCCTTCTTGCCATCTGCAGACTTCCAAATGACACCTCGACAGGCCCCAAGCCTTGAGGGTAAACTGACCATGTCCAGCACTTTCCGTAGAAGTGGTTTGTTCTATTTTGTTCTCATGGTTCGTCAGACGTGCTCAGCTCTGCACCCTTCGAATTTGTCACGAGGACTGATGATTCTGGGACGCCAGCTTCCTTCCTCGGGGATTGAGCGGAAAGTGGCCCCAGAGAGACACACGCACACAAATCATGAATGCACATAGGGCCGCAGCAAAGCATGTATTCTGCACACATCATGTTCCAAGCGTCAGCATCAAGCTTGCGCTGCCGAGATTGGCTGAGCCAGCCCCGTGAAACAGAAAGCGGAGACCTTCCAAGATAATCGAAAAGCAGCACTGGCCCCGGGCACGAACACAACATCTCTTGCAGAGTCGCATGGTCAGCTTGAGTTGATTTTCAAGATCAGTTGAAGCTCATGCACACACACACATAAGTTGGTGGCAAGAGGATTCGACATTGGCCTTTCAGCTCTGGCAAGAGATCGGTGCAAAGTGGCTTGTTCAGCCTCGGACACTAGACTCATCTTCGTCGCAGAGGGCGCTTGCAACTATGCGCAACCTTGAAGACAAAAATCGCTCTGTTGATATGATCAGGGGATATGATGTTGCATTCGAAGGGCTTGATGCCTCCCAGCACCGCTGCCACTGCCACAGAAGCCGTTCCCTGGATGTCATCATTGTATGTCAGGAACTTGGATCCTGGGATTTTCGCTGGAATTTAGAGTTGCCTCTTTCCAGTGCGAGGGGTTGTGCTTCTCGGTTTTGTTGTCCGCTTGAAAACCCGTGCTATACAGTCACGAGGATGGGGACTCCCACGCCGGCCTGTAACTGTCGGCACTCTTGACATGAAACAAACCTACATGGATGATCTGCCATGCGGCAATTGCACGAAAAAGGCGGGTTTTGAGTTGGGGCTTGGCATCCACAGGCACGAGGAAGGGGGAGGGGGGGGAGGGGGTGGGCTGGGGTGGTCGAGAACACATAAGCTGTCGAAGTTTCGACGGGATTGCCAGGCATTTGCTTGTCAGTCAACAGAGTGGCTGGGGTGGTACACAGAGATACCCTGCAGGCGTCTCAAGCATCTCCAAGCACGTCGTTGGGGGCGCAGCCCACGCCTTTGCAAACCATGATTTGCTCCGGTATGTTGCGTTTTCGGTCCATCAAGTCGCAAAACTGGAGGGGGTAAAAACCAGCTAGGTGGGCCGGCCGTCGCACACTGTGGACGCTGATGAGAACAGGTTTGCTTTGCGATGCTTTGCGCGTACCGAGGATTCGCCAGGTATTTGTTCGAATGATGGGTTCCTTATGAGTGACGGTGGGGGCACTCCAAGAAAATCTTGATCACAAGGCCGAGGACGGAATCTTCTTCTGCTGCACAGCGGAGAGGGTCCCCCAAACTTTGACTCTCGTGTTGGGCCAGGGTCCTAATGTGCCCCTTGGTTCTCCTTGCAGGTGACACACTGCTATGATGACAAGCCTTTTCACAGCGGGAGCCCACCTTCCTACTTTCTCTCTCACTCTCTCTCTCGTCTTCTTCTGCTGGGCATAGAGAGCCCCGACGGACCCTCTTGCTGCCGTTTGGCATAGGGATTCGAACGAGCTCTGCTAAAGGAGGGGCGGCTACTCGCGTACTCCGTGCCGCACCAGTGAGTGAGAGAGGCTGCGACTGTCTGTGTGTGTGTGTGTTTATTCCCCACCTTCGGTGTGGGGTTGCTAGATTTTAAACTCAACTCTCCTCCTCGCCCGGAACTCTTCTCCTCGCCCGGTCTACTCCTAGAGACTCCATGGAGTTCTGCCGAGGTACGGTACTCCTCCAGAAGTGGGAAGGCATCATTGGAATTGAAATCCTGCAGAGACAAGAGTGATTCGACGACAACCTCACTCCATGTGACAACTCAACGCCTCCAAACCTGCCTCGAATTGTAGTAGGCAGCTTCGTCCGAAGAGTTCAGATGCAGCAGTCATGAACTCCTGACGACACAGGCATCCCCTGGAATGCTTCCACAGCTCCATCCCTCTCCCAGCCACTGTGCACACCACGCAAACGTGCGGGTCCCCAATGAAGGAATCTGGGCCGTAGTAGGCAGTGTTCACCTGCCACCAAAACAAATGTGCTCTGCACGCCGGCCTAAAGAAGGCAAATCAAGAGCGTGGATTGCCTCGGTACCCTGCTTGGACGTGTGCTTTACACGATTTTGCTTCAGCCCAGTGTACAGGTCGTGATCTCGGATCGTGAGCCTCGCCACACATGCGGCGTGGAACATTGAACCAAAACAAACCGAAATTGAGATCAATTGAGTTTTTGAGCGGGTTTAGCTGGGCTTGGAGCTTTGCAGAGTTCCCGCTTGCATCACTGCAGCCGGCATCGATCATCACGGGGATCGTCCTGTGAGGATCAAATCCGCCACCTCGCAGCGCAACTCTTCGACTTTATGTGTCCGCTGAGTTTGCCGCTGCCATCGAACAGCCCCGAAGTCACTGAAGTCTAAGCCGGAGACAAACTGTATACAGGTCCTTACTTGCAAGGGTGCACGGGTGCGACGGTGGCAGGGGTGGCACTTCGGCCCATTCGGCCCAGAAGCCAATTTTCCAATGGGAATGCCCATCCCCCAGGTACCCAGATCACCAAGGCCCAGAATGCGGCCACCATCTGAAAAGACCTAGTCAGTCAGTGGAGCTATGTCAATGTGAGTCCACAAGTATTAAGATCTGTGATGTCCAAGCCGAGCGACAATGCACTGGCATTGTGGCTTGCCGGTCGAGTCTTTGGGCAGATGAGCCTCAGCGTACCTTGACCAGCCGGCACTTGTCACTTATGTGAAGCTAGTTGAAGCTATGTTGCACTTGATATACTCGTTTCACGAGGGGAACAGCAGTCGTACCTTGCAGTACTTTGCCAAACTTTGCCAAACTTTGCCAAGCCACTCTTTGAGGACAGCCTTCACGTTTCCACGATCAGACAGCGACACGTAGCCTCAGACTAGGGGGCTTGGGTTGGCCTATATATGTTGGCCTACTGCTCTCTCGACTCTGGAAGACATTCGATTGGAAGCTCACCTCAAATCCACCGAGCCACAACCGCGGGGCAGAAAGGGCAACGTTCCGAACTTCTGGCAGGCCTACAGGAAGAGCATCGATCGGATTGCTGCTTACGTCAAGCTTCCGGGATTGCGGGATATCATGGAACATCATAGAATCGTTCGTCCTCACCCACTGTCGGGGTGTAGACAATGGGCATCAGATAGGCCGGCTCAGCAAGCAGCGTCCGGTAGAACAAGTTGGAGTCCTCTTGCCCACGCCATGCGAGGCGATCTCGAATCCCAAAACAAGTCCTACGCAGGTCTACCGTTCAATTTGGCGCATGTCATTTGCGTCCTTGTGGTGCAGCATCCGCAGGTATGCATAGGCCCACAAATTGTGCCCGAGGCTTGCAAAACCTCGGACCTCTTGCAAAGCCTCACGCACATGAAGCATGCATGATGAGCAAAAAGAGCGCAATGCAAGTGCAAGCGCGATTGCCAGGAGATTCGCCTCCTGCACCGTCCGGGCGTTGCAGCTCTTGTCCAGGATGTGTCTCACTTGAGACAGGCCCTCCTGTTCAAGATTGTTCAAGTGCATTCACACATCTTACAAGTGCCCTACACCAAGCAAGACCGGCGAGCGTAGCGAAGCGGCACCTGGTCGTTCCAAGCTGCCGCACCCAATTTAGCCACAGATTTGGGAAGCGAAAGGTCGCGGCCTGTACACTAAACTCACAAAAGGGCGCTTCTTCTAAGCTTTGGCTTAGGCTTCTTCACATCTTCTCACACCAGCATTGCTAGCACTTCGTTTGCCGGTCCTGAGACGTCGATATTCAGAGTCATTGCCTGGGCTGCAAAAGTGTACATGGGCCTCAAGACACTTACAGGGTGGCTTTCCTGGCTAACGGTGTGGAAAGCTTTCAAACAATTCCAGACTGTAGGTCAGGTGATGAACTGAGTCGCGCTTCCCTCCTCGCTTCTAAATCTAAGGATCCGGGCAATTCCGCAACTTTGAGCCGTAATGTCTGAGGCGGCATCTTTGGCAAGGATCAAGCCGCGCACGCCGCAGTCTTGAGATGTCAGCATGCTTTGCCATGCCCAGCGGAAGCTTCGAAATGCTTCGAGATTGAAGGGGCACCACCGCTGGGGACCAAACACGGTGAGGCGCACGGACTCGGATGAGAAAGATGCTTCGCAAGGTCAGTGTGCTCACATGTGCTCACGTAGTTTTACATATTGGGCACGTCCTGGCACAATCGAAATCGGGAACCCAACTGCAGTCGACCTCAGATCTTCGCTCATCTGCCCGATGCCTGAACAGCGAATGCAAAGCCGGCTCTCATCACTGGGGCCACTTTGGGAAAACCCCCAGCAGCTCTCACAAGCTTGACTTTTTTGCCATGCCTGGTCTTGCCGCGACACCTTGAAGCAGCTCGCACATCTCGTGCCGAAGCTTGCTTCGCAAGTCCAGCTTCTGTACAGAGATTGTGCAAGAGCCGCACAGCTCAGGTTCCAAAACCTGAGCAGGTTATGCCACTAGACTTTATGATCTTGCGCACCAGGCGGAGTGCTTGCTGATGAGGCAGATCCTAGCAGCAAGTGGTACACAGAGGCTTGACCTCCATTACCATGAGGCAGGATAACAACAACCGTCCTCCAAATCAGGGAAAGAAGCTTCTGCTAAGCGGAGGAGAAGAGCTTCAGGGGTCTGGCCGCCTCCACTTGAAACTGTGTTGTGTGACATACACGTTTTGAACGCACATTGATGCACTGTTCTGATCGTGACCCACGGTCGCTTCTGGCCAGCACTGTAAAGTGCTGCATCCTCACGGCGTCACGACGTGGTGCCTTCTGCACAGCGGCCCAAGACTTCAATCCTTCGAATGCCATAGCCTTGAACATCATTTCAGCTTTCTCACAACTCACAGCTGCAATCGCAAAAGGCGGGCAAGCTACTCTTCTTCAAGCCAAAGCAATCGGGGCAAGGGTTACCCACTTCGAAGCGCAGAATTCCTCAGTACTTGCCAGTAGTTTCGGAACACCCGACGACGTACGAGCAACAGTCTGCACATGGCTGCACAGTTCCAACTTCTGACAGAACAATGTTCAAACATGCTAACATGCAGTTGATTGCAACTGAGATTCGAGTGGGATCCTGCCAACCAGGAAGCTCTGTCCAGCCGTTGAAATCGGCGTTGTGCAGTCTCCTGCCACGCTCGACAAAGACACCTTCATCATCCTTAGCCACGACCGCGTCAAGAGAACAGCAAACTGTACAATCTGCACATGACATACGTAGATGGAGCCCCACAAAAAAACTGAGACATCACAAGCCTCCTAAACTTCGCACCGGTGTCGAGGCCGGGCACGAAAATGTTTCGACAAGCGTCTGTGCCTTCAAACCCATCATCTTGCAGCAAGGATAGGACGCGGAGGGTATTGCGAGAGCCGTAGTCGCCTTGAGTCGATTGAGAAATCTGCTGATGTAGACAGACATACTATGGCACACTCCTCACAGATTGGCCCGCCATGTGATTTTTGCAGAAGATACAGTCAAGCGTCCCCACCACTTCACGCGAACCTCGTGCACCTGGCAGACCTTGCAGCACAACTGGCATTCATTTCAGCGGTTTTGCACGTGATCAACCGTGCCAACACTTGTGAAACCCGTCAAGCACGTGCGGGAGCTGCCCCGCTCAAGCCTGCTCCAAGTCGATCTCCAGCCATTGAGGGTCTGCACTGTCAGCCGGAAACCTGCGCAGCCGAACTATCCAAATTATTTAGCCAGGGACAGGGGCTCGAACCCAAAACAAAAGCAATTGGCCCAGCTGCCACTCGGAGTCGGTGCCATCGACCACAAACTGAGCGCGGTCATCGTCCACGCTTGCCCGAACCGGGCGCGAGCGCGACAAATTTCGCCTGCCACCTGAAATTCTTGTATAGTGCGGCTGCTGAGGTGTTTGAGCGCTGACAGTTCCGAATGAACTTGCCCTAAGAGCTGCTTAGAGTGTCTCTCCGGGGCTAATCCGAGTTGATTTCTCTGACTTGGTGTCGCTAGGTTTCCAGAGAATTCTGCGAAGGCCCTTGTCGGGCCTGGCCAAGCAGCCGCCGCCTCAGCGGCCTCAGAGAGCGCAGGGCGCTCCGGCAAGGCTCTGCAAAACCCGCGGTCGCCTCATGGAGCCGCCAGACATGTCTCGGTGCCTCCGTGCGCTCCCGGAGTGCTGCCACTGGGAACGGCCGCGTCTCCCAAGGCAACGGAAAGCGTGTCTGATGTCAAAAGCCCAAGCACCAGGCATTTGCACCTTGAGCCAGGCTGCCCAGGCCTCAAAGGGAAAGGACTGGACATGACTGGACGTGCAAACCGCCAAGACTTAGCCTTTCTTATCTTTCTTGCAGCTTGGAGGCGCTCAAATCCCATGGGCACTGCGCCACCGCCTGCAATTTTCTGAAATGGAACATATTGGAACATGAAAGAAGAGCTATGTCTGGACACGTCTGGACACGTCTGGACACGTCGACACGTGGGCGTGTTCTGGGCCTCTGCTCGTAGCTGGAAAGCTTCGAAGGCGAGCTCGGGCGCAAGGAGCCTAAGCCACAATTCTCTGTCCAAGATTCCGCCGAGGCCCAGGCCGAGGCAAAGAAAAAGCCCCCACTGTGCCCAGCGGTCGATCACATGGCACCCTCGACTTTATGAACCTTGCCCTGGCCCCCCCAATATTGAGATGCTGTGGACCTCTGCCTTGCTGAGTCTATGTGAGAGCCGCTGGCACCGCTGTAACCAAAGCCAGCAACCTAGTTTTTCAACCACGACAAGCATTCAACACAATCACGGAAAAAGCGAATAGGCCTTGATCCTTTCGAACCTTTGGGCAATCGTGGTTTTCGACGAATTGGGGACCACCCACACACGCCCGTCGATTCGTCGTATTGCCTGTGATCCATGGACGCCCCTTATCCAGGACCCTCGATCGTCGATTATGCCCCTGCTGAACCGTATGGCTCCTGTGAACCCCGTTGCGCCAGGGCGGGCGCTAGCGTTAAGTTGTCCAAGCAACCGTTTGGAAAAGCAATTTGAAAAGCATAGCGAGATATCGTAGCAAGCAAGATTTGTCCCGGAGCACCTTTGCATCAGGCTGCCAGGCAACTCAGATGCCAGCCGAAGAGCCTTGCAGTTACGAGGTGATTTCTGATGGTTCTCAATCTTTGCCAACGACGAACTGTCTGGAGCTAAAAGCTGACAACATCTTGGCCTGGCAGCGCCGGAATGTTTCGCAGTCCTGCAAGGCACGCTCGAACACCTGAGGCATGGAGGTTGCACACCAGAGTGTCCACACAGTGTGCCTCTCGAAGACTTTTAGCAGAGGAACAGGAATGATGCCGGCTTCTTGGCAAAGTTCACCTGTTCCATTTCGCTACTGATGTCCGCATGTCTTCGGGGGTCTTCCAGTCAACAAGCCAGCACAAACCACAGCCTGGCAAGAGGCAACAGACAAGCTGACAGGCCAAGCTTCCAAGCTCCGTGTGCCAGGTTCGCTGGATCCCGTCCTGGCAGAGATCCGAGAAGAAACCCGGCAACCCGCTAGGAGGCAACGGAGCTCACCAAGAGTGTATGAAGGGTTTTGACAGATCACGATGCACTGCTTCATTGAGCCCAGCATCGTGCATGCGAGACTGGTTCCACCCGCCTGAGCTGCGCTAAACTGCCCCCCCCCCCCCCCACTCCGCGACCCGAACGGTACCTCATCGACACTCGGCTCGCGAGGCAATTTCGCGGCTGCTCAAGCTCGTCTGGGGTCGACCAACTCAGGAACGTGTTGGGTTGCCAAGATGCCGCAATCATTTTCCAGCTCCCACCTAGAGCTCTGCAAAAGGCAACATGGAATCTGACTGGGGTATATCTTGGGCATAAGAATAACAAAACTATTCGCAGGCAACTCTGAGCCATGCGCCGGCCAAGAGGGCCCCGCCAGATCAGGGCGCAGTGCCCCGGCTGGGCAACCGGCATAGCCGGCACGCCGAAAGCCTTCTTAGGACTCTTGCTCGGATTGTGAAGGGCTGCTTCGTATGTACTTCGTCCTGCTTCGGTGCCAGCCTGGCAGCAGCTGGTGCCGAACTTCGAAACCGCGCCACACACTCCTGCAGCAGATGGAGGCAACAACAAGCACTCGCAGACAAGTACAGTAAAGAGCAAGCAAGTCTGACAGGTCAGTGCCTCCGTAATCCAGAATGACCGGCATCGTGGTAATCTGCCCATCATAAAACCGTAGACCTTCTTGAACACTCACGCCTTTGTCCTGGAGTGCTCAACTTGTTGAAGGTCGTGCAATGGCGGACGCGGGCAATTGCACGCAACTACAGCTTGGCTAAGTTTCGTTGTGGGGCTTGTACTTCACCATGCGGGCGGATCTGCCAATTGCATCGGGCTGCCTGTACTGCTGCTCAACAGCATCACGCGACCTCTGCACTGAGCAGGGGAGAAGCGCAAGGCCAAATCTGAGTGCGCTAAAAAGCGACTAGGACACTAAGAGATGCACCATGCCAAGTCCGCATCCGAGTGCCAGCTGCCAAGGATGTAGCGAAAGTGCCAGGCACGCAGCTGCTGGAACTCTTGGAAAAGCTTCTTCGTCGTCACATCACGGCGAAAGCTATAATATCGCTGCACCATGTCCTCAAGACTCTGCTGCAAACATCACAAATCGGGCGACGTGCTTGTGACGTGTGCTCAAATTGGCGCAAATATTTTCAGGCCCGGGCAATCCTCTCACTATGGAAATGTTGGTCGGTCCTGGCGCGCGGTAGCATTGTGTGCGTCTATCCCCCGCTCTACATGTACACATACATAGCGATACGTACACTTATAAATACATCAAACCACTGACAATGTCTGCCCTGCCGAAATCAGCCATGTCGCTCGCCCTCTGCATCACAGAGGGCTGCTGCGACGGCAAGCTGCAGCGGCCAGCCACCAGACAGAAGCGTTGGATCCGAAGCCAACAGCCTAAGTACCAATCCCCGCCCAGCCCCTTGTAGGTTCACAAGCTCGTAAAGTTGCCAGGCACACGCGATTACAAGCGCACCTGACATCTGCCCCGGGGCCTGCAGAGCGTGCACACAGCACGACGCAGATCTCTGGTGCCCCCGGAAAGTAGCAAGGCCTCGATGGCCTGCGAGAGAATGTTAAGAACCGAGCTGCTCGACTGCTCCAGATGGATTTCTGATATTCGCCAAAAACAGTCACGCTGCCGAAGCCCTGATCCGGGAAAACCTCGCAGCCGCTTACGGTACGACCTACTTCCCTGGGGCTGCCTACTCGCTTGTGTCCGGGTCGCGCGTCGCTTGAGACTTTTGTGCTGCCTGCTTTCTGTCAGTGCTGATCGCGTTTGTCTTCATTACCCATTGGTTGCGCTGAGATTGGCTAAAGTTAAAGAGATGCTACAGAGGCTTCCTGTAGATCGCAGGCCACGTTGTGAGGCCTGCAAGAAGCAACTGATTCGACTGCATGCCGCAAAAGTTCAGCTACGGCCTCGTCGCACCGGAGCAGCGGACCTGTACGATGCTGTGCTGCTTACTGTGAGAAACCAAGACATATGGAGAACTGATTCTCCAAAGTCCAAAAGCAATCCAAAAAAGCAACAGTAGAAACATGTGGAAAAGAAGGAGAGACATGAGAGGCTGCACAGGCACCGGCCTAAGGCCGGGAGCTCGGATGGAACACCAGGCAAAGGCCGGCCTTAGCTGCGAGCTGCGCAGCGAGACAAGCTCCGCAGATTGTAGCCCGCAGGTTGTAGCAGAACATGTAGCCCCACACATCTCCACAGAATCCACGCCAAGCCAAGTTGCCCATGCCTCCTAAGCAGGGCATCCTCAGCAAAACAAGTTTCATTCCTTTACGCGTGACACCCTCAGAGAAACTTTCATGCTCCACGCAAGCAAGACTGCAGACGGCGCAACTTATTGCTTGCTGCCAAGTGGCAACTGCAGAAAGTCAAGCCACCCTCCTCCCGAACTTGCAGCCTCGCCATTCTGGGCCGCGGAGGCTCCCCATTCCTGCGCTTGCGAAGGAAGCAAATAAAAAAGGCAGCAGCCGAACAGAAGTAGCGCGCCAAGCAAGGCAAGGGGGGGGAAGGGGGCCACTTGGGGGGGGGGGGGGGGGCTTTTTTGCAGATTCCTCTCGGGGGCGGCCTCGGAGCCGAGCTGAGAGAGCAGGGCCCAGCGCAAGACGGCCGACTGCCTCGGCGCATCCGCTTTTTGATTTGTTGTCACTGTTCAGAACACCTCTTCTTTCATACATCTCGTTCATGAAAGATATGTGTGGACAGGTGTACAAATCACATATATCATACCGTAGTTATGTCGCTCAAGATTGAGCGCAAGTCGCAAGCGGCAGCTTGGGACCCTCCCTCCACACTTCAGATGTTCATGTGCCCATGCGAGGCTCGATCTTTCCAACACGTTGACCTGAAGCCTGAGGCTCATTGTCCCCCAGATTGCCTTCGAACTTTTCCCGCCGGATGTCGGCTTTGCTGCTGTGCATTGCAGGGCTATGTGCCACTCAAAGGTGACAGTTGGCTGACAGTGCTTGCTCCTCTCCTGACCGGGGTGCTGCCTATGGCGTCCGTGAGCCGACTTTCTCACATGTTTAAACGTATGTCTGACTTGCGCAAGGCAAGTACGGTCAAGTGGGCTTCCACTTGCCGCTGTGCTCCGGAAGGTCTGTTGTGATTGTCCCGCTAAGTTGGCCCATCAGCCCAACTAGCCACTGGTTGTCACAAGTCCCTGTTCCAGTCATTGGGAACTGAAGGAGTCTCGCCACGGCACACTCTCACGGAGCTGTCCCTCATTTTCCAGCGCAATCAAACTCTGTCAATTAAGAAAATGTTTGCTTTTGTTGTGACGACAGCATTCGTTTGGCTTCATGCCGCTGCTGTCCGCTCCTGTGGCATTCTGTGGCCCGAGCAGCTCCCTGTCATGGGGTAGATCGCTGTGCCTCAAAGCTGGGAAGGAAATGAAAGAAGCGACAGAACAAGATGCGAATCTTGCCGTAAGGCCGTAAGGCCGTAAGGCCGAGGCCTCGCGCGCAACTGGCGCGCCAATGCCTGTGAATGTCGGGACAGCCGATCTCGGCACCGGAGCAATGCAGAATGGCGCACCCCCACACACGCACAAATGCCCACACAAGCGCCTGCAGAAAGAGAGCGAGGCACACCAGACACACCCGACACACCAATCCTGACGCTGCCTTCGTTACAATGTGTGTGTGTGTGTGTGTGCGGTCGACCAGGGTGCGCTCGGCCTTGTTACAACGCAGCAGCCCCTCCAGCGCGAAGGCTTAAAGGGCCAACCGCGGGCCCTTCATCCATGCGTGTTTGCATCACCCAGATCTCCACGGGCCCGCCCCCCCAAACCAGAAAGAGCAAGATACGCTCAATCCGGCAAGGGTTGGATAGAACACTTGGCAAGACAGCCCGCATCAACGATCCAAAGCTCTTCTCATGGCGATCCCTCGCCAGGATACTAAGCAAGGGATGCAAGCACGGAGACAGGGCAATCTAGTTACTCTAGGGTCCACCACACTCACGCACATCACGCACCGGCAGCACGTTAGGGGCCACCTCCACCAAATGGCAGAAGGAGCCATTCCCCTCAAGCTGCACACTTCACTGACAATCAATATGCCCTTGGCGTATGGGTGAGCACCCAAAACTTTAGGTGCCCCCCTGGACAGAAGGGTGCTTCGTTACAATGCACTTTATCCGATGATAAACGCCACCAGGTTCTGCCCGTCACACTTCTTTCCACAGCTTCATTGAGCTTCATCGTCGGTGGTAATTAGTGTCATGCGCCCGCACACGCTGCGACAAAAAGAGCAAAGCAACCCTTGAAAAGGAGAACCCAAAGCACGATTACTCACATGACGCCTCGGCGCACGTGGACGGCCTCAGCGGTCCACCGCAGTCCACCCTGCCCAGGGTCCCTCCCCGTTCTGAATCACCACAAGGCCAATGAAGCAAGTGGTGCTGCAAGGGCATTTGGAGACTCCTCGCCTGCGCTGCAGTTCCGCTTTGGCCTCCTTGGCGGCATCATGTCGGACCGACTAAATCGTGCAGCCACTTCCTAAGAAGGATGTGCGCGATGAAACTGAAAAATTTCGATCCCTCCCACAGCCGTCCCTTCTCAAAATTTAAGACATTGCAACGGAAAATGTTGATAAAGCTCGACGCAAACATTTTCACGACTTTCGAGATCCATTTTGTTCGATGGCTCTATGTGTGGAGTTGCGCGCATACGATTCAACAAGGACGCCATACTCTGGTGGCTTTAGCTCTCGAAATCCCGCATCCCTCAAAACCCGGCACCAGCCGATGCAAGAAAATGCACGTCTATACATGAACACCAGGGTGCCGGGGATGCCGACATCAGTTTTTCAGGCAGATGAACAGCATCAAAGGCCAGGCTCTCAAACCAAGAATAAGGCCTTTCGCAACTTCAATTCGCTGCTACACGGCCGAAAGGTGCTGAAATAAGTGTTGGGGAAGTGTCTTCGGACACCCATGCGTCTTTGCTCCGTTCTCGGCGTGTTTTTGGATGCGGACACCCATGTGTCTTCATGACGACGAGTCTTCGGACACCCATGCGTCTTCGATCCAGAGGCAATCCGACATGTCTTCGGCAGGTGCCTTCTGAACACCCGCATCTTTGTAGACCCAATCGTCTTAAACCCCATCTGTGTTCAACATGTGTCTTCCGCGGATAGTTTGGATGGTTTCGACTATTAAGCAGCTGCAGCTACTCCAATTTCTAATCGAAGACTAGCCGCCTAGCCTATGGGTGCCTCCTGTTGCCCGATCTGGTCAGGGTGCAGGCTGTGCCTATCATTCAAGGCTAAATGCTAAACCAAGATCCTCGGGCCTAACATGTCCCTGGAACAGAGCGACATGCCGTCCACGTGCAGGAAAGATGCCTCGAATCGTGCCTGCTGCGCGGCACGGTATTCGTGCAGCTGCGGATCCATGGCAGGAGATAGCAGCAAGCTACATGACGCCAACGCGTTCAGTTGTGGAAAGCCTGCTTGCCAAAAGGTGCCAGCCAGACTGAATAGAACCGTCCTTTGATCATGGAGACGGCCACACATTGCCCCACGCTTCGTCCCTACGGCATGAACTTTCATGTCAACCATGGTTGTCAACGCAGCTGAATCAGCAGCAGTCCGCCCACCCGGTCCCCAGTCAGCATGCAACTGCAAGATATTGCATGATACTGCCTGCAAGTAATTGATCTTGCACTAGCAAGAACGAGCATCATGCCTCGGGCAATTGCTGCCCAGGATGCAAATCCGAGTCGGTCCTGCACGGTGGCTAAGTGGTTCAAGTTAGATGGCTCGAGCTCCAGCCCGTCCACTTGAGGCTGTGAGACTCTTCCCAACGGCCTATCTGACGTTTCATGACATTTCATGACATATCCTTTCTGATTAAGACCCTTTTTTCATTCCGCCGAAGAGACCAAGTCGCAGTCGCCCAACCACATGCGTTCTGCCAGGGAGGTGGCAGCCGAGCTCATCAGCATGCCTGAGAGGTCGGCGCGGGATTTGGGTGTGGAGTCCTTTTCTGGGTGCATCCGGGTGCAGCACAGCCACTGTCTCTGTACAACTCCATGGCTGAGGCAAACATGGTTCCAGCAGCAGCTGCCATTGTAGCCGGTTCGTGCGGACTTTGTGGAACTGACCCCGGAACCCTGACGGGACGGCTCATCACAAAAAGCTCAAGCAAACCCAAGGGCGAGCAGAACAAAAAACATACACACACACACACACACACACGCATTGTACCAACTGCTTGCAGCTGTCTATCGGGAAAGCTTCGTTCTGAATCATTGGTCAAGGAACACATCCAAGACGGCCCGAATCAATGCATTGTGGAGTCCATCTTCTGTCTTCACTGTCTCCCTTTCTGGGCCGGTGACCACAGGCGGCATTGGTAACGTCGGCGTGGGCTGACCTTATGCTTCGATTAGCTTCTGATCACAGTCGCCCATGACCAAACCCATGAAGCATAATGAAGCAAAAAGCCCAAAAGCCGCAACTTGCTTGATTCTTACAGTACGGGGTGCCCACAAGTTCCTCCAGTGTCGATGCACGCCTGCTGCTGTTTGCAGCAGCCGTCCACTCCTGTGGAATGAAGGCGCTCGCAGGCTGTGGCGGCTGTGACTGTAACAGCAGCGGGACAACTTGCGGTTCTGGGGCAAGGCTGCCTCGAGCTGTCTGAGGTGGCTCCTCTGGGTCTGGCGGGGCATCTACCTCTGGCAACTCCGGTTTGGCCATGGGCGTGGGAGCTGTGGGAGGGCTTTTCGGCGAACATTGCGCATGCGTCACTCCTGCAGAGCCTGCAGTCGCAGGGAAGCCACCAGAGTCACCAGAGAGCAGATTTGCGAGGAGTGGCGCCACACCTTGCACAGCCTCGGGGCTCTCCCAAAGCGGAGGAGTACGCGGGGCAGCAAGGTCAGCGTCAGCGTCACTGAAACCGGCGGGCCCAGTGGGCCCAGTGGGCGTTGGCAGCTCTTGCTCCAGAGGTGGAGTGGATGGGCTCGTAAGAAGCAGGCTATGGGAGGCTCCGTAACGGTGGATCAAGTGCTTAGCATCTTCATGGAGCTTCGGTACCTTTGCGGGGCGGGTCTCCGCCTCCTCCTCGGTCTCCGTCTCGGTGTCCGAGCCTACCGGGCCTACCGAATCGGCTCGCAGCTGCCTCTCCAGTTCTTGAACTCGTTCTGCTTCTGCCGAGATCTGCGCCTCGAGAGCGTCCAAGAGTGTCTCAGACATCTCCGTTTCGACGTCTGGCTCCTCCATTGACTCCGTTGCGGTCTCTTCAGCTACAGTTTCCACAGTTTCCATGGGCTCCTCAGTCTGATCTTCAGCAAAGTCTGCTGACATCGCCACAGGACCATCACACTCTGGAACGGGCGCGACAGCCTCAGCGAAGCTTCGCTGTTGCTGCTGCCACCACCACTCCTCTTGCCGTTCTTCTTGGGCCTCCTGTTCGAGGAGTTGCTCTTCGGGTTGGGCTTTCTGCTGCTGCCAGCACGACCACTCCTCCATCTTTTCGTCTTGGGCCTCCTGTTCGAGCTCTTCGGGTTGGGCTTTCTGCTGCTGCCACCACGACCATTCCTCCACTTTTGCGTCCAGGGCCTCCTTTTCAAGGAGTTGCTCTTCGGGTTCGGCTTTCTGCTCCTGCCACCACGACCATTCCTCCTGCTGTTCGTCCTGGGCCTCCTTTTCAGCAAGGAGTTGCTCTTCGGGTTGGGACCAGGACCATTCCTCCTGCTGTTCCTCCTGGGCCTTTTGAAAGCGTTGCTCTTCGGACAGCTCGTCGGGCTTGGACGCAAGAGGTTTTGGCTTGGCTTGCAACAGTTTTGGCCCTTTTTGCTGCTGTCTCTTCCGCTGATTCTCAATCTTCATGGCTTCCTATGTCACAGCAGTCACAGCACATGGATTTTTATGGAGCTGCATCTAGAATTCACCTTTTCACGCAAAGCCACCCCACCACCCCGCTTTAGAAACTTTGGCGCCTGGCTCGAGTCCACCATCTCCACCTCCTCGGCGAAGCCCCCGGCCAAGACACCCGTCAAACCAGTTCCGGGCCTTTCCGCTAGCACCTGCCGAGCATTTCAGAACGAATGCTCACACATACTGTATGCTTGCGGAAGGTAAACCAGGAGGAGGCCGCGCAGCCTTTGTTTAGCGTTTTTTTTGCCACCCGCCTAGGGCATGCAGAACATCGCGCTGCAGGGTTTGGGGTTTAGGGTAGGGTTTGGGGTTTTTCAGCCGTCTCGTCCGTCCGCGCCTGCACTTCGTCGGGAGCGGTGGTCAAGTCCACCGCCAGTTCTGCAGGCATCGAAGCTCTTGATGGTTTTGGCACTGCCTGAGGGGGGTTTCAAAATCCGTCAAAACTCAAAACAAGGCCAGGAAAAAGAACAGACCGCCTCAGAGTGCAGAGCGTTGAAACGAGAGAGAGAGAGAGAGAGAGAGAGAGAGACGTCAATCCCTCGCGCTTGCGTGCCTTGCGTCTCAGGGCGCTCTGGCGCTCCTTCGGCGGGTTCGCCTCTTGGGCCGTTGCCGGCTCGCAGTGCATCCCGGAAGGCTCGCGAGGCGGAGTCAGCGGAGCCGGCGCAGGCGGAGGCTGCGGAGATTGCGGAGACAGCGGAGATGGCGGTGATGGCATCACCTCAAGAGACACGGAAAAACTTGGCACGAAGTGGCACGGCGTGGCATCACGGATGGGGGCTCTGTACTGCAAGTGCAAATCTACCGGCCTAGAGAGCTGCACTGTGCAGTACTTGACAGGTGAACATCACGCGACCTCTGTGCTGTCACCTACTGTTCTCTGTTCATGACACAAGTGCTGAGGGAATGGGTGGAAGAGTGGGAAGCGTGTCAAACAAGCTGGCGAGGAAGACTGTGGTCCTGTAGTTAGTTTGCGCCACAACTGACACATATGACACACATGACACATAATGGTGGGCCCTCTTCTGCAGGGATGTCCCATTAAGTCCAGTTTTCAAGCCAGCGGCCATTCAGGATCAAACTGCGGTTGGAGGGGAGCCCTGTGTCACGTTTTCGGGCATCGTAAGACGAGTTTGTGTGGTGTGTCTTTAGAATTCATTGCCGGGCCCCTCTCCCCTCTCCCCAAACGGGGGCCGGCTCCATTAAACACGCCGGACTGCGAGAGCAAGAGCAGGGCGAGAGCGAGGGCGAGAGCGAGCAGCAGAAAGCCCAAATCGGTTTCGACTGTGGGGGGGATCCAACATGTGACGACTACTATGACACATATGACGGATGAATGAAAATTCTTCTGCTTCTGTGCAGTGCGCGGTGGGGGGGTATTTCTTATGTCGGGCTGTGTTGCTATGTTGCTGTGTTGCTGGGCTTGTCGCACAGGCGGCACGCTTACGCTTGTGGGTCTCGACAAGCCAGAGTGCGACAACGAATCTGTAGATTGCAATGGTCTTGCGCGTAATTAATTCGTTTAAAAGAATACCCCGGAATCAAGAGGCCTTGTCACAAGTATCATGGTTTGGCTACAAGCCCGTGTCAGACTCGCAAAACTCTCGCAGATACCACTTTCAGGGGTGCTACACTGCTGTGTGGTTGGCTTGCTCCATGATCGGAACTGCCGAAATCAGTTGAAAAAGCTGCTGTGCCTGTCTCTGTCTGTCTCTACTTGCTCAGGTCAGGACCTTTGGTCGCGCGGTCTTTAGCGACACGGCAGCCGAGAGTGGTGCTTGAGGCTTCCTTGTGGGAATCACCTCAACAGGGGAACATGACCGGATACGGCCCGACATCGTATGGCCACTATCAGATCCCCGTTGTCACTTGTTCATTTCTATCCTGTCTTCCTTTCACAAAATTTCGCGTGAGCTCTGCACCTTAGGTCTGGGAGCTGCTTGTGGGAGTGCTGGTGCCTGGCAACCCGAAAGCAGCTCAAGCAATGGACAGGATAATGAGGGTATGCACATGTCTACACATGTCTACACGGGTCCGTGCTGCTCTTCGTTGAACTCTCGGGTGCCTTGGGCCTCTCGCCACCAGCCCCAGCAGCGACGGCCGGGCTCGGATGGCTCAAATGCGGCTGCATGAGCTGCTCGACCAGCTCTACCCGAAACCTCGCAGGCACGACCTGCGCGCACTTGCAGCGGCCACCCACAATTCTTGGCAATTGCCAGCCCAAGCCCAAGCCCTTGAACTTCGCAGCTGAACCAGAACCTGCGGCTGGTTACTTGCTGGCCGAGGAGGGGTAGAAGGAGCCGCAATCAATGCGTTGGCGACACTCGCTGTATCTGCCTGCCAGCAAGTGTCGGAAGCAAGCGATTGCCGCTCTGCCGCTAACCCCTATGCACACACGACTGTTCCCTGCCCCACTGTAATCGTTTTTCGTGCAGATGAACGTAGGAGTTTTGGCTGCAACCCTCGTCCCGAATCGCCAATATCTGCAGTTTGGCATACTTGCCGTGATGTCGTTTGCCGTGAGGAATTGAAGAGAGTTCGTCCCTGACGTGCCATCGTAAATGACGATCACAGCAAAACGTAGCATTGGTCGTCTGGATCTTGCGGCTCTGATCAGGAAGCACAAGGCTCTCCTTGACAAATGTCGTGGGGGCGCAACGGGACGCAGGTCATCATCATCTTTTCATCATAGGAGTGGACGATTGCCCGTTGGCCTTCCCCTTGCTTGGGTCGTTTGTCAGAGTTCGGCCTAGCGGTAGCCATCCTCGCCTTGAGCCTTTTCGAGCCAAATAGCATGGGGATAGGCTAGAATAGCCTGCCACTCTGGCACACGACACCTGTCCGTAGCGAAGTCCTAAGGAAACTTTGAACCCTCTGCAGCGAGTGCTGGAAACGTGTATGAACCTGCACATGGACTTCCTTGCTTAGGCATATGCTCGGCATGCGGGCCTTCGCAACATCGCTCCAAGGCGGCGTGTGAGGGGCCGGGATCGGCGCTGAAGTGGCCTCATCGTCGGCTACGCACTCTCCGACTGGCTTCCGAAGCCGTCTCACTGTTCGTGCAGGTTGCCAAGCCTTCAGGTCTTCTGAAGGCTGCCTGCTGGCCATGGCCCCTTCGGTCTGATTGTCCCGAGCCACTGCCTTCCATGTGCGCGCTGTTCCCAGCATGAGCAGGGCTATGCGGCATACGCACCATGATTAACAAACAGCATTATACATGATTTATGTAGTCAGTACAGAACGCAGCACACCCCCGCACCCGAGGAAGCGGTTGCCTTGGGCTTCGGCGCACGTCTCGCGATCTTGGGAGGGGTGCGCGGAGCCCGCGCAGACCGCGGTGTGTCCTTTAAAGCGTTGCGACATTCACAGAACCTCTCTCCTTTATTCTCTTTCTTTTTTTCATCCTCCGGAGGGCAAAAGTGTGCAGGTTGGTCCCCCTTTTTTTCGCGCTTCTTTGCCGAGAATGGGAACCCCGTCTCGCAGGCGTCCGCGAGCAGACAGTGCGTCAGGACCAAGGGGCGCTTGGGCCTTCACGCTTTGCGCAACCCACCCCACCCTTCCCACCCTTACCCCCACCCCCTCCCGGCCCCGGCCCAGGCGGGTCGGGCAGCAGCAAGATTAAGGCCACACCGCCCGCATTACGACCAGACAACTAATTTGGCGAAACCTCCTAAAGGCGGAGCCGAAGGTGCCAATGAATTGATCGATGACTCATGCATTTCGCTTCTATGCCGTCCGCAAAGCCTGCTCTCACTCTCGCCGTTGAGGGTTCTCCATTAAGGTGTCGAGCGGCCTCATCCTTCAGAGGTTTCATCCTCGCTGCCCCCCCGGCGCCTCCTGTGTGCCAACTCTGTTCTCCTCGCCCGCGGGCCATTCAACGCACCGGGGCTTTCTTCATCTTTCTTCCTTTCCTTCCCTCCGGCCTGCTTGCCTGCCTTCCTTCCTGCCATGCTTGCAGCCTTCCATCCTTCCATCCTTCCTTCCTTCACGCCTGGCCCCGAAGTGGACGCCGCCCTCGAGAGTCGGCGCAAAACTTGTGTGCTCGTCTCAAGTCTTCTTATTCCGCCATCTTGCCCTCAGACTTCCCCTCTCCCACTCTCTCTCTCTCTCTCTCGCTCATTCTTTCTCGCTTCCTGGAGCCGCTGCCGGAGCTTCGGGATCAAATCCACGAGACACTGTGCTGCACTCTTCTCCTTGTCATGACACCCGCAAATCTGGCACAAGAAGCGAGGTTGCGCATGCTCATGGGACCTCCTTCCTGAGAAGCTCTTTTGCCTTCAAGCCTCCATGGTGCGCAGGGGCAAGATGCGGAGGGACCTAGGCGCGAACCAAGAACCCGGTAAACAGCTCTGCAGCGTTCCAACTACTGTCGCTCTCAGCCATGCCAACCCATCCAGCCCTCGCCTGTAGTCGCAGAGTGCTCTATACCGTTCTAGATGCCCCCTCGAGGACTCGCAGCAGGTGAAGCAAGTTGGTACAACAGCCGAACCAATTTCACCCGAAACAACAACCCGAAAAGGCACTTGCAGGTTTGATGCAGCGGGATAGTAGGCTGGCATCACAGCTGCAAAATCCGCCCACTCTCTCTCTCTCTCTCTCTCTCCCTCCCCCTCTCTCTTTCTACAAGCCTGGGTTCCACGAAGGCTCCTGTTCCAGTGACCTCCTAAAAGCCTCCTGATTCTGCCGAGCTAAGAATGAAGAGACTAGATGAGGACGGGCGGGTGGTGACGTGCTGGCATGCTGGGTTTCATGGGTTTCTGGGTGGCTTCCAGGCGGCATAAGCGAGTGATGGAGGAAGACGTTCACTCTCGCGCCCGGCTCAGGCAGCGCCCGCTCTAGCCACATGACCTGTTCAGTCAATTTCAACGAGGACAGAACGTGCTTGCAGTGCGAGGAATTCACTGCTTCGATGGTCGGATCCCAACCGGCTGAGACTTTGGCAATCTTGGTGACGCCACCACATCTCACAAAGCGATCCAGACGATTGTCCTTTCCCTCCGTGAGCCGAATGGCTTCCATGCACTCCGTCTTCGTCGCTAGGTCAAGATCAGACCGCATGAAGTTCACAAAGCCGTGAACTAGTTGGCCTCTGCCAATACCTTAGCTCGCAGCTCACACTGGGGACGGCTTGCAATTCACGAAAAGTGTGAGAAAAGTCTCTAGTGGCAAACGCATGCATGGCGTTTCCATCTGGGAACCGACACTGCCACGCGCATCCACCCAACCAACTAAATACCGGGGCACAGGAATGGCAAGTGAGCAGTATAATTCGTGATCGAGAGAGTTCAAACCTTCCCGTGACAATCCAAGCAGCAACCAGAGCGATCCAAGAAGGAGCTGAGCGAATGAGGCTTACCTCAGCCACAGACAGCCATCAAGAATTCAAGGATCGGCACTTGTGGCCATAAGCGAGTAAGCGACTGTTGCGCGTCTGCACGGAGGCTGCTCCTCTGTCCTTCACACCGTTGGAAAGGGAAGAGGCCTTGTCGGAGCGCGCAGCCGCCATGTTCGGGCTCTTAAATGAACACTTGTGTGGGCGAACATGTGGGAACTGACACGCGTGGCATGGGCATGGCTTGGGCATGGGCCCTCAGGCGAGTTGGGCTACGTACTATGCTGAAAACACACTGTAAAGGGGGAAAGAAACTCTTCATGTGGGTGGAACGAACATGCTGCTTCCAGTCGCTCTTAAGCGTCTTGCTTGGTTTGCCTATGCTGACGTACGGCCTCAGGCCTTGAGCGCAAGAAAGGCTCCCCAAAACATCCACAGCTGGGGTCAGCTTACTGATCACCTTACCTCTCCCCCTGTTCGACCCCGACGAGACCCTAGAGATGCAATGCCAAAGCCCAGCATGCCGTGAGATCTTCGACTCAGTCCAGCAGCACGTCCCACACCTTGGAATCCTTGGACTTTGCACCTGAGGAGCGTCTGTTGGTATTGCTGCAAAAAGGCTTTGCACTCCCGGCCTGAAAGTGCCAGGGACAAGCAAGCGGCCTTGGTTTGCGCAAGGGGGCCGAAGGCACAAGACATGCTGTGCGCAACCATATCTTAGAGCTCAGCAGCTTTGAAGCACCAGAAATCCAGGCCTCAAAAGCGCCAATTTTCAGAACCATGTTAAACGTGCTGAGTCACAAAAAGCTCAGGAGCATGCTGTTCTGCAGCACCTCCAGCAACAAAGCTTCCACCTGCATCCAAAGCGAACCTTCGAGGGATGTCATGCTGGTTCTTCGGTTCTTGTGCCTCGTCGGCACCGGCAGTCCGTAGAGCAGCGAAGCTGCCCGCATCCTGCCCCCAGCCGTGCCTGGAACGGAGAGTGACCAACCTGGTTGCCACACTTCTCAGGTGCAATCGAGCTCCAGACGTCAGGACCATCGGCAGCTTTGTCAGCTCTGATGCCTGCCAAAGTAGCATTAGATCGGCCCCCATATAATACCGCCGCTTACTGACGCACTGCGCATCTCATGGACGTTGCGTGGCATTACGTCGGACGAGACAGCTCCGAAGATCTCCAGCGCTCCTTGTCGATGAGAGCTTCAGCTGCAGCTCGCCGTGTTCCAGCATCCTCCCACAAAACAGCCAACTGGAACTAGCAAGACTTAAAACAGTCAAAACAAACCAAACAAGTCGCTCCGCGTTCACTCAGATGCACTCACCCTGTAAGGTTCCGTCCTTGTCGCTCACGGCACGCAGCAGCGGTAAAAGCAGTGATCGTCGAGGAGCCTTTGCCACGCCGACTCTTTAAAGAATGGTTGGCCATCAAACTGAGCGACTCTCTGAGAAAAAAGCACGCAAGCGGCGCATGTCCACCTCTGCCAGGCCTGGCACAGCGCAGACACGCGGTGGTCGCACAATGTCGCACATTGGTCATGCGCATGTTGAGCCACGACATCGTCTGCTCCGCATTGATCACAAGGTAGCTGTTGACATTTTGTCTTCTGCACGCGAGCACTACGAGCAGACAAGTCGTCTGCAGGACACCTACGACAAGTCAATATAGCTCGTCACTAACATCCAAGAGCCCTACATCATGGCTGCCGTTGATGGCAAGATCAGGCGCGTCCTCAAGTGACCATTTGACTGAATCAGGCCTTCTGGCCAATAGCCCCTGCGCATGATAACCCTGCTCGCGCGCATCCAAGTTGCAGCTTTCAGGATGGCCGCCGCCCGTTCTGCGCTGTCTAATGTGGCACCCTTCCTTAGCCGACATTGGAGTTGTAAAGCTTCAGCAACTGCCCCGGTTCCTGCCTTCATTCAAAAATTTGCTACAGCTGCTGCCTGCCAATTCAGAGCAAGCATCGGTGGGAAGGAGGTCTCCTTCGCCATCAGCAATTCCTGACAACTACAATGAATTGCAACATGTGAGCCATTCTGAACCATTGTGAGCCACTCAGGCCAATCTTGAGTCAGCGAGGTCCACAGTGTGATGTCTCGGCCAAGCTTCTGCCACACTGCTGTTCACCGGCGGCGAGACGCGTCTTTGCAGCATGGCGCTGTACTCTTCCATCCCGGAGTTCAGAGTCGATAGCCATTCCTCCGCCGCCAGTTCCGGATGCCAGAATCGTATCAGCAGCACGATCCTCAAAGCTGCGAAGCGGAAGAGTGCGCAGGGTGGAAGCTCGCATGGCATACTCACCAGCTTTTCCTTAGCTCCCAGCCTCATGCTGCTGCCGTCGTTTGTCACCTCAAGCAAAAAGCGCTTGCCCGCTCAGAGAGACAGAAGGACAAAGTGGCCCAAAGAGACAGACCTCTCAGATACTCGGTCCACTCGGTATTCACCAACCTCGTGCTCGTAACTGTCGTCGAAGAAGATGCACCGGCCCTCCTCTTAGGGATGGGCTGTAAGACAGTGTAGGATCTGGCAGAAACATAACTCAGACTCCCTGCCCGGTCCTCCCAAGTGCCCCACTCTGGCCCTACGCGAACGCGAGCCCCTTCTGGGCATACGAGCCCCAGATGGCACGTCAGGCGGACATTGCTGGACGCACCTCAAGCCAGAGGAACCCTTTGATGGGTTTCACTATATATCACATGATTTCACAGATGATTTCGGTATCAGGCGCTTTGTTGAGGACCAAATTGTAGCAAGCGGCAGTGAGGCACTAGCTTGGTGCCTGGAGATATGGCCGACAAGATAATCTCTCCAACCTTGGGGTCTCTGCTACTCAGCTCCTCTGTAGGTGGTTTAGGGTAGCGAAAGGGTGTGATCTCGAGACAAGGGGCCCCTATCTTCGCCATGGCCACTGCCCCAGGCAGCACGGACTCCAGCAGCTCACACGTCTTCGGAAAGAGTTTCAGCACCTGATGCTGGTTACCAGGTCAAGGAGTTGTCAAGGTGCTCAAGCCGTCGTCTGCATCTTGCCTCCGGATTTGCTGTGGACTTGCTTTGGTCCTGCGCCGAGTATAGGAGGAACTCCCTCCACTCGCCACCCGGGGCCACTATGTCTCCTGAGCGTCAACTCCGAAGGCTGTGCGTGGATTACATACCGCTTGCGAGAGTCAACACGCAGAGGAGGGACCCCTGCGACCCTTGCAGCCGGGCTTCCATCTTGGGAGGCTCTCTCCTCAGAGCTCCCGATTCGAAAAAAAAACGTAAAAAACGTCAGATTAGCGCCTGTCGGCGTATTTCTGCGCATACAAGGCACCAAACGTGGAGCACAACCGAAAGGAATATTGGGACGGCTTTTTTTGGCCAGGCGTCATCCCCAACTCGAACCCAGCTCTTGGGCATGTTGCCGCCCTGGTCGCCACGTGCACCGAAGAGCTCCATCATCTCAGCCTTCGAACAGTCCATGATGACAGTCAATGAAGTCAACGCCGCAGTCAACACATCGCCAAGCACAGCCTTGATGGCAGGGTAAGCGTTTTCCAGGTCGGCTGACCATGGAAAGTCTTCCCGCGCCCACCAGGCCTTCGAGGTGAGACCTGCGGATCTGTGAAAGGCCATAGCGGCCAGCCGAGGCTACCGAGCGATGCGCATCCGATTCTGCTCACTTGCACGCTCTCTCACACTGATGCCTGACCTCGCACATAAATAGGCGGCCGCTGCCACTCGTCCGCCCAACACGCTTTGGCTTCAATAGCTCGGCGTGCGACAAGCCGCGCCTCCTCGCGCCTGGCAGCTCCAAACGTAAAGCATCTGCCAGAAAACCCAACTCCACACCTGGAGCTGTTCAGACTGTAAAATACTGCGAAGTAACGTTTCAGGGACCCGGGTGTCGCCGCAAAAAGGGGTGTGCGTTCTGCAAAGGCCTGCCGGCGGACTCCAGGAAAAGGACCAGCTCCAGGTAGCCGTGGCCACTTGCTGGCTCAGCCTCAATCACCTCAGAGCTCTCGTTTACTTGTGGGGAGTGGGGAGGAGGCATGGCAAAATGATGCAACATGCATCAACAAGCTGCCAAACTCTGAGAAATCACGGTACGACACGGTTCACAATGCGCAGAAATGCCATGCGCATGCCAATGCCTGGCCTTTCGGTAGAATCGCTCGGCCTCTTCTAGCCGTTCTGCGTGATAGAGCAGCGTGGCCAGGAAAAAGAGCCGCTTGGAGTCGCTGGCATCCGCCTGCCTCTGTAGGGAAAGGAGAAAGGTTTCAAATTTTGGCCGAAAAACTGTTGACCGCCTAGTTTAACTCACGCAGAACTTTTGCACCGCTCTCATCGACATCCAGTGTTGTAAGCGTATCCATGCGTACCCCAAAGCTTCGCTTGCTGGAAACAAATCTTCGGCCAAGGCGCACGGATGCCTCAAAGGCCCAAAGCCCCGCCGTTGTCTGCGGGTTTGATTTCACCTTGCAGCTGCCGTGCTGGATGCGCTTGTGCAAGGGGTCCCCTGTGCCTCGGGCAGATATTCCACGATGCCCTGGGCCCAAAGCTCGTCGGCTGCCATGGCCCCAAGGCACTTCCAAAGCTTGGTTGGTTGCTTGAGTTTTCTGACTTTAGATTCGTTAGATCAGGCCCTCTGCATGCAAATTGGTGGGCTTTCCCTCGCCACTGGTACACCTGTGTCGTGCTGCAGTGATTCCGAATGCAATCCATCTGAAACCCATTGGAAGGGCTGTAGGCTGTAGTGTCACGCCAAGTGCTGGTTCTGCAGGACAAGTTTTTTTCAGCAGCAACTGCATCCTTAACCTACGTGCCCAGGCCCTTGCCTGATGTAGCCTTCCTGCGAACGCCAGGATCCTCCCGCTGCCAGCAAGGGCTGAAACACTTCACCCATTGCCTCGTGACTCGTGCGCCTCATCCATCATGAGATCCGCAAGCGACTTGGCAGCCATCTCAACCTTCAGACGAAAAGACGGCTCAGCTTGTTCACGGCTTGCATCCGAGGCATCTGCGCCGCCGGGATATCTTCCTCAGATCAATGGCCAACGCAACGAGAGCAAAGGTTGCATTTAACCCTTTCCCTTGCGGCACGAAGTCTCTCCTAGTGTCTTCCGAGCCCAGTGCGCGCGATGCTTGTGATGGCAACGACAAGAGAGGACCTCACCTGGCGTCCCATTCACCACCCTCCGAATGCATCTTGCGCCCAAAGACTCAGGAGCCCATGCCAGCAACTCTGAGAGACCACGGTGAATCGGGCATTTCCAGCCGGTCACTTGGACTGTCTTTTTGTATCCGAATGCTCCGGCATGTACAGCACGTACAAGCGTGCATATGCTAGTGTTCTGCTACATAGGAGGAGAGGTGAGAAGTTTCGGGTACAAAACTGCACAAAGGAAGTCGCCAAAGATGCGTGCTGCCCGCTGCAGCATTGCAACCAAAGGCTCTAAGCATCAAAGCATCGCTAGATATCGCTGGTAAAGTAGTAATTCTCTCAGGACATGATTCAAACAACTAGACACCTCCACAGCTAAGCCTTGTTCGGCAGGCCTTTTGGAGCTGTTGAGACGCGGCCGGCAGGTTGGCCCTTTTCAGCCTCACACTCATTTCGCCTCCAAGTACACCGTGCCCTGGTTGCCCACGACCTGGAAGGATGATTCTGGTCCCTCAGGCATGAAAAATCACACACTGCTGCCGCTCAATCAGTCGTGCCAATACACACAGGTACTGTCGACCCCAAAGATCTTCGCATGCAGTTACATGCACACGCAGACGCCCACACGGGATTATCACGTCGTGGTGGGCGAATGCTTCGCCCATCATGAACTGTTGTTGAAAGCCTTAGGCCTTCGAATGTGGGATGGAAGATTATGGGCAACATCGCCACTCAGCACCAATCTTGCAAGGTCAGTAGCACCTACCTCAAGATCATTCGGCACCATACTTTCAGCGTCACTTGGAGCCATAGGGACCCATAGGGAGCTTTTGGGGTTTGATGGCTTTGGCCACCTGACTCTCTCCGGACGCATTGCGTTGACCACGTGCCCTCGCAAGACACAGGCAGACCGAAAGGCATCAGAAAAAAGGGGATCTTGGGCCCCGACTGTGGCCCAACCTACGGCACCATCGGAAGTCGCCCGACATCGGATTCGAGTCAGTCCGGACCTGAGAACCAACAGTCTTTGAAGCGGATGGCGAGACACATGCGCGCACGGCCATTTCTAACCTTCTGTGCTTCTCTCGTATGCATCATGATGCCATCTCCGAAGGACAGAAAGCAGCACGCACGCTCGGCCGAAGAGCCAAGCTCCCGACCCCTCATGCTTCTTCATCCAAGACCGGGCCTCGACAGTCTCACCGATCTTTAGTCGCCGGTCCTCCTGCGGGGCTGTTCAAGTAATAGCACATGATTAACAGATTAACAGGAAAAGAAGCTGCACACATGCCAAATGACTAGTCTGACCAGAGTCGCGACATGGAGGCAAGCCAGGAGATCTTTTTTCTCAACTTGCAGGCGAGCACGGCACCATGTCATCGCCAGCAGGCACTTCCACGGCCGCCTCTTGTCGCGCAGCGTAGACTCCAACATCAACTCAAGCGGAGAGGAGATGACATGAGCAGACTGAGTAGACTGGTTACGCAGGTTGGGGTTGCTGGGCTTGATCCTCGGCCGGGTGTAGCCAAAGCACCCACTTCTTGGTCACCTCATCGTCGTCTCAGTTGCGCCGACACACGGGGCAGAGATGGCCAACATCGCAGGTCATGGCTGAGTCATTCCCCTCCCGGGGATCCCCTTTCAGGGAATGGCTGGAGCGGCCTTCCGAGGCGACTCAGATGTCCGGCTGCAAAGGCTCGGGCGAGGCGCCATGAGACCGGCCAAATGTCCAGGGCCAGAGTGCCCATGTATGTCAACTCACCAATACGCGGGCCCCAGTGGCCGTCACCTAGAAGCCAGTCGACTCTCAACTCGTCCAGACCTATCTCCTGCGCCAAGCGCTCGGAATCACCCCGGATGGCTTCCCAGTCTTCAGATAGGGAGCGGAGCAAAGTCTCCAAAATGGCGTGCGGAAGCGGCTCCCACACCCCATGGCCCTTCTTCAGCAGACCTGGAAGGTTCGGGTCCCACAGCTGAACCGCTCCACTGCTCAGAACCCACAGAGCCATTGGATGGGAATGGAGGCAACCACCCACAGCAACACCAAAGAGGACCTGCACCTGAACTGTGCCATGATTCAACAGTAAGTAGAACCTGCACACCTCCTTACTCCTTCTCTTTGCTGCGCTTCAGATTTGGTGGCACTCACTCTCTCGCTCGCTCGTCTAACAGCGTGGAAAGGAAATAATCAAAACGAAAGGGGGAGCGCTATATAAGGTATTGAAGGGGGGGGGGGGTGTTGCAAATTATGGTTGCTTGGGCGGGGCGCTACGGCACATGTAGGAAATAGTTCTCGTTCGAGTGTTCAAAGAGAGTTTGTACGCTTTGGTGCAGTTGGTGCAGGCTCGATATGCCAAGCCGTTTGAGTGGGCCGGCACCAATCGCAGTCCTTTTCCAACAACGGGCCCTTTACAAGGCTCCGCCCTAGTCTCACAAATGTTCGGCTGGCCGACAGGTAACATCTTGGCGACCCTGATGTGCATGCAGCACAACTGAACGCATGATTCGGATCGCATCAACCCCACCAGAAAATAAGACAAAAGTGCTTCCAGTCTTGGTGTTGAGCGGCTTTCAGCTCCAGAGGCCTCATAAGCTTGTTGCGCGCGCCCATCGAAACGTCCACATCTGCCATATCTGCCATGAGGGCGTACAAAGGCTGCAGCAAAGCGCCCTTAGGGACGGCATTTTGGTTCCAAGACTCTTTCTTCCAGGAAGGATCTTCCCCATTGAGCGCCGCATCAATGCTTTCGCACACTGCTTCCACCCCCGCCTCTGCATCAACGGCATGCGAAGCTTCAAAAGGCTTCAGAAAACCAAAAAAAAACACAAAAATTAGCTGTGGACATTTGTGGACAAGCCGACGTCTGCCTGTGCAGGACTCGGGAACATGGCCACGAATTTGGAATTCGACCCGTGGCGTGGCTTCACAACCTGGGCATGGCATCTTGAGCAGGTCGAAGCAAATGACCGAAGTTAAACAAGATTGAAGCAGCGTTTGTATGCCGGAGCTGAGAGGATTCAAAGGACAGCTGTAAGTTCTTGAACGCAAGCTTGCATAGGTTTCAGAAAGGCGGGGTGGGGCGTGGCGGGTGGGAGGAGGGGCTGAGGGGGACGTGCATGTCGGGCTGAAAGAAGTACATGTGGGTTCGGCAGCTATTTCTCACGACATCATGATGTTCCTTCCTCCCTTCCTTCCTCGTTTCCTTTTCCTTCCCTTTCCCTCTTTTCCTTCCTGTTCCTTCCGGTTCCTTCCCCTCCCTTTCCTTCCCTTCCAAAACAATAAAACGAAAACAACCAAAAAAATCAAAAAAATCACCGGGCAGCAAGTCCTCATGCTTGCCTGTGACCGAAACGGCTGCCAAGCAACCAAGGGGGTGTCCAACTCCACCTCTTTTCAAGCGCTTCTCAAAAAAAGACTGTGAATACCCCTCACTGGCGATACTGTGCCCGGTGCCTCGCGGCTTGCCGCTGCACGCAGAGCCTCTTGCAAAAAAAACCAAAAGCCCTCCGAAAGGGGCCCCAAAGTTGGGGGCCCCGAAAGAGTGTGCAGTGCAGCGGCCACGGATGCCCAAGCCTGTTGTCCCTCGCCATCCCGTCCGCCGCAACCTGCGCCAGCGTGGCCGGAGCATGCCGGAGCACTCATCGCAGTTTTTCTCACTGATTCCACCGAGTCAGCCAAGGTCTATCCGACTCTGTGGCCCAGGCCCAGAATCGGCAGGTGCCGTACAGCTCCCAGCACTTCCGCTGTCTTGGTCACCTTCAGGGCTGGGTGCTCCCCTGGCATTCCCCCCGGCATAGGCTCTGAGGCAAACGACGAGGCATCACACAAGAGCGCACCATCAATCTGGTAAATGTTCCAGCGGGGTCCATTAGCTGCATTAGCTGCTGCCCAGTTTTGAAGCCATGTCCGTGCATGCGTTCTCTAGTGACGTGCTGATGCCAGGGCGACTTCGACAAGGCTTCGGAAGGTCTCGGCAGGCAAAGCCTGGACGACTTTATCGTCGAGCCAGGAGAGGCTTCGATTCTTGGCCTTCGCAAGTTCAAACGTCTCTGATTTCCCCTGTCAACATCTCAACATCTCCAGCAGGCACGGGAACACCAAAGCTGCTTGGCCTTGTATGATTCACCTATTCGTTTGTTCATGATGCACCGCCAGTCTTTGACGTTCTTGCCTGAGCGCTTCAAGTACTTGGCCGGTGGCAGCACAACACCTCCGAATCATTGCAAGCATTGCAAGCAGAGAGCGGGAGCTTGGCTCCATGACCTGCGGGAAGGCGTCTGCAATGTCAACACACTATGCCGCCAGAGGCCCACATAGCTGCAAAGACACGCCACAAGAAGAGTGCCGCCTCACGCAAAAAGTCCACCAGATCACGCATTGGTTCCTTGAGCAGCACTTGACAACTTCGCAGCGGGTAATCAGCGCATGGGAAGGGACAATTTTTGTTCGACCAAGGAGTCCAGACCCGCTAGCTTTTGTGACATTGATGGTGCTCGCACATGAACCACCACCACGTTTTCCGGCGACTGCCGACTGCAACAAGGCTCGACTTCATGCTTGTTGTAGAATCCACCCAGTGCCTCGGCCTACGGGCTCTGCGGCGTCCTGCGGACTTCAGATCGCAAGCCATCAAGAGCTTAGAATCCGAGCCGCGCATGACTTGTTCAGGTCCATGTGTAAGGCAGCACTGGCTCCGCGGGCGAAATCCTGGAATTGCCCGTGTCTGCGGAAGAAAGGTTGGAAAGCAGGTTCGAGAGTGCCGCTGCATGAAGGCAGCCTTACGAGCTGGAGAAAGGCTCACTCCTGCTCGATGCAAAGCAGAAGCTTCTCGTAAGGAAGCTGCAGCAGCTTGCCAGCGCAGCTTTGGCCTCTCATCTTACATCCTGCACTTATCCATCCAGCGGCAGTTCTGCAGGCCTTCCACCCAGTCTGGTAGCATTGCAGCTCAGAGGCAATGGTATGTTTAAACACTCATAGGCATAGGGGTCGTGAAATGTCATCAGGTTAAAGGAATTTGACGAAGTGCTGCATCCTTGCAGCTTCCGTCTCGCTCTGGATGTGCTGCTGGAGCCGCAAATGAAAAGCTGCCGTTGAAGTTGACAAGTAGGCACCACAACGATGGTGCTCGATGGCATTCGACTCACATTTAGCTCCTTTGGTGTCTCTTTGGCAGCACCGATCTCGAAGTCGTCCGTTAGGAGGGTTTCCTGGTCAGAGCGCTGAATTTGAGCAGCACGAAGGCAAAGATGAGCAAACACAACTCAGGCACCATGGGACGGCCTTGACTACCTTGAAGCTGCCTCCACCCTCCTGCACAGGGGTGCACCGCAGACCGCCGCCTCCCCCAAGAGCACATCACGTTGACTTGGCTGAAGCAGAATTGGCTTCAACTTTCCTGGAGGCCAACGGATTGACAAAAGAAGCTGTCCTGGAGGTAGTCAGTCCCCTGGTTGCCAGATATGGTAGCCCAACCTGGGCCCAAGCCTTTCTCGAGCCTCTCACATGATGCCTAAGACGCTCTTGCTCTCACTGCATCCTCCGGCCTTAGCAGCCTTAGTGCCTGGGGTCTACTTAGTCAACGCTTTAGTCAGTTTCGTCTCATGGTAAACACATTCTGTTGTGTTTGATGCGCCCGGGCGGCACTCTGACCACAAACTGATTGCAAGAATCGACCTGGAAAACTTGGCGCCCACCTTCGGTTCCATCTGTAAGCAGACGTACTTTCCTGGGTAGGAGCTGCAATGACACTGAGGCTCTTGAGACGGGCATAAGCTCCGAACACTCGCATCACGTCCACCTCCGGCTCCTGCGCAGCTTTACATCTTAGACTCTTGGACTCGTGACTCGTGGAGCTGTAGCTGCACTGTAGCTGAGCACAGCTGAGCAAAGCTGCCATTTCAACGTAAAGTACTCAGTACTGCAATGACGCAGCAGCACGAAGCGTTTTCTGTTGAACATTCGAAGTTTACATATTTTTGGCAAATGTCAACTCACACCGTCACAGCCCCGTGCCTTGGTCGCAACACCGAGGACCTCCACCACGTCACCTACCTCCAACTTGCTGACGCTGGTGGCTTTGACGCTCACCTCAGTGGAATTTTGGACGATTGGACTCAGCATCGCCTGAGGCCTCTGAAGAGCCTTTTGCCTGCCACCGCAGTCCCATGTCTTCAGCGTCCGGACGCTTGGCTTAACATGTCAAACCAACGAGGGGGGGGGGGAGGGACGTTTTGAAAATGTTGGCACAATGACAAATGGTGGAATCAATGCTGTGGATGCACGCTGCTCGCGCGGCCAAGTGTGAACCGCTGCTGCACGTGATGCACATATATGCACATCGCGGCATGAAACGCACACATGGGCCAAGTCCGCCACGCTGTCGGTGATAGTAGTTTTGCTGACGACCTTCATGAATCTTCGCCTGGCTTTTGGTCCGAGATCAAACTCACCAGGCAACTGCAGATTCTGTGATCGGGGTCTTTGCCACACCTTTGTTCACTGCCAGATTGCGTGCTGAACGCCGCAATCTAGTTTGAAGATCTATGTCGCTAAGGGCTCAGCAGAATCTCACCGACCCGCTCCTGCAATGGCAAGTGGCAGTCAAGCATCTCAGCCATTGCAAGAGTAGCTACAGTCGTCCCTGGAGACCACCTCACCCTGCAGCACTTGAATGCCCCTCCTCACTCAGGTGTCCAGCTCCAGCTTCGTCCCAATAAGTAAAGAGTCTTTGAAGGTCCTTCCGCAATCATGATGCCGGGTACATTTTTCGACTCTGACACTGGCTTTGCGCACTGCTGCAAAAAAGGGCCACAGGCGAGGATCAACATGCCAGCTATTGCCAGCTCTATGGAGCAGTCAAGCGTGAAGGTTATGTGCGTGGCCTCCTTGCTGGGGAACTCTGCCGCTTCGCCGTTCGTTGACTCCTCTCATGCTGGGCTCGGGCTCACAAGGGGAGTCTAGTGCCAAAGACAGAGGCTTAAGGGGTAAAAAGAGTGACCCCTAGAAGGGACCCGTCGTCTTCTTCCCCTATAGAACCCATACCATATATAGACCCTGTAGACCTAGCTCCTAAATACCCCTAAATACCCCTAGATAACCCTAGATAACCCCTGATGCCGGTCCCTCCTTTAGGGTCCCTTGAGAGGCCCCAAGGCAGAGGCCAAAGGATGCTCAGAACCGCTCCTTCTCGCAGCCCGCAAAGAAAGCGAGGAAGGAAGGCTCGTCTACGGACTCCTGCAAGTTACTTAGCTGAGCATTGGGAGCTTGTGCAACCACGGCACGCCCCGTCCATGACCCGAGCATCCCCATCATGATGGGCATTCGGTGTATTTCGGGGCTCTGTCCTCATCAGAGGCAGCCCTCAGTTGACACAGAGCATGAGACAAGCAGGGCGCACAATCAAACAAACCTGTAAGCGTAGCGTGCATCCTCCAGCACCAGTCTGTGGCCAATGCATTCTTGCAAAGACGCCGTCATTTGCAATATCCTGGGCCTCGGCAATGTCAATTCCACGACACACCAGCACATGCGGGACACAGTGGGCCGACCATGAATGTCTTCAAACCCGCCCACACATACAAGCCCATCAGTTTTTTGAACTCATCCCAAAATCCCTGAACACTCTGAAGTCACGCTTCAAAAGCTCGGCCCCAAAATGCCCCTAGCATGGCCGAGAGTGAATGCCCAGTGTTTCTTGATCAAAGAAGCCGGACCAAGCACTGCATCCTTTTTGTTTGAAAGTGGCGATGGCTGGGCAGCATGATCCTCTCAACTCGGGTCTGGCGTGAAAATGCGTGTACCCCGGCAGGTACTCTGGCAGGCCACAGAGCCGCCAGAGGTCTTATGAAGTGCGAAGTCTGCGAAGTGGTGGGTAGTCAAACGGTAGTCAAACTCATGTCATTTCGGACTGTGTAGCTCCGTGGCTCGTGGCAAGATGGGCCCCAGTCGCACGGCTTTCGAGCGCACGGTTCTCGAATGCAAAGTTGGCAGAAGACAAGGATTTGATCCTTGTCTTGGCCTTGACGTCTTGTCATCACGAGTGCAACGCAAGAAGGTCAGATCGGCTCGCCTCAGCCTCCGGCCGAGGAAGGCGTCTGGAACACACCACCTCCCCCCCTTCCCAAGGCCCACTCACCCCCCGGTGCCCTGCTCTGTGGGGGGCTGCCACATGGGGAACCGCAATCCGACGTTGTGCCACCATTTCTGGTTCCCAAGCTTCACTTGGCAACAAGCACACCGAGCCCGAAAATGCTGCCTGTTGATAGTGCAAGCCAATACGTTCCCCAAGTTCATTTACGCTGCGGGCTCAAAGTGTCAGATGTGTCCGGTTTACGCGGGGTTTACGGATCTTCTACTCTCCAGCATGTTCCCCCTCTCTCCGTATCGGCCCTCTCCGTATCGGCAGCCCTGCCGAGGCGGCACGCGCAGGCGTATTTAGTTCAATCAAATGCGAAGACGGACTAGTGATGTCTTTTTCTGTCAAGGCCAAAGCACTGCCGCCACGGGTTCTTACTATGCAGAGGGCACTTCCCTCAAGGCAAAACAGGGTCGACCTGCGTGATGCTTTAAGACTTTAAGACGGACGTTCGTGACAGCTCCACGCCCCTTCGTGCTTGGCACAATAGGCTGAGATTGAACCAGATCTCTGCCATGTGCAGGAAAATGGTCTCTGTCTTTGCACAGTAGCTGCAGGCAGCCAATGCCAAAACTGACCTCGGACCATCAACGACAAGTGAGAACTCCGAACGAAAAGCTGCATTCTTGACGGATTTCAGCCGAGCGGCCCCGTGCCAGAAAATCACCAAATGCCTGCAATGAGATGATTTGCACCTAACACCTGCCCAGCCTGAGGCCTTTGGCGACAGAATGGCTATGTCGCGTCATGAAAATAAGCCTAGACGGCCTCAGGCACTCTTTGCACGCGCAGATATCCACTCACTTTGAACATTTGCCCAAGCGGAAGCCCCAGCACATGCTCCCCACAGGCCTCCAAGCTTGCTCTGGGCCTCGGAGCTAATGCGGCCAGTGGTGATCAGCCAGTTCTGGGCCTCCAAATAGTTCGTCGGGGCGATGCCTCGGTGCATCCAGATTAGAAACCCCCCTATGTTTCCCAACCGTGGGTTCTGGTTTCCGAATCGGGGAGCTTTCGAAGCAGGGCATAATCATAATGCATCATAGGGCCCGGAGCTGAATTCAATTCCGAGGTGCGGATGGCCTGATTCCAGTACAGGGCAGCCTTGTCCTCGGCAGACAGCACGCACCAGCCCTGGTTGCAAGTAGCAAGGTGGTCTCTTGCGAGGGCTCAATGCGAACGGGCATGGAACTTGCGAAAGGACAGATGCCCAGGGTCGTAGAGGACAGTCGACTTGTCCAGAGCACCCTTCTTCTCAGCTCTCATGGCTTGATCGTGGTAGATCACCTGTGCCGCTCAAGACTCCCGCAAACAAGTTTGGAGAATGAACCAAGCAAAGCTCGGTAAATTGGAGGCGTAGATCCGCTGCAGCTCAGTGGCCGCGATGTTGTTGTAGGCCTGTCAGCAAAGGCATGCCACGATGGCATGCCGATTGGCCCGTGGCATATTCAGCTGCATGTCACTATGCAAAGCCATGAGGCCTGGCACAACTCCTTGTTCTGATCCAAGGAAAGGTGGTAGTATTTGACGGCCTGCAGGAGACCAAAATGCAAAGCACGGCATTCAGCAATCGCAGCCCGGAAAGGCCTTCACGTATTCACCGTTGGAGCCAAAGATGATACCCAGGTTGTAGAAGATGTAGCTTCTGTCGATCCTGGCGAGCACTCGCCCACGGCGCATGGTGTCGTCTGCTCTGTTCCGAAGCCTACCACGGTATACCGCGGCGGCATGCAAAGCAAAGCATCCAATGTACTGCTGCCCTCGCCGAGCCACGGGTCTTCCTCCAGCTTCAACGCCTCCGAAAAGGAACGCATGCAACAAACTTGCGGGGACACGAATCTCCGAAGCCTCTGCGTAACTGCGAAGTGCCATGGAGTAGTCACCTGACACCTGACGGACAATGGTTGAGTTCAATTCAATTCAACCTGGGTTGAGCTAACGCTGCTCATTGCGGCCCCGAAGGTTTTGGCGGGCGTTCCAGGCGTTTCGTGTTTCCAGCGCGTGCGAATGGCCAGAGCATCCATGCCCGCACGATTATTACGTTCGTGTTACCAGTGCGATCGAATGGCCAGAGCATCCACGCCCACACGATGATGACGTTCGTGTTTCCCGTGCAGTGCGTGCGAATGGCCAGAGCATCTATGCCCAAGCCTAAGCCCCCAACTCTAAAGCTCTTAATTAAGCCCCAACCCCCACAGTTCAAACAGCTTAAAACCCCAGGGTTCAAAGTTTTTGAGTTTTCGGGGTATACCTCTTCAACCCTCAAACCTGAAACCCGAAACCTCTGAAAAGCGCACGTCTCTTTGGTCGACTATCGCTGTGCGCAGTGTTGTCGCCCGAAAACAGCATTCAAAAAACTAACACTTTTTTGGGTGCGATTCGCGCGTCTGGACAACATCGCTGTGCGCAGTGTTTCGCGCGCGAGAGAACCCCGGCCCCTTGGTGGCAGTGGCGATTCTCAACATATTCAAAACACATCCCGCGAATGCGACGCGCGAAAACTTCGAGTATTTTTACGTTTTCCTGCGTCCTGCGACATGACACGCGCAAAACACGCGGAGCCGCAAAAAGCAGTGTCACCTTGAGAGCAACAACTGCAAGCGGCCTGAGCGGCCATACCATCACCTGCATTTGTGCATGAGCTTCTGTTGTCTTCAAGAGTCTGTAAGCAGTCTTGTGGAGCCGTTCTTCAGGGCAGCTGTCATCCACCACTGCAAGCGAGAGGCGATAGAACTGATAAGCGTCTTTCTCTTGCTGCGAGAGAGGGATGAGGCCAATCACGACATCTGTCCTAGGAGCGCTCGACTCAAACAAACAGAAATCACTCAGATCTACTCAAATTCCAAGATACTCCAAGACTTCAAGCGTGCTCAAAGTGAATCAAACACATCTGAACATCCATTTCTCATTTCTCCCTTGGACTCTAGGAGCTACGTGGAGTCACGGCGAATCAAGGCAGCGCAGGCTCATGGCTGTGAAGGCCTTGTCAATGAAGTTGTCGCCTGGGCCACTGCTGAGTGCTCCCACGCGGCGGCACGATAACACAATAAAGCACAGCTCTGACTGCGAAGAGGCGCTCTTGTCGTTAACACTGACGGCTTGCATCTGCCTGTGCGCGGCAGCCAACCAACGCACACACGCATCAGTGTCTGTCTCGCGATGTGCACTGGAAGCAAGCAAGCACCCCCGGAATCTCAGAAATGTTGGTGCAGTCGCCCATAAACAGACTGTGCTTCCCGGCACGCGCGGCTGCGGGGCAGCGCGGCGGCCGCCGGCAGCAACAAAGCTGAGCGCCGCCGAGACACCGAAAACGCCTAAGGTGAACGCGGTCAACTGATCACTGGCATTGAGCTCAGCTTGTTGGTGTGCAGTTGGCACACTCCTCTTGCTATCGCCGATTGGCATCCTGACCATCAAGTCCCTGCATGTCTTTGCGAAGCCATCCAAACCTGAATCCGCTTGCGTCATCTTGGGCAGAAGTATCATGAATGAGTCATCATCATTACCATCAACATCACCAATACCATGAGCACCATCATCGGCATACCACTTATCAGCAACAGCAACAGCACAACCAACATGCAGCACCAGCACCATCCGATTGGTTAATCTAGACTGTGAGAGTACTCGTCATAAAGTTGTCGTCCAGTTCTTGCGGTGCAACCGAAAGCGCCAGCAGCCACAGCTGCAATGCGTAGAACCCTTCGCAAGGGCATTGTCATGGGTCCTGCCGCTCAATCCACACCTACGCAATCCGACAACCACGCTCAATGCCAAACACATGAGCCAGCCTGCTGTCCCAATTTACCACTGGCCAGGGAGCGGTCACAAGGCCTTCTTCAAAGGCTGGCTGCGTCTTGAGCAAAAAGATTGCACACATTGCTCAGCCGAGTATGCATGGGCTGCGTAGCTTGCAACTCATGCTGCCAGTGTGTAAAGGCATAGATCACAGGTGCACCATCCCTGCCCGAAACTCCAGGCCCCTGGCTTTCTGATACTGGCGAATGATCACCAACGCTCTCCTGCGTAGCATGACACGAGGCAGGAGCTTTGCAGGTTGCCCTAGGTGTCCATGTGGGTCCTGGCGAGCTTCTCCAGCTCCTCCTGATTGCGCCTATCCGCAGTCATGCGCTGCCGCTTGGTGAACTGGCCTCGTCCGAAAGAATCAAATGAAAGCTTAAGATACTTCAAGCATACACTTGTACATCTTAAGGCACGTGCCACACTGACTTGTGGCTTTTTCCGCTGTCCGAAGCTTCACATACCTTACTGTTGGCAAGCATCCAATCAACTCCGAGCGCTGCGGAAAGGCCATATCACATCACACGTCGGGTGCTACTTTCATGTGCACTCTTGCAGGTATTTCCTCAAGCGTTGCTGAGCTGCATTGGCTTGAACACCTCATCTAGCCAGTGTGCAACTTCCGCTTCGGCCTCTTCCTTGCAAACAAACAGTAGCACATGCCTGAAACTCCGAAAAACACTGCATCAGCAATGATGCGACGACTATTACCATGAAAGCATCGTGCACCGCGCCTTCAAGTCAACCATGGCCTTTCTGGAGCTTGCTATCTTATGATTGGCATCTGTTGACCTTATTGAACTTTAGCGGTTCTAGGCGCAACATGATTGTCTGATGTTGCACGGTCCAGGGCTAAGTGGCAAACGTGGCATCCATCGAGTCCAGCTTTGCGATCCTTTGCGTGAGTGAATGTGAGCGAACGCGAGGTGTCCCAAGGACCCACAAAGCTACCATTGTCGTGGGGATGGTGTCGACTGTTTCTTCGACTCTCTGCTTGAAAGCCGGGCGTCAGCTCCGCGGGCTTCACCTCGGTTCCCCTCAGTGCCTCCGCAGCATCCTGCGTGTGGGAGGAGGGGGGGGGGCTTGCGGTTGCGCTTGCTAGACATTGCGGCATGCTTGGTTCATCTTGGTTCTGTGCAAAGGCATCAATCGGACAGCTGGCCCTTCATGGACATGGCAAGTCGCATCGCTTTTACTCTCCGTGTCGCTTCCGGCGCTTGCCTTCTGGAGCTCCGTCCTCAGGTTGAAACGACTCTACGTACATCGTCACATCGTGCACGACTGCATCGTGGGCGAATCTAAAACATTCAAGACCTCATGGACTCGCAGCCTGCACATGTAATGCTGTCTACTAGTACGAGCGCTGAGTAAGTCATGTTTGTGAGCATTCCTGTCCCACAGATCCCACAGCCTCTTCTAGCGGAGGGACTTGAGGGACCTGACAGATTTGCACATACGGTAGCCGATCAAGGCCAGAGTCTGTACAGTCGGGCTGCAAGAAATTATTTAACAATAAAATCCCCGAGCTCTTGACAAGCAAAGTATCGGGAGCCTCGTCCCAGAGTTCCTGCTTTGCCTCCTTTCCATCTTTTCTCTCTTTCCTTTTCTTTTCCCTGATGAACCAAGGACATGCAGGCCTTGGATTGCATCACGCTGAACTCTCTCACTAAAGCGACCATGAACGACTTCTGTGGTCCTCAGCACGGTTGGGATGAGTGCAGCCTGGGAGCACCTGGAACTCAGTGGCGTCTGAGTGCCAATTGGAGGGCGGCGCAGCCGCCATGGCAGCCTTAACGGAGGTGAATCGACGCAGTACCTGAGTGCAGCGCAAACAATGCCCAAACATCAGATTATACACCAAGGACACCACACAACTAAACGCATAACTGCCGCATAAAGTCATAAAGCCATGTAACATATGTGGGGACGTCCGCTAGGCGTAGGGCATCGCCCTCCTTCAGCTGCAGGACTGCATCTTTGGTCAAGCGCTGCCCGTTCACGTACGTGCCGTTCTTGGACTTGTCAGTCACAAACACGGCGAGGTGCGACGCCTCTTGCTGCTTCCATGGCACCATCAAGAATAGCTCCGCGTGCTCGTTGGAAATGCCTTCATGGAAAATGCGTAGCTGACACTGGTCTGATCTTCCAAGCAGAAAGTGGGAAGGCCCCCAAGGTGTCAGAAGCAGCCTGTGCCAGGCCTTCTGTAGTGTGGGCATAGACTGTGGCTGGAGGGGAAACAGCTCAAACACTGGGCCAGCGGATGCCCCCTCTGGCCGCGGAAGCAGCTGCTTCCAAACTGTGTCAATCCACATTTTGGCTTTTCGCCCTTCTTGTTGCGAAATACGGTCGAGCAAGCCTGCAAATGTCCCGTAAACTGCTCGCACCAAGCACACATCCCTTTTGCCACCTTTGGACGATAAAGGGTTGCTCAAGCAGCGCCCTGTCAGCTTCGAGTAGGCAGACTTCGGCCCCTTAACATAGCGCACCACCAAGTGCACAGTCTCTGTTTTCTCCCCTTTCCACGTGAAGAAGGCCTCCACGACCTCGCCAAAAACTTGAGCAAAGCCATGCCAGTGGCTGCCAGCAACACAAGCGACAGGCGGAGCATTCGGAAGCCTAGCCCTGTCGAAGGCCCAGCGTGCGGGAAGTGCAAGGCTCATGGAATCGATCGTGAGCCTCTTTGGGTTCCAGCACTCTTTGAGGTGAGGAACATGATTGTGAGAGGCTGTGTCGATTGTGTCCTTCCAGCTGACTGTCACAGCTTGCACAGCTTGCGCAGCATCCAGAAGCTTCAAGTTCTTCCAGGTGCTGCGAAGTTCGGTGCACTCCTCGGCTTTTGCTAGCAGGCACACGAAGAGCCGCTGCAACGTCTCAAACTCATCGTCCAGGATGGCCACGACAGCATCAGCGCCCAGTGCTTGATTCAGCTTCCTTTCTATCTCCCTTTTCAGCTTGGACAGTATCGCAGCATCCCCAGCAGCCCCTTCAACTTTCAAGTCAGCCCAAATGCAAGCCCCCACTTCAACTGCATCCTTTTGCCAGGACCCCCAGCGCCGCTCCCACTGGAGAGATGTTCGCTCCGGAGGCAGCTCACTGCCCAGCTGTCCATGCGGCTGCTCGGGAGCCTTTGCCGGAGCCTTTGCCGGAGTCGTGACTGGCACACTCGGACCGCGAGGCTTCGGCGCGGACTTCGGCCGCGTTTCCGACAGCGGGCCTCTCGTTGCAAGCTTTTGCGGCAGGGAGTCGGCAGCATCCACCATTAGTGCGTGGGGTGATGAGGCCCTCCGTGAGGCAGGCAAGGGGCAGGGACCATCCCGAAACGAGAGACCTGTTGCAAGCTTCTTTGTAGTTGTCTGACGCGTGCCCGTTTGTCGATCTTTTGCCACCCGAAAAACACAGTGGGGTATTGCAACAGAGCTAGTCACTGAAAACACCACCACAAGCATCCACAAACAATGGCTGCGGCTGTGCCACCTCACGTGCACCGTTTGCAAGTCATCACCAAGAAGAGCTAAAAATTCTATTCTATATGCCAATGCCAAGGCAAGGTCAACTTTACGATTCTGCGCTTTTGTGGCCTACTTTCGCGGCAATCTAGTTTGGGCTTCGGTTCGAAGGCCGGCTACTTCAAGCCGACAGAAATGGGGGGATGAGGGGGTCGACAAAATCCTTCAATGGGACTCCCAAGAGTAAAAGGCAAAACCCACGTAGTGCCCCGCTTGCAATGGTGGATTCCACGAGCTTTAAGTGGATGCGACAAGAGAGAACTCATGCAAAAAAAAATCGGCCAGGAAGGTGCCTTTAGCTGGGAGGAAGACAGCTCGATCTCGTCGATTGCCTTCGTGATCTCCTCAGCCCAAAGTCCACAGAGCGAAAATAACACACATAAGGCTCAAAAAGCAGTGCCGATCGGCCTCGATTCTTCCTTTGAGCTTGTCCTTCCGTCGCAAAGAGACTAAACATGACTAAAGGTGAGGGCAAGCAAACGTGAAGGTGCCGAAGCCTGCATTGCACGACATCGTAAAAGAACATTGCTAGCCACCCCCAACACTCGTAAGCTCTCGATAGTTCTCGAAGAAACCTTTGGAGGTGTGACAAAAACAGGGCCTGAAAGGTTCCCCCTCTTGGTCTTTTAGGCCCCTATGGGCGGCCTTGAGCTTCTCCAGCTCCTTCTCCCGCTCTTCCCGCCGCTTCTTCCGCTCCAGGTCGATCTTTCTCTCGCGCGCAATGCCGATCTGAACCTCGGCCCACTGGCCCTGGACCCATTTGAATACTGGGCTCGTCCTGAACCCCAAACATCCCCAAGCCCTAAGCAGCTTGTATCAAGGTGGGGGTTCACACGCTCACACGCGTCAATTTGAGGGGCTGTTCTCTTTGAGTGTTCTCGAAACAAGGAGGGGAGCGGCCTTGGCTCGCTGGAAATCCTCGGTGCGGACGCCCTTGGCGCCCTCTGAAAGCAACCTCAGCTAAGGGCTTTTGAGGGAGGGCTTTTGAGGGTTTTTGCTCCGAGGCGACATGCAGTGGGCTCTGCACTATCGACCCCCACATCCATGATCCCACGGTGGCTGAGTCTACGGCCGGAAGATCCCATCCACCTTGGGTGAACATCAAGCACATGACACAACAACCGTATCCGTGGACCGGGGGCCCAGCAGCAGCATCTGTTAAGGTGCACTTGTACTCCGTCTGCGCATACCTCAAAAGGAGGTTCCCATGAGGTGCCTTAACCTGGAGGTTTCCATGAGTCTTCAGTCTTCATGCAATCTGTTCTGTTTCTGCCGAGAGGTGCTTCTTCAGCTCCTTCTTCTCCAGCAGGCCGTCCTGGCGCTTTTAGCGCTTGTTCCACGCTTGTTCCGAGTTAGGAACCGGCAGCCTGTTGTGCGCACTGCGCCTTCCCACGAATCGGGAACCGGAAGCTCGCTTTTTCCACGCTTTAACAGGATCGCAAAGCGCAGAGGATGTGAGAACGGGGATCAGCAAGATTTGGATCCAGCTTCCCTCTGACATCACATCTCGTGGAGTCTCAGGTCCTGAGGATGTGGAGAACTCCGATTCGCATGAGTGCATGAGTTAGGAAACACAAATGCTCCCCGAGGACGTCCTCTCGTTTACGCAGCTGTGGCGGCAGACCGCTCTGCCTGCCATCTGTAGACTTGAGTTGTGTCGAGCCAATCCGATAGAAGCACGTCCAGCACATCCACTCGCACGCCCGTCTATGGACAAGGACAACAACCAATGCGGACCAATGTGGATCAGAAAATTTGGGAGGTGGCCGCTTGCCTGCTTCTGGAATGCAGAGATCATCTCCCGCAGCTCCTGAGAGCGCACACGTGATCAACTCTCTCACTTTCAGAGGCCTCATTGAGGCCGGAGGGGTTAGATGGGGTTAGATTAGTCGAGACGGACGTCGCAAAAGCAAAATTTCAAAAACAGAACACGCCGTTCCGCGGTAGCAACAGGAAGAGCATCGGCGAAGCAAAGGAAAAGGAGCCTTTACAGCTTGCATCGCTACCGAAGGTAGTGGCTCGCCGAAGTAGGGTTCTCGCAAAACATTCCTGTCCAGATCGAGGATCCGGAAGAATCAAAAACTCTGAAAGCGGGGGGTGCCCCAAAATGACGGGGTAGACGGCCGAGCTTTGGACCAGGGGTCATTCTGGGCCGGCCACAGGGGGGCAGACTCCAAAGCCGGCATTCCTTCTGCTCGATCTGTCTCCTTCCACCCTTGTTGGGCCCTCCCATCCCTCCCCATCCTCCCCTTTTGCCCCCCCCCCTCCCTGCCCTTGGGCGAGGCGGCCTCACGCAAGTGGCCGGGGTGCGGGAAATTTCGGGGCTGTTTCTTTACGGATTTGCTTCTCGATTTTGAAGACAACTTTGACGTCATGCCCAAGTGTTCTGCCTTCTCTGCGTCGTCTTTGCGCTTCTCCAACTCCGTGCTGGCTTTCTGCAACTTTGGCAGCTCCTCCGATCTCCATGGCTGAAACGCACAGGTTGGACAGCTTAGCAAGGCGGGTTTCATGCTGGGGGTTGGCTTCTTGGATCGTTCCGGCGAGACATAGAGGAACCTGTGTTTTTGGGACGCAGAAGCCAGAACTGCCTCGAGGACGGTGGGGTTTGAGGGTTGGGGGTGGGAGGTGGGCAACTCTATGCTTGGCACGGGCTTGGGGCTTCGGTCCTATTGTGCATGGTCCACAGAGTGTCCTCATCTATGCCGGCCATGGTCTTCTTCATTTCGTCCTCAGCCGTGATCAAAGACTTACATCGGCCTCTGGCTTCGTGGCTCAGAAGACAAGTGTGCCGCAAGAATACAGCATTCACGGTCTTGCTGCCATAGAATCTAGAATGGGCTGCCGGTCGCCCAGAAGGAAGCAACGGCCCACTCCCCGGTACAGCTTGGCATCCTCTGGTGTGGATGTAACTGTCCTTGCGCAAGTTCATTCAGCTCACTGTCACTTCACACAGCCATGACCGGTGCCGTGCCATTGCAAGTGTGCAGCTTGGAGTCTGTTGCGTGAGCTCTAGCCGAACACGCTGCCGCTGCTTGTTGGCAAAGGAAGCCTGAAACGGATTCGGCTCGCTGGCCTCTACAATACTTTAAAGCTCTAGAGTGCCAAAGTTTGGCCTCACAGCCTCATCCTGAAAAATCTGAAAACTCAAGACACGTTGAGAGCCTGCAGTCTCGCCAGCTGCTCGCTCAATCCGGAAACCTGAGACTTGGCCAAGGTGAATGACCGTCGGCCTGTTGCCAGATGTTGCCACAAGGCCTTTTCCTGGACAGCCATGGCTTCGTCCGCGTTGAAGTCACGGGCGGCTGTAGACCTGGCCTCTGCCCGCCTGCGCAGCCAAAGGCAGGGCTGCTTTGGTCTTTAACTTTGAACAATCAGTAAAGCTGTTCCGGCTTGCGCTCCTCTGCTGCTGGCCCGCCAGCTTCTCCGCACATGAGTCCCGGAGCTTGATGAGGTCCAAGTCCTGAGGCCTCGTGTAACTGTGCAGCATGTCTTCATCTGTCTTCCTCTCGGCCTGTTTTGGCTGAGGAAAAGACGCTTGCTTCAGCCCAGCTTCGCAGAAATCAATCCCATTGCGACAAAGGTCCAGATGAAGAGAGGCCCTGGCCGCGCGCCAGTAAGCCTCTCGAGAGTCAGAGCTATCAGGGTGTGGGATTGCGTGACTTCTCCCACACAAGGCCTTGATGTTCTTCGGGTCTCGCTCTATCGCCTTTCTGCAATCATCAACCTCCGCTAGCCCAGCAATCACAACAAAGCGGCTGTCGTGGCAGTCGTGGTTCCTGTCTATGAGCAAAGTGAGCAAAAATGAGCAAGAACAGCACGAGGCCAGCGCAGCTTCCACGAACTGCCGCAGGAGCAGCCGCACATGGGCTCGATTGCCTCGGGTTAACTTGGGCATGGCTGCTTCTGTTTCCAGGGGAGCGAAGAGAAAAAAAAAGTCGCAAACCTTGCGAATCTTGACGTTCCCTAAACCCCCTTGGCCATTTATCCAGGCTCTTGCCAGGAACGTGTGAAACAGGAGCCCTCCAGCCAGTAAAACCCCTTAAGGAACTTAAGAAAGGCTGATCGTTGCCTTTCTGCCCATGAGTGAAGCGACTTTGCAAGGGGAGGAAGAGAGTTGCAGGGAATCCGAGGGACTGAAAAGCTGCGCGTTCAGCTTCGGGTCGCTGCAGCGGACCTCCAAACCTCAGTCGTCTGAGTCATCCAATTCTGCTCTTTCTGCCTAACTTCCAGCACAAGCATCAAAAGCTCACACGAGAACTCAGAGTGCTCCAGCTCAACTTTTTTTCCTGCAGCTTCGGCCCTCCTCTAAGTCTCGAAGTCATTCCAAACACCGAGAAAAGACGGACAATTACTTCTTGACTTCTTGACTCCCGTGCTCAGATTTCAAGCCGGTTTTCCTGACTGCCAGCACCTGGCTGGACTGTATCAGGTCGCGCCCATTCTCGAGCTTCATGCCAACGCGAACGAGGGTGTTGTGCTCGATCCTGATCATGCTGCACCCCTGCATCTTGCGACTGATGGGCCGCCGCATCGGTTTCGGCATTGTGATTGCTTCAGTACCGCCAAGCATGGGTCCGATTTGAGATCTTGTCACTCCAAGCCGGCATGTGAAGACCAAAAGCCACGTAGTCCTGCGAAGCACAGACATCTACGTCCCAGACCCTCAAGACTTGCCCACATTTCCCCACCCTCTCAGGCGGGCAGCTTGGGGCTTCTGCTCCTGAGCTCCTTAGCATCATGGGTATCATCCCCTCTGGCTTCTTCCGGGCACTCGCCGATCCAGCGCCCAATCCAAAAAGAAGAACAAGGAAGTGTCCGAAACAAGCCCTAATGACACCTACAGTGACCTACAGTACAAGCGCCATCTATCCTGCGCCACGTAGCGGAGGACATGCTCCAATGTCTCCTGCACAGTTCAAAGATGCGCTGACTTGCTTCTGCCGAGAGAATACTCTTGTGGAACCAGCTGACAAAGGAACTTTCAGACATGTCGAATACGCTACAAGCAACGCAGGAAGATCTCCTGGTCGTAAAAACGGGAGAACACTGTTTCAGAATCTTCGTGGTACGAGGTCACGCGCTGGGCTGCCATCTGGCTTGCGTGACCGGTGGGTGGGAAATACGTGTCTGCAAGGTGTTCGGCCAGCTTGAGGGACAAGCCAAAGACCGTGTGCAACATCTCCAAGATCTGCCAATTCACTGCAAGTCGGTCGGACGTCAGCAGGCCTACGAAGTTGATACGCTGCCACACAAAGTTGCAGCCCCAGCTTAAGTAAAGGCTTTGAGGAATCCAGTGGTCATCCGTCAACATGAAAGGTGTCGGTAGGGGCTGCGATGCGAAAGAACGGAATGCCTCGACTTGCTCGTCTATCGGACTTTTCAGGGTGACTCTCGCCCAGCCACGTCGGTCAGTCTCAGGGCAGTTGCCACTTGGCCGCATGCACTTGTCCAGAAATGCTGACAGGAACCGCTCCAGCGGATCACGCACAAAAACTGCAAGCTTCCATTCGCGACTCTTCCAATAAACCTGCGATAACAAGCCATGGATGCTGCGATCTAGGACACGAGCCTCCGATTGCAGCACATCCTCATACGACAGGTTGCGTCCCGACAGGTGCTGATTCATAAGAAAGAATTGCATGAGGCCCACCTTGGGTATGGAACAGAGCCCATACCGATATTGGTGATTCACATGCATCCGATACGTAAAGACAGACCAAACGTCACGGAAGAAGTTGAAGGTCGCTGTCCGGGCAGCAAAGGCCCCGCGGGCTGGCCGGGCCGGCCAAGCAGGTGGATCCAAATACCACGAAGGCATCCGGGAATTCCGGGAAAAATGGGAGTTCCCTGGGTCCAGGCGCTCCAACAGCGTCTTCAGTTGCTCTGCCCTCAGGGCATCCTCGGGGCGACTCATACGCAGGCGCACGCGCCCGCGCACCGGAGCAGGCAGCCTGGTGTCAAGTGCGCCTGCATTACCACTTTTCAGGAGCAGAACGTGCCACCCGAGTGAGAGTTCACATCTTCGCGAGCACCGACTTGGGACACAAACGCCCATTAACCTCAGACCCGGGTCTAATTTTGGAAGAAGTGTAGCATGGCGCTCTCCGCCCCAAAACCCTCCCAGCCACTTGCCAGCTACTCCGGTGGAGGAGATGTCTTGGACCCATTTCCGGCTGGCCTTTACGCCAGGCGCGTAAAGAACATAGCGTGCCTGCAAATCGAGGCATTGCTGCAGCTGCTGCTGCCAACCTTCCGCGAATAAAGACCAGCCACTGGCATTCAAAAGGCGAGGGTCGGATTCAAAGAAAGACAAGCATGCCACATCATTCCTGCCAGCTCTCGCTCCACTTCGTTCTAGCAGCAGCTCGTTTGAGATGAACTTCGTGAGCTTGCCTGCCACTGAAGTCCACCACAGCTTGGCAACAGCAGGACAAAGCAGGATCCCCCATCTGGCTACAATCCTATCCACACTTTGCATACAGATTCATTTGCAGGCTGAATTCTACTCTCATTTGCTGGCGTCTGCCGCTTGAGCCAACGCCGGCTGCGAAGAAGGCGCGATGTGGTTTGCGCTTTTGACCGGTTCGATCACTGGTGTATATGAGCTCCACCACGTCGTTCTCTACCACTTCGTCTGGGGTCTCGCACCGCTGGTGAAAAACTCGAGAGCCTCTCTCGCTGCGGACTTTGTGTTGTCCTGGGAAGAAGCGAAGAGCTTTGCGAAATGTTCAGCGAAGCGCTTAGCCAAGCTCACTAATGTTTGGGAACTGTCCAGAATCTGTTCGCGGTCCTTCAAGCGGTCGTTACCCTTCTTCTTGAAAACTTCCGCCTTCTGGCCTCAGAAACTCACTCCCTGATTTCAGCACAAGAAGGCAATTCGAGCAGGTTGACCGCGCAGGCTTTGACCTACCTCAGTTGCGCGCACAGCTCCAACACTGCGCTCGGGTCTTCTGCAGCATCCGCGTTGTCAACCTCTCATCCCAACTCACAGGGCTCATTTGGCTCATGGCAAGTTCCTGTTGCAAGAACCAAAGCCGCTGGACTGCGGAAGCGTTGAAGGAAGGGAGCCGACCCAGTCTAGGCGGTACAGGATGCACCGGCCTCTGTCTGCACGCGCTGCAGTTCTGCCAGCGCACGATCCACCTGCGCCTGAGCACCCGAACGCCTTCCAACACCAGCAGTCACGAGCTCCGACAAGACACTCTGAAAGTCAATCAGAGACAAGCAGCTGCGTCCGCTCCCGCATCCTTTGCTTCTTGCAAAGCTGCGCGGATCTTCTCCGGGTCCCCAGTTTCCTCATCAGCCAGGACCCATGACTCCCATGACTTGGATGAAAGCAAATGACGCGCGTCCATGCAGCATAACATGGAAGCACGCATGGAGATGCTTTGCTTGCAAAAATATAGTCTACGTACATGGGAGGGAAAACAGCTCATCCGATAGGCACATTGGTCTAGGTAGTCGGTCCTGCGCCTTCGCAATGCGCTCCCCAACAGTCCTCGGCTCTTGCGAGAAGATGCAAGGTTGTGGCGTGCGGCTACATTGCACACAGGCTCAAGGGTGCTCTCTGTTCCAAAAGGGGGTTGCAAAGGCACTCGCCAGGTCTCCTGGAGCCAACCCATGCCCTTAGAGAGGTAAACCTAATGCAGCCAAGCCTCTCTGGCATGAAAGTCGGCCTGAATGCGACTAGAATCTCTAGAAAGGCATGAGGGTTCCAAATCAAGCCGAGCTGGGGCCTCCCAACAGACAGCCAAGGAGAACGAGGAGCGGCTCCGTGCTTCTTGAGCCAAAACGAAGCCTAATTACTCCAGACTCTCACATCTTCTCACTCCCACCCCGTCGCGGTGATTTTGGCGGAATGTCGAAAAAGTAGCCCCTCGCATGCACCAAGCTACCTGCGGCTCTGTCAAAATGGGGTTTACACATACATGGGCTACACAGATGCGCCAACGCACAGCTACTTCTGCACCATCCTTGTTGCCATCGTACTTTGCCATCCGGGCCTGAGTCATCAACAACTCTATGTCCAAGTGTCCCTGACAATCCTGCTGCAGCCACAAGTCACATGAGGAGCAAGACCTCTCTGGGTGCCCAGCCGCAGCTGCCTGCACTTTCTGTTTGCTATGCGCCTTCCTGAGCATCTTCTTGCCTTGGAAGCTTATGCTCCACCCACAAGCGAAAGAAAAGAGACCAAAGCATACCAAAGGAACCAAACGAAACTCAATGAGGTCTCAATGAGGACTCAAGGAGGACTCAAGGAGGACTAAAGGAGAGGATGACAGAGGCCCCGGCACTCCTGGAGGCGCATGAGCTTGTCATGAAAGCCCTGATGGCAGCTGAAACAGATTCAATCAACTACAAGATGTTGCAAGAAGCCCGTACCACGGCAAGATGAACTAACAAACCCATGGCAAGTTTTGAGTGGTTCTCAAGATTTGGGGGGTCCCTTTTATAAGGTGTCGTATTGTATGACAACCTCCAAGCCACAAAGGGAACCTACTTTAGAGAACCCACTGGAGGGACGGGACGACAGGACGTGCGAACGGCAATCCGTGCCATTCCCTTTTGCTTTGCGGTGCGCTCTAGCACATCTTCCGCCTGGGGTGCTACACTGCCACGCCTTACTTGATGATGAACTCTTCACTGATCTTATCTACCAGGGCCTGTCATCATCCACTTTCTGATTTTGGCAGGTCGCGGCTGTCCAGGTAGCATGGTACGCGACTCGGCACTCCATGTAGGGCTTTGGCACGGTCTTGAGCTCATGAGCCTTCTCAGCCCTCTTGGCAGTCCAGAGCCTCTTGGCGCTTCCGCTCATTTCCCTCGTGTACACACTTGCGTCGCTCGGCCTCCGTGCACCAAGGGCAACAGCGGTCCGGATCCTCTGCATACTCTTGAATGACAAGTCGCAGACGGAGGGCAAAAAAGAAAAGCAAGTCATCCAGTCTCTGCGACGTGTCTCCCAGGCCGGGTCCCAGGCTTCGTGCTTTGAGAATGCGGTGCAAACATTCCGCAGTGGAGAGGAGACCTTGGACGTCGGCCAGCCTTTCAGTCGCAGATCGCCAGAAGCGTGAAGGAGCCGAAGATTCCGGACCAAACTTCATGGCGGGAAGGGCACGCAACTTCAACTCCTCGTCTTCGAGGATGGCCCTGGCATATCCCTACAACTACTGGTCTCAAACTTCAACTTACCTGTGCACCACCTTTTCGTAGCGAAGTCCCAAACCAAGGCCGTGTCACCGTTGCCAAACAAGCATGTGCAAGAAGGGACTTTCAGATTACACAATGGGCCTTGAAGAAAGGTCTACAGCAACTGGGCCTGAAAGCAGAAGAAAACAACAAAATCGAAGATCCCAGAAATCTGTGATGCCTTCCCGGACAGCCCCGTCCTGGCATGCTTCCACCGGCTGTCCACCAGGACAATGCGCTGAACTTCCTCCCACTTCACATGAGAAACGTCAACTGCAGACTCACTTGGGTAGACCAGCCACGTCCCAGGGCTCTGCAGGAACAAGAGATCCTGGGAGCCACAGGGAGGTCGCCACTCGCTGACTTGCACATCCGGAGACAGCAGTGGCAAAGGCGTCGCAGAAGACTTGGCAGCGGCCTCCTTCGGGTGTCGGAAGATAAGCACCTGTAGCCCAAGGTGGAGTGGCTCCGGAATTGGAACGACGCTCCGAACGCAGTGGGGGCAGTAGAGGCGCGCCCACTTTGAGCAACCTGGGCAGCGGCCCTTCCCCAAGCAGTCCTCCAGGCTAGCAGCATCGCCATCGATATCATCGATACTGAACTTCAGGGTGGAGAGAAAGGCCATGGCTGCGGTGGTGGAGTCACACCTGGTTGTCTTCACTGCAGGACGGCCATCTGCACAGCCGTCGCTGGAGCCGCCCATTGAAAGGCCAGCAGATGGCTCAACTGGGCCAGCGTGATTTCCTAGCTCTCCTAGCTTGTGGATCTCTGCAAGAGCCTCCAAATTTTGCAGGCTCCCCACAGAGTGTTGGAGCAGCATGTGGTGTGGGAATGCGAGACATAAAAGAGCCCCAGTCAAATGCAAAACCTGCGAAAATCCTAAAAAAAAACCAAGGGGGTCCAGGGGTCCCTTTCAAGGAAACAGATCCAAGTGAGGTGCAGCCTCGCCCATGGTCAGGACGGCCCCGCCCTCGACAAGGCAAGCGCTGCAGGCCTCTCCCAAGAAATATGGCTCAATCACAGGACCCAGAAAATCAGATGGCTTGAGGTAAGGTACTGCCATGCTACTGACATGTACATGCCTCCACGGCTTCGTCTGCCTCCTTTACCAGCTTGTCGGTCATCTGGCAGCTCAACGTGTCTCAAGTCTCAACTCGCTCGCACTCGCCGTCTCTGTGAGCCTATGTAATTTGCATGACTGCAATCCATCTAATCTGCCTTCTGATGTCTCCCTAGTCACCTAGTCTCTAACAGCACACGTGAAGTGCAGAAGACCGGAAGCTGCGGCTGAATCGGAACACTGCGCGTTGTTTTGGCCACCGCCTGCTCTTTGCCGCGGATGGTGATGGCAACTAAGCATGTGCCTTTCATGCCTTTAGCCACGGCGCTCTTCAGTCTGGCTTCTTGTGCGCCGCCCGGCTTTTGCAGAAGCGAAGTGGGGCGCCTAAAACGGCGCAGCAGAGTCTCCAATTCACCCAGTGTAAGAAAAGCCGTAGAGTTTGCACTGCCATGCTGGCGACGGGAAAGTCGCGTTCAAAGATCCAGGTATTGATGGCTCTGCCCGGCTTCCCTGACTTAGGGCAGGGGCGGACATCAAGGAACTCGCAGAGTTCTTCTATCTTGTTCCGGCGTGGGTCCCACTCGAACAAGCGCTCCTTAGGAACAGTTTGCCGGACGTTCGCCAAGAAGTTGTCGTACTCCTCCTCATTTTCTGGCACCCACGTCGTGGAAGGCGGCTTCCACGCCTCGTACTGCCTTCGGTGGTTCCTTGGCAATTGGCTGGGCCGAACAGACTCTTCAAGGGGCTACTTGAGGGTGAGGGCCTGGGACGAAAGCTAGTTAAGGTACCCCCACGGAAGGGTTTCTGTCAACAGGGCATCCACTACGCATCAGGACAAGGCTACGCCAAGGCATGAAGCCATCACCTTTTTCCCGCGCGGAGCCTGTTGGGAGTTCCCAGGTCGGGCACCCAACATAGAACAAGTACGCAATGCGTGAGCATCATGAAAGTCTGTCCAATCCAGCTTTGAGGGACGCCAGACTCACATCAACATCAGGGCTTCTGAGTCTTTTCTTAAGACTTGGAAAGGTTTTCGAGGGCCTGGGATCCACAGAAAACGGCGTTCATTTGCACCCATATACGAAAGAAATGAACGCCAGCCCGTTTCCCCAAAACCTGTGGTCGCCGCTTGGAAACCGACCGGGTTTGCTGGGTTTCGTGGCGGAGCCTCCGGGGACCCTATATACCCTTCAGGTTGTAAGCTTCGCTTAAGTAAGATACTCCGCTAGCTCCTCGGGGGCTAGCTTTCGTGATTTGGAACAACTAGCAACATCTGTACACCATGCTGAGATATGCTGAGGATCATCGACTGGTGGTAGAGCCACACCTGAGCTCGAGCCCATCTCCCGTCGCTTCATTACTGCGTTGCATCAATTGTATCGTATTCAACAGACTCAACACAGCCTATGTCCTACAGAAGCCTAGCCTATGATGTCCTACAGAAGCGGCTTGAAGGCTTCAGCCCGTCCAGAGAATGCCAAATGCGGTCTAGGCTCCATTGGGCCGGAGACCTGGCACGGCAAGCGCCCAGGTGTGTGCATGTCGACACATATCGACCCATTTCAAAGCTGCTGACTTCAATGCATTTCGAATCGTTTATGCCAGTTGCCTCCGTTATGGGCGGACCGCCCTCGCGGATGACGTGCTCGATAGGACGGCCCAAGACTCTATCCTTGCAAGCGCCAGCTAGCGAACCAAAGATTTTCGTTTGATGGCACCAAAAAAAGTCAAGAGATGTTGGGAGATGGTTTTTTGACTCGTCTCCAGGGGCCGCAGTAGCCACAGCCACGGCAGCGAGCTAAGGGAAGCTCCGGCCCACACGTTGTGAAAGCACATCACCTGAGAGCTGGCACTCCATCTGTGCGCCCTTGCAGATTGCACGCCTGGGTGACCTTGGGCCGAACGGCCTTGCAGCCGAAGCACCACAAGCTTCGGAATGAACGTGTCCACTGATGCCTTCCAGGAGCTGTAGCTCCGCCAGCTAAGCAAGATCACCTCAAGTCGAAAAAACACCAAGCGAACTCGAAGGTTGTCAATCACACGGTTCCTTGCCGCAGGTGCTTCAAAAGAACGCTGGCCTTCGCGTCGCTGCTGCTTTCAAGAATGGGATGAATCAAAACCTGGACAGACAGAAGCGTGTAGGACTTGCAAATTATGATGAACACGCTCCAAGAAGTTCACCGAAGAGTCACCAATGGGGCGTTTTTCTGCCTCCAGGCCATCGAAGGCAATGGCATCCACCCGGCAGCTAGAAATCCTAGGCCCAGGCAGTCGAAGGCAGTCAACGGCTTTCGAAGGCATTTGAATGCATTCGACCCTTACTTGTTGTACCTTAGAACTTTTGTACATCAAGAGTCTTAAGACTTAAGATGCCTCTGCTGCATGATGCAGTATGACACCGCTTGACGCATTGCAGTGGAAGCCACCTTCTGCTGCGAGGAGGCGGGAGTTTAAGGGTCAATGCTGGAGCCAAGGGTCTTGTGCATGAGTTGCGCCGCCAAGTGTTTGTCTGACTTCAGAGCATGGGCGAGCTCAGATGCAGACATCCTAAGACACTCACAGGAAATGACAGGAACACATCGCGAGGATGGCGTGGACTCTGGCGACCCTGGATTCTTTGATGTTCCTTGTGTCGTGAGCATCCACTTGTAGCCCGGTGAAGCCTCTAAACTGTGATTTTCGGTCCAGGCACGAGGAGTAGTTGGACTTCTGCGCCCGCACCTTTCAACAGCCGGAACCCAAGCTCGAGAGCATGAGGAGTAGGAAAATGTAAGAAACATCAGAAGCAGCCCGCAATTCTCCGCAGACCTCGCTCACAAAGTCCCACCATGGCAAGAAATGGAAATCCTGTCCCGAACAACCAGCAGACAGTGCAAGACAACATGAGCAACGCAACCAGAGGCAGCGCGGCTTCCTCGCTGTGTTGGGCGTTGAAACCGATCTCATTCAGCGCGTGACAGATGGTGCGAGTGCCACATTTGGCAAGACCAGCCACGATGACTTTCACGCCAGACTGATTTCCTCTCCATAACTGCCACGCAAAATCGGGGGATGCCAAACAACTGAGTAAGAAAGTGCTAACACATTGGCCGTTGTATAGGAACATGAAGACACAGAAGATGAAAGGGCGTCCTGGCAGATGCTCATGTGCACAGCCTGGGGGCTGCTCAGCCAGAAAGTGCCACACATCTTGATCCTTCACCACCACAGACGCGAAAGTGAACAGCACCTGGGCAAACTAGGGACCGCGGCTCGTAACGGAGAAGTAGTAGGAACCAGTTGAAAAGAAAAAGAAACCGTTGTTATTCACGGAGCGGAGCCAAAATACACAATGGAGAAAACGGGGCCAACCAATTAAACACATGTCCCCACATCCCCTACATACTGTCCAAGATGTCCAAGACATTCATCTGGCTCATGATCGGGGTTGCTTAGTTCGCTGACGAGAGGCCACCAGGAGGCAACGCAGGCAAGGCAGGCAACGCATGGCGGCACTCACCGGCCCTGGTATCTAGACTTTCCCTCAGTGTTCCTCTCGTTTGGAAAAGGGTGTGTGTGTGTGTGAGTGTGCCTAAGTCTCCGCAGGTCTCTTGCAGGTCTTTGCACGTTTCTGCCCATGACAGTTCTTGAAATTCTTTGTAGACTGGTAAAAGTTGCAGCGTGCTGCAGCATGCCGCAGTGTTCAGACTCGGCGCTGGCAACTGGACGTTAATTGCTTATCAAGTACTTGCTGTCCGGAGTTTGAGAACTTCAGACCTCCAGCTCCCCACCTTGGCCTCGACCTTTTTCAGCACCGCCTTCAAGACTTGCACAGAACGACAGGTCTCCAGCAGCCTCTAGCAGCCTCTAGCAGCCTCTAGCACTCGCACGGCGTCATGCGACTCTGGTACGACAATGACATCTCACCTCTGCTGTCGTGAGTCGGCCGTCCAGTTCCTGAGGACCAAGCTCAGGACTCTTTAAGTGGTAAACTCGCAATGAGACAAGGGTAGGCTCTTGATGGCTCTTAAGCGCCGCCGTTCAAGAACACGAGCCTCCATCATTGGTGCTGCCTTCACCTTTCGTACCGCAGCAGACAGCAGGTCAACATCTCCCACTGGTCTTTGCCGTTTGCTACATGCCTGGAATCCAGATGTTACCCAGTTTGGGCCGCATACACACATGCCTCGTACACACGTGCATCTGTGTAAACTTGTAGGCACAACCTTGCATTATCAACCATGCCACCAAGACTACCAACGGCTCCCGACGACAGCAGCCTTGACAGCTTCAGCTACAAGTTCGTCTCCCACCTTCGCTTCTTTCTGCTGCTCGACTCTGGACCTTGCCTTGCGATTTAACTGACTTGAGGGACTGTACTGACTGTACTGACTGTACTGACTGTACTGACTGTACTGACTGTACTGGGAGCGATAGTGACTTGACAGCGCACCACATTATCCACATGTCTCCGCTCTTTCGTCTGACCATATCTGACCCATCCATTCACGATTGCAAGCGCCTGCTCCAGTGCTTTGTCACACTCCTTGCAAGGTTTAACACCTCCAAGGCATGGACTGCCCTGACAGCGCTTTGGCTTCTGCTGTGACAGATGACTTATGTGATTTCTCCCTCGCAGCTCCTCCTTGACCTTGGCCTTCTCGTCTCCACAGGCTTCGAGCTCCTGCCCAACATCCACATCCGCATCCGCCGCATCCGCATCCACACTGTCCCAGCACATCTCAGGGTTTGAATTTTGAATCTGAACTGTCCTTGTCGAGCACAGCTGTGAGCTCCTCCTCTAGAGACTCCAAGGTGTCTATCCTGCAAGTCAAAGCCCAGCAAAGCGCTCAGCATTTGCATTCACACGCTCTCTGCACAGATCTCTGTGTATCTCTGCGCATCTCTGCACAGGGGCGCGCTTCACGGTGGCCAGCTTCTGCACCACCCCGCGGATCTGTCTGCTAGCTCTGCTGACCTGTCCATTTTGCCCTGCTTCACGCAGTGGCCAGCACATTGTTTTAGCAGAGGCTGCGGTCGAGGCTGCGCTGAGACCGCACTGCAGTCCCGGAGCTACTTGAGTCACAGAGGGTCCGCCTCCGCTTGGATCTTCGCCGCTGCCTCAGGACGACAGGTGTGACAGGTCTGTTCCGTCAAGGCAGGTTCTGTGATTATTGTGATTTCCTGTCTCTTCTATAATTAGACTCTTTCCAGGTTGTGCGAATCAGAGGAAAACCTTTAACAGGGGTCCATATCGTCGGGCAGACGATGCTGCATTGGCTGCACATCCCAAAAACAACACATCATCGAAGCATCAAGGTTGTGCCTCCTTCTTGACGCGGCGTTCTTCGTCGGACGCTCTCCTGCACATCAGGCTCAAGGTGAAAGGCTCTGCTGTGGGGAAAGAACTTCTGCAGCTGTGATTTTTGACAGTGAAACAAGCGATCGGATGCGCTGCAACCTGTACCATGTACCCGCGCCTGTCCACGCTGATCGTGAAGTTGGTGTCAACAGGGCCGTCATATGGAACTTTCCAGCCGCCAAGCGGTGCGGTGCCCAGCATACGGCCTTCTCTCACTCAGCGGTACTTGATCATCAGATCATATCACAGCTTGTATCATATGATCCTGGTCTCATCTGATCTCTGCTCTCAAGTCAGGCCCGAGCCCGGATTGTATGCCCAGACCTCCTCAGCACCCACTCGAGGGCCGAACCTGGTGAGGCTGATGCAATGCGAAGAAAGCAACTTAGCATCCGAAAAGCAACGAGCAGCCTTAGGGTCTCTGAGGGCGGCCTTGGGGCCTCTGAGACTCTGAGTTGCAAACCACCAACCGCAGAAGGTGGGATTTTGTTTGTCGTCCCAGAAATAAATGTGGACGTCCACGCCGTCTTTGGTCTGAGCGATGCGGGCACTTGAGCTGCCGAAATCGTTCTTTAAGCAAGGGACGCAAACAGGCTAAACGTCGTCTTTCAATGCTTTTCGGACTTGAGCCTTCTCTGTCTTCTTGTAGACGGGCTTGCCTGAGCAGGAAACGAGCCTTGCCTTCTGTCACGCAACATCACAATCGGCGCCAGTCTTTTGGATGTTCTGTGCTTTTCAGTGTTCGCTTGCTGAGGTTGCAAACCGTGGTTCTCTCCAGTTCGCACGTAGTTGCCGTTTACGATGATGCCGACAACTGCGTGACTGCAGCCACTTACCTCAGATAGGGGCAGAGTCGGAGCAGCCATGGATTGAAGATCTACCTTTTCAGAAACTTTCAGAAACTATGATGCGCAAACCTCATTCGGACAACAACCTCAACCTGAAGCTACGACGTGATATTCTGTACTTTCGAAGCAGAAACGGGCTGGGATTGCTTTTCCACCCGCCTAACTGACATGTCCCCCGCCAACTGAAGCGAGGCAACTCGGAGAAATTGGCGGGCGGACCACACAGGACGGTCGCTGCAAGAATAGGGGTGGGGGGGGACGCCCCACAATCACGGCCCTTAGATCCTAGGTGTCTGAAGCACCTGCACACTTGCACGCTTGGCATCTTTTTGCAGTTTGGAATACAGAGGGGTGGGTGGTGGGATTGGGGGATCCGGAACGCGTTCTGCAGAAAAAGGAGATGGCTGGAGGTTAGGACATCGGGCAGAGAAGCTAGACAAGCGATCTAGGACCTAGAACGAGTTCACGTGCACCTGCGAAGGATCTTTGGTTTGGGAGGGAGGGCCGGCAGGCTGGCGAAAATGGGCCAGGCTCAGGGAGAATCGGGGAACAGTCTTTCGATGAAGCTGCCGAGTCAGGATAGCCAAGGCCTTGCCTGACAGTTTTTGAGAAACGCCGACAAGCTGGGATCAAACTGGGATCAAGCTGGGACCAGGGTACCACGATGTGTGTGTCTCCACCCACTTCTTTCGGCGGTGGCGCCGCTGGAAGCCCGCGGCTTGGGGGCCTTGGCCAGGGGGCCAGGGCCAATCCGTCCAAATGTGCAACATTTTGCAATCGCAATTCGACCATAGTCGACCGCTCCTTTTCTCCAGAGTCTAACTCTGCCAGCACAGGGCAGCACAGGTGAAGGAAGCATCTCCTTGGATGCGCTGGGCTTCGGGGAACTCTTGGGCGAGAGTGCGCTGCAGAAAGGTTAAGGGTTTAGGCTAAGGCAGGTACTCCTGCGCTACGAAGAACTAAGCCACGAAGTTCTTCAAGCAAATTGGCAGGTCTTCCAGGTGACATGCCCAGGCTAGCCCCAAGCCTTAACGGCTACCCGGTACGCGTATGTTACCCAGGCTCCATAGGAGCTCCTGCACCGCAGTGTCGTCGGCCTGGGCCCGCAAAACCACCAGGCTCTTGGCCAGGCACCTCGCGGTTGCATAAACACGGTCCATGACAAAATCTGGCGATGGGTCCAGCAAATTGCGTCCAAAGCGGCGCCATCTCCTCCTGCGTTGGCCACTCGATAGCGCGAACGATTCGTGACACCTTCACAGTACTTGTTCACACTTCTGCAAAATTCCTGCCGAAACAGCTGAACTCATTGAGAGCTCTCTACCGAATGCGAGAAAAGCATGGAGAGCTGTGCGGGTGCATGTGCGCATCCGCGTGCCTTGTCGCCGAACTCCTGATCGCTTGCATCAGGCCGAAGTCCACCTGCAAGCACCCGGCGGAGCCCGACGCACCCTTTTTATACACTTTTGTTATCAAGAGGACACGGTCCACAAAGACCGTATTTGCTACCCTTATTTACTGTTGTCGTGCACGCGGCGAGAAGATACTGCACAACATGCAAAACCCCTGCTTTACCGCTGAGCGCAAATATGCCGTGCCCCTTCGGGGGAAAAAAAAAAAAAAAAGCGCCCCGCCCCGCCGCCCCCGGCTACGCTGATACAGAAAAGACGCTGACAGGCCGTATTTTCTGTTTCCCTCCCCTCTGCGATGCTCAACGTACTCAACAGAATGCCTCCTGCCACGAGGCGCTCATGCTCCGGCGTCTCCTTGGTAGAGCTGCGGTTCAAGACACCAGCAATGAAAGATGCTTGTTGGCTGAGTCTCTGCAGATTGTGCGCGCCGCCGGACGCGGGAAACCAATTCATCCAGGTCATCACACCTTTAGCACAAGCCAGAGCATTGACCGCAGGAACACCCTCGGATTGCACTGATCACTTGCTGGACAGGCATTTCGGCACTTATGTGGGGCACAGGTGCGGCAGGAGGGCAGACGAACATGTACAGAACTCGAAGCTTGCCTGATTTCCAACGAGATCAACCTTGAAGGCGCATAAGCTTCACAGTAAGCCTTTCCTTGGAAGAAAAGCAGGCCCGCTCCCAGTTGTGCCATGCTCATCTGCATGTAGTCTGAATTCCTGCTTGACTGCAGAAGTTTGCGCAGGGGCTTCAATCATGTTCGGCCCAGTGACGTGCAGACTGCGCGCCGTTTGTCGAGTCGATGAGGATTGAGGTCGCCAGCTGCTCCTTGCTCGGCCCGAGACCAACACCGAACTTGAACTGCAGAATGGCTATGTCCACCTGCGCTAAACGCGACATTAGTCCGTCCGCCTGCTTGCCGCGAGCAGATTGCAACGAGTCCAAGAGTCGCTGGTGGGTCCTGCCGATTCACGTATAGGCTAGACACACATAATCGACCCTGTCTAGACTTCAAACAGCGTTAGCATGCATGCAGACTTGACCACGGTCCTCCTCTTTGCCTCTGCAAAGCCGACATCAGAGCGGCGGAGGCGCTCCTGAATTCACAGGCGTGAGCGGCGCTCAATCCTGCACATCCTCATCTGGTTTTGCATGGTTTTGAATGCCCGGATGACCTTTGACGTGCCATGACGTGCCTCGAAAAAGGCCAGGTCGCGCTCGAAGACTGTGCATGCGGCACTTGCGGCTAGCTGCCTAAGGGACCAAAATAGCCGCGGTACACTCACACTGACTGACACTCTACACTGAACCTCTCAACATTTGTCACAACCCTGGCCTCGCTATCCAGGACTTTCCCACTCCTGGCGGGCCGATGGGCAAGATCATGGTCGGGGGGCGCCGGACCAAGAGGAAGTACCTGAACCACAAACTGCCCCGGAAACCAATCTCTGTTGGGCACCTGCCCTTTTCACAAATCACCAGGTCACGCCGACAAGAATTCTGTGCCGGCTAGGAGGTCGAAGGATCGAAACTTATGGATCTCCTGAGCTGCAGAACCCTCTGCATGCATTAGCCGGCTCTCGTGCACACGCGGGCCCCCATCCCAGCTAAACCAGAAAGGCCGGAAGTCGAATGCTCCAGGTCCAGAGCAAAGTTCCGTCCATTCGGCTGGGAGCGGCAGATGACTGCCTGGGGTTCTAGTTCATCGAGGCGAATGCCTGCTCGCTCTAACCGTCGTTCTTGCCGGACATGTCCCTTCTGCAAGATCCAGACCCCAGTTAACAGGACCAGCAACAGATGAGTTGTGACCCAAGCGGCAGGAGTTGTAAGCCACTGCGTAGACGTCACGCCGCCCTTGGAACCGTGCAAATCACAAATCGGATCCATGATCCATGCCTGCTCCATGTCCTAAGCTGCTTGCGAGAAGCTTTTCAAGGCTGGGATGACACCCTCGGCCAGGCCGTGCCGGCTGTTTGTCACGTGGACAAGAAGTGGGCCTTGCAAAGGAGCACAACGCACAACACAGTCGACCCGAAAGCCGGGCATGCATCCAAGGGCATGCAAGGGCCTTCTCCTTCTGGGATTTTGGCGAGGACGCCGCCGAAGTCGTATTTCTCGCAGCGCCCGAGAATCCACCCAGGAGCTGAGTTCATCGCCACGCTTGCTTCTGCATCAGCCAGAGTGACTGGGCAATGCGTGTGTGCGTAGACGCGCTGGAAACCTCGGCCAACCAGAACAGCCCACATGAATGCTCAAGACACCCAGGCAACCCAGGTGGCTTGCCCGACTCGCGACTCCCGACTGCGCGCTGAAGCCTGAGGCAGCGACCGAAGCGGTGCTGCAGCGCCAAACCAATGAAGCCGCTGTTCCGCCCAAACATACACAAAGTCTTCACCTGCCCAGATTGGACGAGCTCGTCCACCCAGCCGCAGAGGACTCCGATCATGGCCTCTTCTGCTGCAGAGTTCACCTCTGAGAAGGAGTCTGGGGACAGTCGATACGGGATAAAACCACCAGGGAGGCCCAGCGGCGCATCCTCAACTACCTGGAAGAGACAGAGCCGTGAGATGTGCACGATCTAAATTTAATCAAAAAGCGGCAAGCTGGCAGGTCACGTGCAGACTAGGCACAAAGGGATCCCCGCAGAGCGCCTTGTCTGCCGTTTGTCGTACATGCAGTGTGCAGTGGTTCGTTCCATCGGCCATGTGCGCGTGTTGGTGCGCATGCGTCTGTTCTCCACACACGCCTGAAACATAGGATATCGGGGATGCCAAGGGCTCTTTGGCGGCTTCTCATCCGAACACGCCGGTGCAACCTGGCATGCGAACCCGGCAGTTCATCCCATTGCAGCATCCAAGCCACGGCAGCGTACTGTTGTGTCCTTCCTGTGCCTGGTAGGTCAGTGACTGGAGTGCCGGCACATGGAGCCGCAGATCTGCAGCAAAGCTGGCACCACGCCCATCCCTGAGCCAGGCATCCACAGCCGCCTCGCCGCGGAGGACAAGCCTGGGCAACCAATGGGGTCATGTGAAACAGAAGCACAGCATAGCGGGCGTAGCCTCATGGCAGAACTGACAGCACATAACAGCGTAAGAAAAACACAACGAAGTACCACGGAGCACCGATCCACGTGCAGCTTTTGACGAGTCGCTTGATGCCAAGGTGGCCCCTGCGCGTTAGCTTTAAGGCCGCCTCCACGTAGAAGGAGAGGTCGTCTGGGCTCTTCTCCGCAAGCTCCTTCCGGGCAAGTTCGGATTCCATGTCTGGGCTCTCTCCGTGCTTGGAACCTGGGATGTCATGCAGTGACATGCAATGCATAGAACGCAAGGCTCTCCTGCAGCTTGAGTGCCGCGACATTGAGCTCTTCAGCACAGCTCTCCTGCAGATGCGAGCGCCCCTCCGAAAAAAGCCTGGAGCTTCAAGCCCTGGGTTGACAGCGTTTTGGGTCCTGAGGTCCTGCTCGCCCACGAACTGCTTTCCCAAGGAGAACGATGCTTTGTTTCGATATCCGGAGGTACGTGTGGCCGTATGCAACTCTGGTCGTCCATCATGCAGCTCGTGCATCAACCGTACATAGAGCCTCGAACCGGATAGACGGGCTCTTCCAGCGAGTTTGGTGTTGCCAGGGGACAAAACCACGACAAAGATCAAACGAATCGACTGCCGTAAAGGCTCGGAGATACTCCAGCTGCCCCACCGTCTTCGTCTTGCCTTGATGCTGTTAAGGTCACGAACTCCGAAACGTACAAACTCGAATCAATATCAAGAGCTGAAAAGAGACGCTCCGCACTTAGGGTTCCATCTTCCAAGTTGCCCACGGTGAGGGCGGCCGGACTCACCGTAGCTTGAGCTGCTCATTGGTCGTGCGTAGAAGAATCTTGTCATGAGTCAGAATTTCAGAATGGCTGAACATGACATGCTACAGGACCAAACCTGCAGCCTGCATGGTCTGGGCCTAGGAAAGATGGATTCGGGCCTGGCATCGCCGAAAAGTAGACCACGGGCCTCGTGTGGCCCAGCACGACGCAGGTCACAGACGATGGGCAGCCGCTGCGGGATGTAGCGCTCGCTGCAGATTGCCTTGGGGATTTGAGCATCAGAACAGAGGATGAGCGTAGCCTCAGTAATATGCTACCATGAGAGAGCGAAAGCCACGTTTTCCGATTTCCGGTATACACAGCATGAGGCGCAGAATTGACGAAGTAGGTGGAGGCATTGGCACGCACGCCATAGCCCTCATGAATATGGCCGAAGGCATGCAGAACTGGCTTCTGCTGCAGAACTGCCTGATAGAGGTCTCGGCCAAGGGCTACAAATTTAGTTCCAGTGGACACACTGACTCTCGGTCCAAAATCTCAGTCGGGCCTTCAGAAGCGCTTTGCTGCCAGCAAAGGCCGCCCGGCCATCTTGCCTGAGAATGGCACCCGAAGACTGGTGGGGAGATGTGCCGTTACATGCCCGCGGCATGCCGCCATTGACCACGCATTGCAACCCTGTCACTCGTGCTCACTGCTCAGGTCACAGATGCCATAAGCCTCAGCTACAGATGAGCCGAGGCCAGGGGCTCGGCAGGGCCCCCTTGTGCTGGCAAGTAGCTGGCCCATGCGTCACCAGAATGTCGATCCCCGCCATTGTGCCCTTGCAGCGACTTCCTCTGACGGATTCTACGGCCATAGGCATGGAACGGGCAAGTAACTCGTAGCACGCTCGAATCTCTCCTGATGTCGGCCATCCAGCGCCAGCATCTACCGCCGCCTCGGCTTCAGCCTGTTCTGGAGTAAGGCTGCTTGTGGACCCAGCCACCCAACAGGTCCCACCTCCTGCTCAAAGCTGCGCCCAAACGCCGCCATTGAGTGATCTGAGAAGAATGGGCCTCAAGAAGAATAGAAAACTTGAACAGCGGGCGCCTGCTTTCCGAAAAAGCACCCCAAAAAAAGCGCTTCTTCTGACTGCACAACTTCGAGCTCCAGGCGAGTTCGTGCGAAATCTTACTACAAGTTCATAGGTTGTTCAAGGCTCTTAACTCATGAAGCATCATGAAGCTAGCTGACGAGCATAATTTTAGGGTCTGTAAACCTGCTTCGTAAGCGAGTTCCTTCCGAAAGGACCCTGCTATTTGTGAGTTCGATCTTGCAGCAGCAAAGCAGGATGCCCTTCTGCCTTTTTTGCAAGATCGTTAGCCAAGTCATTTGCTTACGCCACGCCCGCTGGAATATTCAACCCCCGCAAAACTGGAAAGCTCCCTTTACCCCTTGCGAGGCCCAACCCTAAACTCAACTTACTTACACGAAGAGAAAGAGGAGGAGCAGCGGAGAAGAACCCACCGCCCCCTCGTCTAGGCGATTATTTGTCAATGACAGCTGGTACGGAATCTCTCAAGTTCCATCACCGTGAATCATCCCATTCACTCCCTTCACTCCGTTCACCTCTACTTCTTTGAAACCCCTCACTGTTTTGGACGAGCCTTGACTCGGACTGCCGAAGATTCGAATTGGAGCAAACTCCTTGCCACCGATCCTCGAATCAAATCAAGAGTTTGCAGACTTGTTTCTGCGCTTTCCTGCTGCTGAGAAACTGCAGCTCTATGACCTCATCTTCCAAGTAGTGTAATCCTGGCTCTTGCATATTCCATGACAAGCCGGATCAGGGTCTGGATAACTTATAAGAACCAAGGCTGGACTATGCTGCTCTTGTTCAAGGGTACTGAATGCACTTCAAGCTGATCGTGTGAGTTCCTAGGGCTGAAATTCAGATTCGGTCCTGAACGCCCGGCTATGATTTCCTTGATCTGGGTGGGGTTGATGGGCTCCAACGAGTCCTTGTGGTATGTGTGACCCTTGGTCTTGTAGTAGCCGTCATCGAAAGTGATTTCGTGATTTCCTGCCACTACAATCTTGGCGCTGTATGGCAATGAGTCGAGCCACAAAGCAAAGTCTTCGACCTCCTCACGCAACCCGCTCTTGGTGAAATCTCCGCAAACCAGGAGAAGGTCTCCGGGAGGCATCGACAGCTGCCGGTGCCGGCAGTGGGTGTCGGCCACCATGACGACACGCAGGCTCCCTGGCAGCGGATCAGAGGTCTCCGTCAGGGGTGCCAAGCCGAGGAGACCCTCCCAGGTCCCTGCGGTATTTGCGGTCCCTGCGGTCAGTGCGGTCCCCACCTGCGCAGCACAGTGGGTGACGTCGAGCATACCGGCCTTCAGAGCGTCGGCAGCCCCGACAATCAGGACGTTCTTGTTGGTGACGCTCCGCGGAATGCAGCGCAAGTGTGCCCAGCCGCCGCGCTGCCGCACCCAGCAGCACCTGTCAGAGTTCAGCAAGCGCATTGCCTGAGCCGACTCCTTCTCGATTGGGGCATCGGCTAGTTTGCAAAGTTCAAAGAAGTCATCTCGTCCACGAATCAAGGCACCGCTTGCTCGCGGGTAGCTCAACTCAAAATCATCACAGCGCTTCGGAATCTTCCCAAAGCAGCAGGTCAAGAGAACAAACTCTGCCCCCGAGGTGTAGCAGTGCTGAAGCACGGCATCCACAAGAGGCCCGCAAGCGTGAAGTCCTACAGCCAGTTCAAACGGTTCCAGATAGCTGCGGAGGTCTTGACATACAAACGTCACACGTGCTGCTTGCTGGCAGCATGAAGCCAACGCTGCACTGCGCTTGCGGCCCTGCTCACAGTAGGCGCCCTCCAGCTCCAAAACGACGATTTCTGGAACGGGGATGGAGCTGATGGAGCTGGTGCCCAGCAGCCAAGCCAAGGCCAAGGCAAAGTCACCGCGCCCGCCGCCGAAGTCCACGATGCGGCGAACAGGCAGGTTCCGCCTCTGTGCCTCGCCAAGGCGCTCCAGCACGGCCTTCGACAAGTACTCGATCTGGCGGCGCTTCTCACGGAGCCTCTAGCCATTCCAACAGACGGAACAAATTTCAAATTACGACAAGCATCCAAACAAACAAACATTTTGACAAACAAAGGCGGAGGCGAAAGTTCCAAGCTGGTGCTGGCATGCTACCGCGAGGCCTAACCCTTCATCAGTTTGGATGAAGGCCTTCTTTGACTTTGGGGGATTGTGCAAGCTTACTGCGGCTTGGCAGCTTCCGGAGCTCCCGGCCCAGCAGCGGTGCCTGGCGAAGGGCGAAGTAGCGCCGTGCCGGCAGGCAGTTGAGCTCTGGCACCACCGCTCGTGGGGCGCGGAGCCAGTCGACCTCCAAGGGCTCCACCTCCAAAACCGGCAGCGCCAAGAGGGCATACTTTTGGAGCAGCACCTCACACAGACCCCAGCTCTCAAGGCATCAGACGAAGGCACTGAATGAATGGCACCTGTTCTCTGGACTTCTTCTGCATCTGTCGTCCCTGCCGCTTCTCCTCGCGGAAGCCTTGCCGAACCTGGCTGCAGCTTTCCCTGAAAGAGACGAGCGCCCAAAGCTAACACCTTGAATAAAACCAGGACACCCCCTACTGCTCCATGCTCTGGAAAGCCTTGTTCGTGAAGCGCTTTGCGGCTCTTTGCATTTCCTCCTTGTCCTCAAACGCGCAGATGCATTCCCAAAGGCCTCGGTATACAGGCCTTCTGCTTGGGGAAAATTGAGGAAGCGTAAGAGTTTTGCAAGTGCAGGGCTGTTGATAGCCCGCACTAGCTCGCGCCACTCAGACAAGCGCCCTCCGGCAGCCGGGCGCCCATGTCTTCCGCCGCCAACCTTCGATCGGCTCAGATCGTCGATGCTAGATCTCCGGGAAAAGAGAGTGTGGCATCCAAGGCTCCCGCTTTCCATCCCAGAAGCGGTCAATGAACTTGGCGATGGTGCCTGGGCAGGACCGGCTTTCTCAGTATCGATCAGGCCGTTTTTTCCATTCCTCAAGGTAACTTTGTTTGGTCGCAGAAATCCGGACTGACGAGCTTGAAGGATAGCCTGACGGGACCTCGCACCCCGGAGTTGCGTAGAAATGCGCATTCACACCGGTGACTGTGAAGGAGCGCCTCCATCAGAAGCTGATAGGATCATGGCTTGCAGGCATTCATGCTTCCAGCTTATGCTAACCTTCTGCATACGCCTCTTGTTGCTAAGAGTTTTCTGGACCAGATGGCACCAGGAGTCACTTCCATTCTCTCTCTGCAGCATTTCTTGCTGATATTTTCTGAATGCTTCCAACATGTCGCCAACTACTCAGCTCTTTGATGACACGGCAGCAAGTTGTGAAGAGGCAAGCGGCGAGTCCCTGCTGAGCGGCTTGCCTTTGAACCTGCCTCCATATGAGCAACCCAGATTCTGCTGGGAGCTCGGCCCGGAAGGTGTCTGACCGTTTCGCTGCACTGAGTTGACTGCATTGACAACCAAGGAGGGGTCGACCTCAGCGCTAGGAGCCCGCTAGGGGGGCCGCTAGGACCGCTGGGTGGGAATGCTGGAAGGCTGAATCGATGCTGAAATTCCGGGAGCCATGCCTGGCCCTCGAAAGGCACTTTCCAGCCGTTCCTTCTAAAGGGATACCGCGTCTACATGCCTTGCGTTGGGACTATGCTGCACGGAGCTTTTCCACCGGCAACGGCACACGAGCTGGTGCTACAAACTCTTATCTTGGGCTGCAGGCTAGCAAAGCTAGCAAAGCTAGCAAAGTCTATGTACAGAATTCTTCAGCTCCAAGTTAGATGACGATGGCGTTGGTTACATCGATTCGGTCACTTCGGCTGCATCCTGTGCTGCAGTTGAAGCCCGAGCACTCGTCGATCGCGGCACCACTGGCTGTCCAGATGCGTGCTAGGACGTCAGACTCGGTGAGGCCCGAGCTCGTCGCACAGGTGTAGAAGCCCCTCTTCTCCGAGATGTGGTGGTTGTAACACGCAGCAGAATAGACATAAGAGCCATTTGGCATGGACATTTGCAGATCTTTGAGCGCAGATCGGGTCTGAGTGGCGAACCTCTCCGTGTATTCAATCTCGCTCTTGGTGAAGACTGGCTGGTCTTGAATTCCGCTGTACCCATGGACCAAGTGAGAAAGCTGCCATGAATCAAACTGCGAAGCGATCAACAGGTATGGTGTCCTGGTGAAGGCGCAAAACCTGCATTTCCTTCCGCCTCACAAGCTATCGCAGTACTAGATTGGAGTCCTGACAAAGGCCATGCGGTACTGGCCGAACAAGCACTTCCACGCCTCTTCTGGACCATACCTAAGGAGGGCACGGCTGGTCTCGCGCCAGCAGCTGTGATAATGTTGAGCGAAGAAGAGGTGTCTGAAAACAGGCCAGTTGCTGTGCGTAACATGGTTTAGAGATCACTGACCATGCATTGAAGTTGACCAGAACATCACGAGTCTGCGATTGAAAGCCTGAGAAATTCGAAGCCAAAGCTGGGATGTCCTCGGCTGCACAAAGGAGCACCCTCTGGGAACTGGGAACTGGCTTGGAGAAAACAGCATGTCTCTCCCAACAGCTTGCGGCTGAAGACCAAGGAAAGTAAGCCCACAAGGCTAGGCAAAAACCTGCAGCAACGCGAACTTCGAGACCTTTGGGCGCAACGCCCATGGCAAGATAAATTGCAAAGTAACACAAAAGAGTACAAAGGATGCTCGAGGATGCACCAAGCCAAGCGTCAACAAAGTATGGCGAATCAAGAAAGCCATGTACGTGAACCCCAGGCAGCAGCGACTGGACTTCATCCAGCAGCACCATTGCACCTCTCGCTCCTGCTGATCCTCCTCCAAAGATCAGCCTGTCCATCAAACTAGGTGTGTTTGGTGTCATTCTCGGGCACGGAAAAACTGAAAGCCGAACCGGCCACAAAACCGGCCAGGCCTGCTACCTGGACCAAGACCTCGCCCTTGGAGGTCCTCCAAGGCAGCTCCCGCACTGGATGCCACTTTTGAAACCCTAGAGTGCCTTCAGAACAGCACGAACAACGCGGGCGCCACGGAACTGCCAGGGACCGAAGGCCCCATCACCTGCGGTAGGCACGCACACACACACACACACACACACACACGTCTCGTCCACGACAAATGCTGTTGGTGCATAGGTCTTCGAGAGCAAAGCACAACAGCACAATTAAAGAATGTCAGGCAGGGCGTCCCATGTAGGCATCCGATGTGCAGTACGGCACCTTGAGAGGGCACAAAGAAGAAGAGAACGAGAAAGAACAAGAGATAACAAGAGGCAACGAGAGTTAACTAACGAAACATGAGTGAACGAGTCTCATCCTGCTGAGATGTGCATCTCAGTGACATAAACCTTGCTTGCCCCCTGCAGAGGCGAACCACTGATCGTATCAAAGATGCCCGTCCTTGGCTGCATAGCGAACTTCATACACTTCTTGGTAGTTCTTAGTTCGTGCCTGTTGGTTCCAGTTGTCGCCGATGCCTTCAATTGCCCACAGCATCCACTACGACGGTAGCCAATAGGACATCGCAACTGAAGGGCGCCACGGTCTTATGCACACACCGAGTTGACTGATTCCATCAAAGATGCTTGCCACAGGTTGTTGGAAAGTCCTTGTGAAGATGCTTCGACAACGTCGTAAGCGGTTGACTAACAGCCCTGTGGGACTAGAACGAGTCCTTGTTGGACATGAAGCATGGGGAGCTCAGCGTCGAAGTCTCGCAGCTCTGGTGCGGGAATGCGGTCCCTGACTCACGAGCAGCACAGCTGCTCTGGTCGTGACACCATCCACCACCAGCCAAGTAGAGGAGCCAGTCTTTGCTGGACGCATTTGCCTTTGGACTATATGACGGGGCCCATAAGAAGGCAGCCTACATTCCCCATCAGCCCTATCATGGCCCAGCGGATCGAGGGTCGCTGACATGCTGAAACTTGCCGAGCTTCTGCCAAGTAGTAGGAGGCCTCCCCACCATCATTGCAAACAGCGAGCGGATCAACCTCATGGAGCTTCACCTGCACGAGGGCCGTGGTTGCCCCCACGTCGTCGCAGCTCCAGGCCTCACATAAATTCGCAGGAACTGAGGCGCTTCAAGGGCACATCGGCACTGAATCATCCCTTTCGTGGTGCAAGATCCACCTTGCAAAGAGCGTAAGTCCAAAGAGGCGCGTGCTGCCACATGCTCTGCCACGCATGGACCCCAAGTCTTCGGAGAATGTTCACCCGCGAACTTTCCAAACCACTGTGAATTAGTTGTTGAACTCCGCACCTGGGGCTATAGAGGAACATCTGGGTTCACTGTGGACTTGTGCCACAAGACTCAATCAAGCCAGCTCAGGGGAAAACCAGCCCCGCCGGGCTGCAAACTATGCAGACCAGCCAGCCTGTGCGCACACCCCACTGCCAGGAGGCAAGCGGAAAACCCAACACCCCACACCACGCCCAAACAAAAACCCAAAACAGCAACCCAAGCCAAAACCCAAGCAAATGAAATCGGAGAATGTTTGACAGCTTTGACACAGCTACCCTCCACTGATCTTGTGAAAAGCTTCAACCGTTAACCTTTTCCTTTGCAAGAATGCGGCCCGGCAGCACTTGCTCCAAGGATGACGGCAAAAAATGGCCTCGGGGGGCTCGAGTCGGCTCGTGCACTTTGAGGGCCAAGCCAGCGTGGAGCATGGACCCAGCTGCCAAGTTGCTTCAGCCTACCTCCACGGGATCTTTGGACCGTTCCTGATCTCAATGCTTAGTGGGGTGCACCGGGGCACTTTTGGCGGGTAATGGAAGGTCTTGGTGTGCTCAGTGTGGTGTCTGTGCCACCCAGGTTCTCAGCATCCAGGCGCGCAAGAATCGGCCACAGCTGCCGGAGCAACTCTGCAAAAAAGGCTAGCAAGAAGATGCCGAAGGCCGCAAGGACGCAGCAGCCCACATCAACAATGGACATTGGCTAGGGCTCTGCAGCTAGGACCTGTCACCTTGCCGCAAGAAACTTGCACAGTGTGCTGCATAAGCTGCATTGTAGGCTGTCAGGTGTGTTCTGGGGAGTGGGTCACCCCAAGCATTGCTTGATGAAAGCCTTTCCTTTGATCAGATGTTGTGCTGAGGAGCCTGAACCGAGAACATTCAGCCAGCCACCTCAACCACTCAAACACATGCTGAAGGTTGAATCCACACGTGCGAGCAATGCCTCAGTTTTCTACTGGCCCGCGCAAGCGCTCTGCCTGTTGGCATCAGCACATGAGGATCAATGGAAGCATCAGGAAGAAAGATGCTGCCGCCAAGTAGATGACGGCTTTTCCCAGCTTGTAAGGAAAGAAGACAATGCTGATGATAGCACTGGTGGTGGCCAGAGCGATGCACGCACTGACAATGAATCTGGGGAAGGTCCCTGGAGCTTCCGCCATAGTCCTCGAGATGGGTAGCACGTGCATCAAGGCCTCAGAGAAGGAGATGTGGATGCCAGCTGTAAGCACAGAGAGCACCAGCAGCCGAAAGGACCAAGAGCCCAAACCCACATCGACACTGGATGACTTCCGTAGCTTTGCAAAGCAGGCATCCATGGACATGTGCCCCTCAAAGAGGCGAAAGATCTCTGGAGTGGCGACTCCGGTGCAACAACCGGCAACAAAGTTGCAGCTGCAACACAGCCGGCTCTGTGGGCAAACTTGATCCTCTTGGGCCAACCCGACTCTTGACTTCCGAGCTTCTCGCACAACCAACCTTTTGTGCTCTACTTCTTCATAAACTTGTGGCACAAGTCTGTACGGAAGAAGTGTGGCGGAACCGTCGCCTGCATCATCTGTTGCTTGCAGCGCTAGGACAGTTGCCATACCAGAGGCGACCATCTCAAAAGTCACACGCAGGTCGCCCAGCATGGGTTCTGCTGCCACTTTCTCCGGCACCCATCCGCTGCCAGCCCGCCAGTAGTAACGGCCATCATGCAGAAGAAATCTCAGCTTCCCGCAATTACTTTCAACCTCTGACCCCAGCAGCTTCGATGCGGACCGAAAAGAAGAGCACTGGTCGAGAAGACCACGGGGCAGGACGAAGCCAGAACCAAACTTGACTGAAGTGGCGTTGGTAATGGTCGTCCCGATCGTCAGGGGTGGTGTGGGTGTCTTCTTGGACGGCTCTCGTCGCGAGAGTGAAAAACTCTGTGGGTCCTCTGACCATTGTTGCTGCGTCTGGGAATTTCGGCCGTCCATCCACTGGTAGACTTGCACCTGCGTTCTAAGGCGGACACAGCTTGTGCTAAGCTTCTGACATGCAAAGCGTGGGTCTTGAATGGGCAGCTCTGGCTTCAGCTGGCCCGGCAGATGCACCAGGCATCCGGAGTTTTCAGGTACAGCCTCTGCCTCTTGAACGCTCTTGCACATGCTTCGCCCAATGGAGAGTAAGCACTCCAACCGCGCAAGCTGCCGTTCGAAGTACCACGAGGCAGTCACCGCAACCAGGGTAAGGAAGATGCCGAAGATAAATTTGCCCGTGTTCCTCACCCACAGAATGCCATGCTCTTGGGTATCGGCCTCATCAGCAATCGAAGTCGAAGCCCCTGGCTTCAGTTGCTGAACTTCCCGTGTCAAAATGACTTCGGGAGGGTGCCCAGGCTTGACCAAACTGAGGCCCTGGGTGGACAGGCAGCTGAAAGCCAAAAGAAGGGCCTTGCTGACCATGCCCATTAGAAATGAAACGAATGCCACATGCACCTTCGCTGCAGGGATGGAGCGTCTGCAGGGATGGAGCGTGGCCAAGCTATGGAAACGATGGGGGTACAATCTCGGGAGGTCCGGAAGAAGGTGGATGCCAACTCCCTTGTCACTTGGGCTGAACAGCACACCGGCATTTGAACCAAACAGCATCAGGCAGCACGAACCTCAAGGCATCTGCAATCTCAAGTGGCTAGATGTGACCAGCACGTCTAGAAAGCACTACAAGTAATGCTTCAAGCATTGCCCTTCTGTCCTGGGGGGTGTCTGGCTGTCCGCGCCCGGGCGGAAGGACCAGACCATGTCCCCACCAACAGAGGCGCCAAACCACCTGAGAGCCAAACAGTCGAAAATTGGGAGCCTCGAGGGCCGAACTCCCAATCATCTGCATCCTGCATCCCGCTGCCCTGCCAGGCTCACTGGGATCCACGCCATCCACACATGTTCGGACCATCTCGGCTGTCCCAGAAGTAAATCTGCACCTCCTGGCCGCCGATTGCCCTTTTGCAGTGGGAACCGTGGCGCGATTGCAGTGTAAGAACGTGGCTTACGTTCTCAAGTCCTGCCCGGCCCCCAGCTTTTTGTAGACTGGTCCTTGGGGTGTGTTGGTTTTTGTGAGGTTGATGGTTCATGGCTTTCCAGCATGTTGAAGATATGTAAAGATATGAGATATGTGAATTGCCTTTCGGTCTTCTAAACTCTTCTGCATTGGTTTTGCAAACCGTGTCTCTGCCGTGGTTTGATCCGGTGCGGACATACTCACCACCTCAGGCGAGCACAACAGGCTGTTGCCACAAATGCTCATCACGGGCATGTTGCATACAGTTGTGACTTTACTGAACTGCTTTCCCAGGGTGCGAATGATCGAGCCGACGGTCTCATGCCAGCAACCTGACACCGCCTCAGAAGATCTCAAAACCGACTCTTTGGCAGAAGGACTCATTCAGGAAAAAAGAAAAAAAGGAGGGCGAAACAACCGCAAAAGAGAAGATCTTCCGGGCACCAGGCAAGCTCCACAGAAGCCTGAGCCTTGCCCTCCTTGCCCTCCTTGCCCTTGCCACCAAAGAAGCCCTCAGCACAGAACAGCACAGACAGCACGTACATTGTACGTACATGCAAGCACCAAGAAGTTATTCACAGTCAGCACATTCTTGTCCATTCGCCACGCCTTTCCAGCCTTCCCGTCCTTTCCGTCCTTTCCGTCGAAAGGCGCCTTTGATTTACCCTGCAGGGGAAGCATCTCTACCAGAAGCGCGCTTGAACAGAGCCAGAGCCTTCATGGATGGCATCTGCCACCCCATGTCGCCCTTACCCTCTGACCTCAGAGGAAGGGCAACGCGGTGGACCCGCAACATCCACCACGCAGTCGGCTTACTCTACCTATGCTATGCCTGCACATGGCCCTTCTGCTATCTTCCGCTCGGATCTGCTGCCAAGTAGCTTCCCAAATCCCTTTGTGGGGAAACCTCCCAGGAATCCTTTGGCATCTTTGCCTCCAAAGTTAGCATGCACAGACACACACAAGATTAAGAAAATGAAGCTGCATGCTTGTATGCCATGAACGCTGCTTGCAAGCTTCGCTGGCGCGCAGCCTTTCTTCCCTCCTTTGGCAGGGCCCTTCATGGTCACTAGGGCGGGGGCTTATGGCTTAGCCGGACTGAAGTGGCTGAAAGTGACCTGGCTGGTGATCTGTGGCCTACTGCTTGCTGCAGCCCCTGGTTGATTCTTAAGAGCCGACGGCAAACGGGCTACTGAGATGGCTTCCAAGCTTGCAAACCAATCCTCCCTTACCATGTCATTCGCACCGGGATCGAGCCAAGACAAGCGAGAGACACGAGCTGCGTCCAGTACATCCCAGTACCAACGACAGACACCGCTCCACTCTGGTGCGCGGCCATCCCTCCACAGAGCAACCTACTCTGTGCACACCTCTGGAGACGGGTCGGCGGCAATGCCCAACCTCGTGGTCTTGCCAAAACGCATCCGATCACAGAAGGCAGATCGGCGGCCGGGCCGGCGAAACTCGGCCAGGTCTCCCGTACCACCAAAGTCCTCATTGGACTGAGGAGCCCTGCACATCATCAGCCCCCACCTCACTGGCAAAGCCTGTCCCCCAAAAGGCTCACTGCCGCCGCAGGAAAGGGTCCACCACCTGAACAACAGGCACAGCTCCAGCTCGCTCAAGCTTTGGCGTGCGTGTGTGATCGTGCGTGGTTATGCGTGCTCATGCGTGATCGTGCGTGATCGTGCGTGATCGATGCTCGGCATTGGCTGGGCTGCCCGCGTTTGGGCGTACAGCTGATGCTCTTGAGGCTCGCCTTCGGCTGGGCCTCGCGCGTTTCCGTGCACGGCTGATGCTCATGATGCTCGCCTCGGCTGGGTTTCCCGCCCTTGGGCGTAGAGCTGATGCTCATGTTGCTCGCCTTCCGCTGGGCTTCGCGCCTTTGGGTGTACAGCTGATGCTCATGATGCTCGCCTTCGGCTGGGCTTCCCTCGTTTGGGTGGGCAGCTAATGCCGCCGGCTAGGCACGTCTTCTTCCACATATCTCCCTCACTTGTCTGTTTGTATTTCTCCCTGCATGCCCACGTCGGCATCAGGGAATGTGTTCAGGATGCCACTGACAAAATGGAATCCACTGCACCCGAGCCTGCCAGCAGCCGCCGGGCCTAGTTTGAATCCGACTCTCCAACTCTCCACGGTTGGTCACTACGTCGTGTCTGGGGCAGCTGCTGCGCGAGCGGCCCGGAGTTGCAACACCACCGGAGCTGACGCAGGCCTCAACACGAGTCAACACGGGCTTTCAAGAACCTCCTATCCACGTGGGTATGCGCAGGTACAGTCTAGAGTCTAGAGGAGGTGAACACAAGGAAGATTTGGCGTCCCTCTTTATTGCCCCCACACAATGTGCCGAACAACGTGTAACTCGATCGCTCGCGCTCCTCTCTCTCTGTCCCTCTCTCTCGCTCTCGCTCTCTCTCGCTATGGCAGGAAAGCTGATCAGAAATCCCTATCCACTCCTCATTAGGGTGCTGGCAGTTCTGCGTCTGCCACGGCAAGGGCGCGCGCCGCCCGCATGGCAGAGAGAGCGGAGAGCAAAGCACCAGAAGCTGGCCTTGGAGTGAATTTGCCCACCCTGCACTCAAGGTTTACAGGCAGGCAATCACTTCGTTTTCGCTGCGCAAACACCCAAGAGATCAGAAAACAGGGGTTAACTGCCAACCACCACCGCAAAGACATTTGAAAGGCTCGCGGCATTAAGGGTTTGGCGCGGGGACAAACTGCGTTGTTGTTGCAGGTGCGAGTTTTTTATGATCCTGAACCTGCCGCCGCAACCAGAGCACACGGCGCGATATAACGGCCATCGATTCTTAGCGCTCCAGCACCAAACCATCCGCAATTGCAGGACGCGCTCAGCCTGCTGCGGCTGCTGGCTGAGCTCGTTGTGCAGGTCCGATTCCTGGTGCGAAGGCAACAGTTGACTGGCATCTTACAGCCCACCTCCGCATTCCCCTTCCCTCACAGTCGGCTCAGAGACCCATGGTCCCTTCGCCTCCGACTTCCCCCTGTTCCCCCCTTGGACCGTCCATCCCTCAGCCCCCAATATGGCCTTTGCAACCCATCGACCCCTCCGACCTCTGTTGAACCTCTCTGGACGAAGGATGTGCCTTTCCGGTAAAGACCCCGAATAACCACCCAAAGGGCCTCCTACAGACGTCCGTGGGCTTTTTGGACCAACACCTTGCACTGAAGGTCCCCTTATGGGAGCTTCGTTTTTTGGATGCCTTGGGGTCCTGTGGGCAAGGCCCAGGGCCAAGCCTGAGAGCTTTGGAAACCTTCTGGTGGCGTTCTTTGCGGTTCGGAGGTGCAGAGGTTTCGGCCCCGAGTTCCGTGTCATCATCGCTATCCGATGTCTCCAGTTGAGGTGCAGGCCGCGCCGAAGCGGGCCGCGTTAGCGTTGATGCTATGACAAGGGCAATCGTTTCTGCTGCAGCCATTCTCCCCCACCTTGCAGGACAAGACATCATCGGAGCTGCTCCACGTGCAAAAGCCCTCTGAGCGTGGCGACCTGGCGGGAAGCTCGCATCTGTTCCAAGCTGCAGCGTGCCTCCGTTGGGACATCGCACCAAAGGCACGAATGCTTGCCTGGGAATTTGTGCAGGGATAGCAACATCAGCAAGAGTGCCTCAGAATATCACTTCAGCTCAGTTAGTGGGACAATCAGCTCATGCCATCCTGCACCAAGACGCAGCAAACAAACGTGCTGCGTTCCAAGTTGACGCATGACGTCGGTCCACGTCGGTTCACATCAGTCGCACTGCTTTCTTTTTGCTGAACCTTTGTACAGTTTTTTGAGCCACCCTCTGTCAGGTGCTTCGTCCATGTCAAGCCGCTAAGCCTCAGCAGTGTTGGCTGCGTTCTCCTTGTTTGACTTGTCCTGCAGCAGCGGCTATGCCTCTTTACTGGCCACCGTAATCAAGACAACCGCAATTAAGAGCAAAGATGTAGAAAGACCCGGTCCTTCTTCTCTTTCTTTTGTTTCTTGTCCTTCCTGGAGCCCAGCTTATGCCCCTTTTCCAGGGCTCGCTTGATTTTCACGCCGACACTGAACGCGCCCTTCTCTTTCAGGTGGTTGTACTTTTTCAACAACTTCCTTGGTTCATGGAGGGCATCAGCTGAAAGCACGGCCAAGGTACTGGACAAAGCCGAAGAGCTTGTGCTCCTCGAGCGGCTTCACGCCGTGCTCCACACCTCAACAAATCACTCTAACAGCCTAAGCCAAAGCAGGCCAGGGCAGTTCCCCACTGTCCTTCTGCATCCTTCTGAGGCCTATGCAGAAGCGAACTGCGATTGCACTGTCCGGCTTCTCCTCTAGCAGCGACTCGTAGAATGCACGAGTGGGATCTGCCACAGGTGGTGTCAATGCCTTCCTTGGGAAAGAGTCAAGACATGTCAAGACCATGCAGGGAATCGACGGCTGGCGATTTTGCTCTGGCGAGCAAATGCTGAGGGAGGGTCTGGCCTTCTTTGAAGAGCTTGCGATGGTCATGGATCTTTTTCTTCTTATTGGGACTTGCCTCAAGTCAACTGCAGCTCTCAGAGCGCTGCCGAGGCAATAGAAAGTTGTCTCCAGCCTCCATGCCAAGCCCCGGCAGCAACTGGTGGCTTGCCCCCTCCACCCCCTCTGCTGTAGAGCCACAAGACCGGCAGCTCAGCTTCAGCACCCCAAGTCAGCTAGCAGCTAGCAATACCACATGCGAGCAAAAAACACCTCACGGCATCAACACAGCCACAGAGTCTACCCCCCCCGGCAAACACCTGCGACCACTTGTAAGCTCCCAGCGGTCATTCAGGTCGTCACAAGCGACGCCAAGCGCCTCCGGGGACTTCTCGGAAAACTCCCCAGAAGACTCCTCAGGGGACTCCTCGGGGCAGTGGTGGCTGCGTTGGCATTTCTTGGGATCTGACTTCCCCTGCCTCCGCTGCCTCCGCAGCCTCCATCTCTCGGGAACTCGGATCGAGAAGCTGGCAGCATTGAAGGAGATGAAGCTCGGACAAATGATGGTCTGTCAACTGCCCCTTACAAGGAAGGTTAAGAAACAAATCTCGATTGCCACGTCAGTAGGCGCCTCGAATGCGGCTGCAGCAGCATGCTCGGGGGCCTCCTCTAATGTTTCCTATCTCTGTCTCTGTTCATCTTGCATCTTGCACTCATCTCGCTCGCTCCCTCTTCTGCCGCTGCGTATGCTCATGTATACATGAGCATAAACGGAAGTGTCAGAATCTTTCTGGAGCTCTCCCAGCTGAAATTCCCCTCTGCCTCGGTATGCCCCCTGGTGACTGGAGGTCTGGTTTTGGTCTGCGTTTAACTGCCAGTGAGATGCTTTTTGGATGCCGTGGCTTGCATTTTGATGAATACAGTATATGTATGCAGGGTACGCAAGAGTATACGGAAACGGATTTCAAGTGCGGGGGCTGATGGTCTATACCTCAATTTTCATAAGACACACACAAGTCCAAGGCTAGCACTTTAGCATGGCTGAAACAGGATCCGGAACGTATTTATTACGCAGACCCCCCCGCACTGCAGGGACATTTAGGGCTTAGGGGTGTTTCGGGATGTTTCGGGCCTGTCCCAGTGGTTGGCACAACCCTCGCTGGGAATTCTTTCCTTGGCATCTACGCAGACCACACTGTCCAGACCACACTGTCCAGCCGCTTACGCCGCTTTAACGCATGCACAATCTTGTTCCATCCTTGGCTCTCAAGCACTCTTTCAAGCTGGCTTAGCGGGTTAGCCTTGCCCCTCAATCTTAGGCAGATCTCGATGAACCAGTCTGGCCTCTGCCATCCTTCGGAGCGCCAGTTTTGCTATGGCACCTCGTGATGTTTCAGGGACCAGATGAAACAAACTCAGCTGAAAAGATGAAGCGAATTCCAGCAGACTGTGCGCCGCGTCACTTTTGTCCTCCGACCTTCCCTGCACTTCCCTGCACTTTGGGTCAGAGAGGCAGCTACTTCAGCAGCTCTAACTGTTCTAACTGCAGGCATCCGCTTTTCAAAGGGTCGAAAACAACAGTGGCAAAGGCGACACAGGGCGACACAGGCGACACAGGCGACACAGGCGACACGCAAGGCTGTCCAGCTGCACATGCACAGCCCTCCTTACAGAAGCTGCCATTCCTCTGCCTCGTCACCTTCATTCTCCCCTCCTGGCTCTGTCTTCAGCTCCGTGATGGGTGCAGACACCTTGAAATCTGGCCGGGTGGCAAACCACGTCGTTGCCGCCACAAAGCCGCACTCCTGTGCACCGCGGCTCAAGTCGTAGTCCGGCTGAAAAGAGCACTCGTACAAGAAGCCGTTGAAGTGCAGAACATAAAGTCGCGGCTCTGTCTTGTGGAAAGCAAGGATGGGGCCAACAATCTTCGACTGCTTGCTGCGGGTGTCGACCGCTGGCTGGCCACCGTCCATATCCGGCAGACGGAACTGTCCAAAGCTCCGCAAATCAGCGAGGTACGGGGTGAGACCCCGTACCGCTTCAGCAGCCTTTGACTGCAAAGTCTGCAAAGCAGAGAGCGTGCCGGAGAGACTGGACCGCGGTCCCTGGGGTGCTTCTTGGGGGCCGAAGGCTGGAGATGAGTTTTCCTTGTCCTTCTCAGCCTTGTCGGTGTCAACCTCTGCCGTAGAGCTGTCAAGCTTGAAGATATGCACAGTTGCAGAGGATGACCTCAAATTGGTGGTCATTGTGTGGACCGCCGGACAACCAATCCCAACGATGCCGAAATGAAACTACATTCTGACGACTATGCAAGTTACGCAAGTCCGCCCCCGAAATATTCTGGCAAGCTGCGCCATGGCGAGGAAGTTGTCATCCGATCGGAAAGCAAGACTCGAAATCACCGCAGACCTTGTACTTCTGCGCAACCTGCAGATCAAGATCAAGCAATATGCTCTGGCCTGCGACGCGCACAGCTAGCCGTCCTGGGTCTATCTCGCTCTGGACGACCCCTGGACAGGCCTGTAGAGCGCCTGGCCATCGGATGTGCGGAAGACCTTCGCAACCTTGGTTTTGAGTCAGCATGCCCACTGAATCCCACTTACTTGTTGCCGAGGCTTGCCGCGTGCATCTAGACACAGCGAAGTTATGGAAGAGACAAAACAAGAAGAAGCCGCCGTGTCCAATTGTTCGAAGGCACGGTGCCCGATTCTGATGCTGTCGCCAGCAGCGAGCCCGAAGAATTCAAGGCCAAAGCTGCTAACCCAGACTGGTGTGCCTGAAAGGTAAGTGTTCAGCTGTTCCGGGCTGTTCCGACTGCACAAATGGAAGTCTCCTTGAAGTTTCCCCGCACTTGCCTGGAACACGTGGGTCGCCCCGGCATCCTGGCCCACTTGGATGCGGACGGCACCTTTGTTCCTCGGATGGTCTCCCAGCACAAGATGCACCAGGACGAGAGATGAAAAAGTCGGTTCGTCTCTTCCTCCCCCCTTTGCACCCTCAGTCCAAGACTGTCCAAGCAGCTGGGCCGGGCAGCACAGAAGCCAGGGGTCGCTGGAGACAGCCACCACACAGAGACCTAGCTTGTTGGAGCCCGTGTCCTCCAGGCATGAGCTTGAGGCCAAGCATCTAGCTTGGGCTTGGTACACTAAACGCCCTGCTCCCAAGAACACAGTCCAGATGGAGAATCACTTTCAAGTGCTCGCCGGAAGTGTAGACATAGATTACATACTCACACACCATGACGATGACCTCAGCGAAGACGTCTAGGTCTAGAGCAGGCACAGCAGCTAAGAGTCCCACAGATGCAGCTCGCAGAGGGATTCGGAGAGCTGCCGAGGCTCGTCTTTGTGAAGGCATACGCCTTTCACTTCGTTGCGACATCGGAGCTCGGCTATGACTTTCTGCTTGCGCTCATCCCAGATCTGAACCTGGCGGGAGAGGCACCAAAAACAACACAGCGCGTGCCTTGCAGAAGGCATCCTAATGTTGGCCATCTTGCATTTGCATGATTTGCATGCTTGCTTGCCTTGTTCATGCAGCCCGGGGCTGGCTCGCCCTGTGGCTCGAGGGTCTGGTTCACCATCGCGAAGATGGCGGATTTAAAGAGCATCGAGATCAGCATCACCGAACTGTGCTGAAACCCAGGCGAATGTTCCCGTCTAAGCTTCTCGGAGATCGCAGATGACTTGGCATGGTCTTCTAGGGCAAAGACCCGGAATCCCGCAGTAGTGCCACAAACAAAGCAGGAGAAGTCCTGATTGAAGGAGTACGTCAGCAAGTAGACGTTCTCCCGGGAACCTCTTGACTAGCCAGGTGCCCGCCCCAGAGCTGTCAAATTCTTTATGGCTTCAATTTGCTTCGCACATCTTACTTTACAATGATGAGAGAACTATGAATGGATCGCCTCCCAATCCCAGACACTGTGGTGAATCTTGAACCCTGGCATCGGGATCCCTTTCAAAAGTCTCATCAAGTGTGCTTGCCAGAAGCTCTGAGCATTAGCGACAGCTTTTCCTATCTCAGACGCTGCCTATTTACTACATTCCGAGAGTCGACAGGCGAGAAGACGGTTTAAGGGCTTGACCAAACCACACGGTTTGCATGGATGCTGATGGAAGACTTTGACACAGGTGTGTTGAGAACTTGTTGAGAACATGTTGGTCTTTGCATGAGAAGGCATCAATTCAAATTGTCAAAGAAGCACGCACATATCATTGGCTGCCTGCAAGGCTCACAGCAGCTTTTGCCGCCGCTTCCTCAGTCATAGCCTGGCAGTAAGCTCTCGCACTCGGCTCACTCGGCTCACTCGGCTCACTCGGCTCACTCGGCTCACCTCACTCACTCGCCCCTGTAAAGGGCCCTCGACTCTGCCCTCGACTCTGCCCTCGACTCCAGACCTTGAGAAATGGCCCCCGCCTTTCACACGGGGTGTGAGGGGCTACGAATTGGACTTTGTACAGAAGGAGGTTCTACGGACCTCTCTACCCACAGCTGCGACCGGAAGCCTGAAGGTTGATGCTAAGAAAACTGTAAAGTCGTTTGAAGTTCCTGCTAGAGTTGCATGAAGATGTACAGGGTGTTTGCCGGTTTGCCCAGCTCGTAGGAAATCTCGGTTCCTCAGCAGCCTTGCCCTCCCCGACCTGGTGCCATCGAGCCAGAAACGATCAGCCAAGTTGTCACGTGCAACGCGCATTGAACATCATTGAACGTCCTGGCTCCTGTCACAGATGCCCAGAAATTGCTGGGCAATGTGCGGGTGCGCCATCGGGCGTGGTCCAAGAGTGGAAGCACCACCTGCAAACACAGCACCGCAAACTGCACCAGTTCCCTGTGCACTAGACTGCAACGAGCCAGCTCAAAAGGACACTCGGTCGAATAAGCCGCAAGCGGAGCACGAGCCTTTTCGACTTGGAGCAATATACTCGACACTTCAGTGTGAGCGGTGCTTCCCCCTCAGCCGAACATGCCGCCATCTTCTTCGACATCGTTGCCGTCACCGCTTGTATGATGATGCACACCATGGCAGGCCGGCTGCACCCCCGCACAGGGGGCCTGGGAAGTCGTATATGCTACGGAGCAGTGTGCCTGGACCTTGTGCTTGTCAGGGCCATCTTCCTGCAAAGCGCTGCAGTGCTGAGAACAAGTGTTCTGACATCGGGTCATGGCTTGTTCCTCAGTGACCTCGGCGTCCACAACATATTCGGCCTTGAGGCAATGCTCCGTGTCCCACATGCCTTCTGAGATCGAGCAGAGGCAGCCCACCGCATGACAACGCCCATGGACATGATCGTGCACGTGGAGATGGTCGAGATGCTCAAAGTCGTCAGCAGATCCACGCACGGCATCGAGGGGGAGCAAGCAAAGGCTTCCAAGCACAAGGCAGAAAGTCCACACGACCATCATTCAAAGAACAGGCTATTTTGCAGCAAACGCATCTACAGGCTGTTAGGCTACGGCTTCGACTTGAACACAAAGAGTCAGCACATGATGCAGCGTCAGTCCAACCACTTGAGCACAGCAAGCTTTCAGGCTGCCCCAATCTGTTACTGAAATGGCGACTGCAAAAGTATCAGCCTATCTGACCGACTCCCAACTCTTGACTAACCGAAGCATTTGCCAGACCTCGACTGCCTGCTGGCATCCAGTCTCCTGCGAGAGCACCTGTCAAAAATGGAGGCGTTCGTGCGCCTCTCTGTGAAAACCCCTTCCGCCCAAGAGCAGGATGGGCAGCCTCAGTTTGCACCAGGCAGCCTGCAGCATGCCGCCGGCTGCGCCAAGTGCCTGTCGGGAAGGATTCGGTGCAACCGGGCAAAGGTGGCGAAGGTGCTTCCACAGAGACTGAAGTGAAGAAGCCCCTGCAGAGCCACAGGGCTGCACAGCAGTTTCAACGGCCTCAACAAGCCGGTAAAGAAAAGCAACTCCGAACTGTGTTTGTGGCATGGGTGCAAACTTAATCAGCGCTCGAAGGACAGCGCACTTAACAATGTTGTCCCTAAACGAGACCTTTCTCGATTAGGTGGTGGACCTGCTGGGCCCAAAGGGTGTATCGCAGAACACAAGCAAACGCCACACGCATCAGCAGCCCATAAATTTGGGTCACCGAGTGATCACGGGATGTCATTGCCTCATCATCCTCATCGGAACAATGTGCTAGTGCCAAGTTTGGTCTCCCACTGGCGGCCCAACTCGTACAGCCAAAGCCCCTCTGCCAAGGCGCAGGGAGGCACCCCGCCTGCCGAGAGCTCGGCGGCCAGTCGGGCACTGCAGCTGACGTGGGATGGCCGGAGCTGGAGATCAGCCTCCCGAGGACACACACATACACACACACACACACACACACACACACACACACACACACACACACACACACACACACACACACACCCTTCACACCCTTCACAGCACGGAGCAAATCACAAGTTTTCTGAAGCGACTGTGGCCAACAATTCTTGACTGCGCCCTGCGGAGTTACAAACAAAGCTTTGCTTCCACCTCCACAGCTTCCGGGCGGCGCTGCCCCATGTCTTTGAGCCCTTTGGAGTCCTTTTTGCCTCCAAGCTCCTAAACCCTCAATGCGTCTAGGACTTCTGGGTGATCCTCTCCACTCTTGCTCTTCTATCCTGGCCATGGTGAACTCTTCCCTCCATCACTCGGACCAGCTCAACCACAAGACATCCGCATGCTTGCCACGTCTCTTACCTGTCACAGAGCCTTTGTTGGCCACCCATAGCAGCATGAAGATGCCAAACCAAGAGCCGAAACATAAGGGAACCTTCAGGTTATCCATGATCTGCCGGTCGTTCCAGCCATCCCCGGCAACAACGGGCACAACCTCTTTTTTCAAATGTGCCATGATCTGCCGTCGTCCCATCCTGAACCCAGTGGGCACAATTTTCAGATGTACCCGCAACTTGGCTGCATCTGCACCCGGCATGACCCCCACTCTCTGCTGCAAGCTGTCAGTCTTTGACAGCAAATGACTGCGGCTTGAGACAGCAGGCACTCAATGACTTTGCAAGACTATGCTTTGAAAAAACTTGTAGAGAACGAAGCTTTACAGTAACATACTGTGACTATGCATGCTTGTCAGGCCACGGCTGCTCAGGGCACGCACCGCGTCATTGGTTTTGGCCTTGAGGGGCAAAGGGGCCTGCGATTAGAGGCGAGAAGGAGATAGAAGGAGCTTCCGGGCTCGACCCAAAGCATCAAGGCTGTGGCCCGTTCTTTCGCCCCACTCACGGCCGACGCTAGAAAAGGGCACGTAAAGTTGGCGGCAAGAGGCGGTGCAAGCTCCTGCACAACGGTTTGCACCTGTTGCGCACCGCAAGTTGCCTCAAGTTGGCCTGCAGGCTATAAAGGCCACCTGCAATCGAAAACTGTTGGGAAACTTTGAAGCCTTTTTCGGCAGAAAATTCGGGGATTGAGTTTGCGGGAGACTCCCTCCCATCGGCAACAGAACCTTTCATGTACATGCTGGGAAGCACTGACACGATGGGTAGCTGCTCAGGCGACACTGGCTCAGCAAGCTGCTGGGAAGGAACTCGCGGAATTAAGCATCAAGCTGCCGTTCTTTGCAGATCTTTCTGCCTGTACAGCCTGGCCTCTCCTGAAGCGAGGAAGCACCTTCTGCTTCCACTTCTCCGAGCCAGCGCTTGGCACGTTGACGCGGGGGGGCGGTCCGAGTATCGAAAGAGGCTGCTAAGATCGGGCGCATCCAGGTCGCTCCCAGAGGTCGCCCCCATTGATCCCAATTTTAAGTAATTGTTGTTTTTCGGCAGCCCCTCCTCTCTTTCAACGCACAAGAATGAAATTCTCAAAGCCTGTGCAGGGGCTCTTCAGGCACCATGCAGCGACTCCTTGGATGATCTGCTGTGAAGGAGCTGAAAGGTGGCAAAGGTGGCAAAGGTCAAGCCCGAGCTGGCGGCTGGCATCTCCGATTCGGGCACCTCACGGGCGAACATGCTGGGACCAACGAAGCGAAGTCTTGTCTAGACTTGTCAGATGTCCATGCCATGGGCCTTGTTGCTCGCAAGCAAGCTTCCGCAACCAACACACAAGGCCGCCAACACGTGGCACCTTGTCGATGCAGAATAATGCACGCAGCTTTATACAAAGCAATGCCAAGAGCTTTGTACACGTTGTCCAACTTCCGACTTCATCGTCAAGTCAAAAGGATGAGACGCCAAGCTTGGGCATCCGACAGTGCGCCGGCATAGAGAGGGGACCCGAGGGGAAGGAACCTCTCATGCAGCAACTGCTGAGCAGGCAGGTGAAGTCTCTCTCGGGTTGACTCGGTTTGCTCACGTTTGCTCCAAGCAGCCCTTGTAGCGACAGCGCAAGAAGCCTGGATCCAATCAAGGCACCTCAGGTGCGCTATGCCACCAAAGCCAACGCGCCATAACAGCGGATGGGCGCGAACCAGTAGGACGATGCTGGCGTTCCAACAGTACGGTTAGTTTGACGTAGCTTGACGGGCCCAATGAGCCAAGACTCCAAGCACATTGGCGGCTGTATTCAGTGCCGACATGCTCCCGGACCTTGAGCAAAAAGAGAGTCCCTTGAAGCTCTCGAAGCGGTCGCACCCTCTCTGAATCAAGACATTCACATCTGGGGCAGAAGACCACAGGCCCTGCTGCGTGGAGGGGACGTGCCGAGTGCAGAGGCCTTGGATCGACTCTGAACACATGTCCTGGTGCCATTGAGGGGCCGTTGAGGGGCCATTGAGGGGCACTGAGGCTGGCAGCTCGAAAGAACCGGGGCTGCACAGAAGGTGGGAGTGGACAGCGCCTCGGCCACTGATCCTCTGGACACTCTGCACATCTCTGTGTACTCCATAGCCTATAGACGCCTGTTGCTCACAAGACACAAGCTTGACACGAGATGAGATTGCGACGAGTACCACGTAGACCCATTTGCCGTTCGGCGCCCAAGCATAGCCGATGAATTTAAAGGCATGCACCATCATGGCGCCTCGCAGATGGTCACAGACATCCACTGACTATATGTTCTGTGCCTCTCGCCTTGCACCACCAGTGACTCACGGCCCTTTGAGATTCGGAGAACAACAGGAAGCACGAGAACCTGCCACAGGTTCAAGCAACATCTTCGACCTGGAAAGCATCGATCCTGTGCGAATGTTGGACAAGCATCCCCTTCTCTACAGATACTTGAAAAGAAGGCCTGGGATGTAATGACGGCCGCCCCCACGGCTGAAAGAAAGTGGCCTCAGCACTCATCACAGTCATCACCCAAATCCCAGGTTTGCACAAACCGAGATACCCGCCAACATCCTGTCCATCCCAGCCAAAAGCCTGCCGGAAAAGCACGATTCGGGGACCCAACAGCCGGCGCGCAAGGACACTTTCATGGCTTTGCTGTCAGAACTTTGATTCTTGACACTTGAGCATGGCATGCCCTAGTTTGAGTCCTATCTTTAGGAGTTTAGGGTTGGGTCCTACAGAGTCGCAAAAGGAGCTCATGTTTATGGTTGATAGATGGGGAGACATGGACAGAAGCACCATTCTGTTCCGGACATCTGAATCTTGCTTTTGTTGCTCTCACTCGCGGCAAAGGGTGTACAACACTAGGACGTTGCCCTCGTGTGTTTGCCACAGTGTGATTGCGACAGGAAGCAGCGGGGGTGCCGTAGATTTCTGAACCGGGCACCAGTTTACCTGGCTCATTTTGTACTTCGCTTTTTCTCAGAAACCGGAGCAAGCGACACATGCCTCGTGTCGGGCCCGCGGGAACGGGTTTGAGATTGGTTGGCGCAGCGCTGTATTTGCGCAGTGTGCGGAACAGCCATGCATGTAACACACGAACCGCATGGCACATTTTCTTGGGAAGGCGATTCGAAGTTGCGACGGCTCCCTAAGCCTCAAAAACGTGATGGGAATTGCAAACCCGATGACCCTGCAGCCCGTTTTTGCTTCTGATTTTCGCCTGTCCAGTCTTCCGAGTTGAGTGAATTGCCTGGGATTCCTGAGCGTGGTTCCTGAATGCGCGGCCTCGTTTCTGCATTCCGCTTGTGGTGTTGCTTCTTTTTTTTCCCGGAACTCCCGCTGATGATTTGCAACACGTATAACACGCGTCATCGAGCCTCCTTGAGCCAGAGGACGTTGACAGTCCCATACAGCGCCATGCCTAAACTGAACAGTCCTGACAGACAAAGGAAATACAAAACCCACCGAGTTTTGGGAGCACCTCTGTCCCTAAGCGAGTCCCGATGCAGCCGCATACCAGCGGAGCGATGGAGTTCGGGATAACAAGCGATACACCTTAGAAATCGATTACATGAATGTTGCATAAAGACACTGTTTTGAATCTGTTTTAACACCATGCTTTTAACGATCTGGCTCCCATTTTTGCTTTGAACAGGGCCGAGATGCGCCAGCAGCTGGAAGCATCACTGCTGACTCTTTCGGAGCTCTCCGTGAAGGTGGCAAATATTCCTGAGAGCTCAGGTAGGTCTTCAGAAAACCTCAAACCCAAAAGTCGTACACGTCGTACACACATTTTCAAGAGAAATGTATAAAAGACCTGGACAACTTTAAGAAGCATCAAGCTGCCCACGTATCCCCACGCATGATTCATGCACAGGTAACTGGTGCCACGATCATTTTAAATGAAGTTGGTCCTAGCCCCACCAGCTTGGGAGAAACTAGGGAGAGAACACCATGTCGGTACGGTGTAGGCACCAAAGCATGTGCAGATACTACTAGTGCAGTGTGCACGGGCCACTAACGGTACTGTATCATGTTCAATGCCAGCACTTCTTGGAAGACACGGGGCAGGGAGCGCAACTGCTGTCGCGACCACCGCGGCCAGACCCAGTCCAGCCGCACATGCAAAGGGCGCGGCGCCTCTATCCCAACGGACTGTGCTGCAGCTGTCGAAAGCACTCGCCGTCTCTGCAAACACATCCCTCTGTTTTCGTACATAGGCTTCATGCGGGTCTTGACCAGCCTCCCACACGGGCCAGCAGTGCCCCACCTAAGGTGGGACCGAGAACCAGCGCCGCGCCGATGACCTCTCAACATACTTTCGTGCAGTCATGACGTGTCCAAGTGCAAACAAAAAGCAAGACATAATGGGATTCAAGGGAGGCACTAAGGTGCCAAGTTGCATGAGGTTGCGAAGCTATTGCATGATAAGTACAATGATAAGAGACCTGCAAATTTGCGCGATGCCGCCAAGGTGCTGTGAAGAAGCGCCCAACTGCCACGGCTCTCTTCGGCCCCGCAGGAGTGGCATCCTCTGCAGAGAAAGATGCATCACAGTCAGGATACGCGTTCCACTGCATTTAGGATGCAAGTCACATCCTCAAAGTGTACTTCGCAGTGTACTTGACTACGTAGAACTCTTGACACTTGGCCCAAGGCTGCAATGCAGCTTGTCTCGACGGCGCCACCAGATGCAAAGAGACCAAAGGTGACGTGCGCCGCACCAAGCATCACAAGCCCAGAGGAGACCTTCTTAGTCTGAGGCTTGAATCAGCAGGGCTATCAGGAACACAGCCTATGAAGCAAGCAGAACCGCCAGGAATCAAAAGAAAACTTATGCCTCCTATCACGAGGCCAAGGTGCCGCCATCAGCGTTGCTTCAACAGTGAAAGCAAGTGCGGAAGCCAAGATGACCTCAACGAAGTCGGCAGTGGTGCCCAAGGCATGGCTTGAGAGACTCATTTCTAGTCAGTGGAAGCTTCAAGCAAAGGCCCAGCGTGGCACAAAGCCATCAAACTCACAGTCGGAGCTCCGTCATACAATACTGTGGCACGCTTAGCAGGTTGCGACACTTGCTTCACTATGCCGCGTCACCCGCCGCCGGCCCAGACGGTCGGACCAAGATGCCAGTAGAGGCGCTGCTGTGAACTCAGTGAAGCTCCGCAGTGCTGCGATCAGACCTCAGCGACACTGCCTGTTACAGCATCCCACCGGATGTTCACACGTGGTCTGGGATCTCAGGGTAAGATACGGACACATGACTGCATCCTGGTCCCTTGCCCTTCCTTGTTGCCCTTCCGATTCATGAGCATCAGCTGTCCAAGCGTCCCATGGCATTTGCCACCGCTGCAGCATCATAGCCGGCTGCCTCACCCAGCGATGCCACCTTGGCTTCTGCGGAAAGTCTTGGCCCTGAAATGATGTCGCATCATGTCGCATCTGTTGGAAAGACCTCACAAATCCAAACAATCCGCTGTCATTCTCACCTGCAAGCCGTCGCCAAGGGGCTCTGAGATTGAACGACGGCATCATAGCTACTGCCGTAGCCGTCCTGCATGCATCAGTGCGCAGCGCACACACGCGTGAGCATCCAAGCAGAACTTTGGCAATTTCAGGCAAGACACGTTCGCAAAAGGCTGACCTTGGACTCTTGCATCTGTTGCCACATCGACGCTGTAACACTGCACGAAATCAGGAACTCAACCTCAATAAAACAACCCAACTTCTCGACAAAGCACAGCATATAGAGGTGCAAGCGGTGGTGGCGAGCGCCGCAGCAGCGGCGTGGCAAGTGGGTCCTGACACGCTCCAGATACCAGTCGTCTTCTTGGGTCCATGCATATGGGTGTCCTTGCCCTCCATGGCTTCTCAGCCGGGGCAAGGCCCGAGGACTGTCAAGAGCTTAAGCCCGCAGGATGCACAGGAAAAGCCACCCCGATGGCGTGACTCGAAACCCCCTCGCTCGCACCGACATGCGTCCGAACCCGCGGCGGGACGCATGCTTTTCCAACTTTACCGGGCTACTCCTCGGTCAACCTGCGTGCCGAACGTGACAGATCGTGCTGGTTGCTAGAGGCTGTCTGCAGCATCACCATGTGTTCTCCGAGGGGGAGAGGGGGGAGACGGGGAGGGAAAGGGGGAGAGAGAGAGAGAGAGGGGGAGAGGGAGAGAAAGAGAGAAAGAGAGAGAGAGAGAGGGAGAGAGGGAGAGAGGGAGAGAGGGAGAGAAAGAGAGAAAGAGAGAAGGAGAGAAAGAGAGAAAGAGAGAAGGAGAGAAGGATGGATGGATGGATGGATGGATGGATGGACTCGGCACGCAGGGCACTGCTGCCTAAGGGCGCCGTCCCCTCCACCATCTCAGGGAGCCTCCGCAAGCGTCATTGGCGACCGTCCGGCAAAGGTTCAAGGCCCCTGACTGTCCGCCCCGCGCAAGCAGCCGCGGACTCACCAATGCCCGCACACGAAGGCGCGCAGGCTAGACGGCAGAAGAGAGAGAGAAAGAGAGAAAGAGAGAAAGAGAGAAAGAGAGAAAGAGAGAAAGAGAGAAAGAGAGAAAGAGAGAAAGAGAGAAAGAGAGAAAGAGAGAAAGAGAGAAAGAGAGAAAGAGAGAAAGAGAGAAAGAGAGAAAGAGATGTCGGCGAACGCGCCGGCTGCACGTTGTGAGCAAGGTGTGCCGAACCATCGCTGTTTAGAAAAGGTTCGAGAAACATGTTCCCTTCGAGGGCTGCTTGATACGCACCAAGGCGCGGGCACAAGGACGACAATGCACATATGTTTCAGAGAGTAAACGTTTTGATCCGTGGTGCGGCCTCATGCGGCAGTTGTTCAAAATACCTGTCCACAAATAACCTCAAGGTTACCAGGCAGGTTCCCTCTTCAGGACTCCCTGCAAAAGGCTCTCGTCCCATAGCCCATCCCTTGACAAGACCAAAAGGGTGCGCACCTTTCTCTGCTTGTTCAGTGGATCGTGACGTCTTCGTTGTCATGGCCTTTGGCCTGTGACTTGGCGAAAGGTGACGGCCACTTCAGTACGGTATCTCTAGCGCAAACGGCAGTGCCAAAATGCAACATGCCACTTGACCGTGGCTCTCCAAGCCATTGTCAACAGGTTCATGCGAACGGCAGTACAGCTGTGGGTGACTTTTGAGGAGGTCCCCACGTGTCCGGTGTCCGCGTACCTAAAGATATACAAAACCTCTCAGAAAGCCTGATCCCCTTCAGCCTTGCCCATCTCAGATGTATTGCCTTTCGACGCCTTGCCCCGGATCAACTCCACGAGCCTCATCGTAGGGTCCAAACGTCGGTCGGGATGTTCCACTTTTTCGGTGAGGACGAAGGGCACGAGGAACATGACGACCATACCCAGGAGCAGGCCCAGCCAGCCTGGGAAGAGGAAGGACGCGGGCAGGTAGCCGATGAGGATCGACACAATCGCAACCAACAGGGCGTAGGGAAGCTGTGTGACCACGTGGTGTCGCAGGTCACACTTCGTCGCCATGGAAGATAGGATCGTGGTGTCTGAGATAGCAGTTGCGTGGTCTCCGAAGACCGATCCCGCCAGGATGGCGGACACAACCAGGACAAAGATCTCCTTGTCCCCGCTCGAGCTGATCCATGCGGCCGGTAGGACAAGCGGGAACATGATGGACATAGTACCCCAGGAGGTGCCAGTGCAGAAGGACATCAAGGAGGCAATCAGGAACGTCAGCGTGGGAAGCGAACGGTAGTCCAGCGAGTCTGACGAGAACACGCTGGCGAAAAAGAGGTCGCACGATACATCCTTGACCGCAGCACCAATGGCCCAAGCCATCAAGAGCACCAGCACGGGGCAAGTGAGACTCTTCACACCTTCAATCCAAACATCCAGAGATTCCTTGAAGTCGAGGATGGGTCGCGGCTGTTCCTCTCCCTCCATCTGCATCTTAAAGTCGCACTTCAGCCAGTGGGCCCATTGATTGTAGATCTCGCCTTTGTACTGGTACTGCAAGCGAATGAAGACCCACGACGCGACGCTCCCGATGAAGCCTCCCCAAAGAAGAGCCGAGTACGAGTCCCCATTGCCAAACAGGTTCGCGGCCGTCATCTCCTGTCCACCGTCCACGGTCGTGTTGTAGCCAGTGACCAGCAAGGCAGCAAACACAGCAATCAGAGTGGCGAGGATTGGCACGACGCTGTTCCACCACCGCTTCGGGGTGCTCTCCGATGGCTCCATGGATGAGTCCAGGGTCACCTCACTTTCCTTTGCCGTAGGGGAGATTACCTGTTTCTTGTCAATGGCACGGCGCTCCGCCTGAAGCATGGGGCCACCATCCCGCTGGAAGACAATGAGGCTGAGCTGAAAAATCAGCATGAAGATGGGGTAGTAGCGGCTGACCAGGGATGAAAGGAAGATGCTGTATCCATTGGTGAGGCCTGCTTCCTCAAGTGCAGCTTCATATCCAAGGCCTTTCAACGTCTCCAACTGGTCGTTGATGAGGCCCACCTGCCAGGTGAACTACAACAGCTTCAAGACTGAAAGAATTGAAAGAGCTACAACAGTCGCAGCCTCAAAGCCGATCCAAGAGGAGATCGGCGCCAGAGAAGCGATCGGCGCGGTAGTCGCGTCCACCAGGAAGGCCAGCTTCTCACGGCTGACGAAGAAGGCATCAGAAATGCCTCGTAGGGCGCAGACTCAGCGCAGACTCGGCGCAGACTTGACTGCTGCGGGATGTTCTTGTGCAAGTCTTGTGCGTCACCATGAAGAAAGCTAAATCGGCATGCATCTGCGTGCTTTGGCCCCTAACCCCGCCTCGCATGGTATTGCCCAAGATGAGCGTGTTGGCATAGTCATCAAAGAAGATCACGAAGCCCAACAAGTACACCGCGAGTTGAACACCCCGGCGGGTGGAGATGCGCTTCAGCATGACATTGGCGATGCCGTGGCCTCCTCCGGACTTCTGCACCACGGCCACGAGCCCGGCAAGAAACCAGGAAAAGAGGATCACGAAGGCATGCCCTGAATCCCCCAACGAGTTCACCATGTAAGTGTCCAAAGTCCTCAAGAAGGCATCGAAGATGTTCCCCTTGTGGACAACAGCCCCGGCTACGAAGAGCCCAACCCAAAGCGCCCACAGCACTTCTTGAGTAAGCCCCGCCACGAGGATCACAAAGAGGGGCGGCAGGAGGGACACGAAGCCGGAGATCACCCAAGCCTCGTAACTCCCCGAAGAAGCCCCGACAAAGTCCGGTGCGTAGGCAACCTCCACAGTGAGCTCATGCGTGCCGACTTCGTTCAGCATCAAGTCGTTCAAGGTCAAAGACGTCCTGAGCGTATCGCCTGAGTAGAGCCCGTAGGTCTTCACTCCAGAGACGTTCTGGGCACCATTCTGGACACGCACATAGATGTTGCTCACACCGGCCAGGTTGTCGCTGGAAGGGTAGCTCAAGGAAAGGCTTAGCTGGAAACCCACGCCATCAAGAATGGTGGGTCGGCTGCCCTTGATGCTGAAGCTGGGGGCGGCCGAAGCCAGGGCTGCGCAGCCCAGTAGCAGGCAACGGCACAACGCCATGACCTACTGTGTCAGGACTGTATCAGGAATCCGGGCTCTGCAGCTTGAGGATCAGATGCTTGGCAGCTGGCGTGCACGATGCCCCGCTTCGACTGCAAGCCTGGGCAAGCCTGGGCAAGCCTGGGCAAGCCTTCCAGAAATTATGTTCGGTGATGTTCCCGCACAGCCACGCACCTTTCATCAAAGTATTCTTGTCTGTGGCAGGCATAGGCTGGACTGGCACGTTTTTCACAGGCGATGCAAAGAAGCCACATCAACCTAACACTCGCACTCGGTCCTGTGCTCTCAACTCTCGGCGATGTCATGTACCACGCAGGGAGACTCATCTGTACAAGGCAATCAGGACTGAAATCACGCATTGAGGCCCAACCTTGCGTGCTGAGTCCATCTGCCGACCTAACTACTGCGCTTGAAATGTAGATGCTCCGCCTTGCGAGTAAGTGTAGCCCACCTGGCACGTTTTAGTGCCAGTCGGGCTCTGTATGGCAAAACAAGGCGAGCAGGTTCCTGAGCAATAAAACGTGCAGCTACACGTGCGACTCAGCCTCTGCATGTGGGAGCTTTCGTGTGGCAGTGTTCCTGAGCACAGCACGGTCGACATGCCCGCATGCCACAGACCGCATAAAGGAAAGCAAAAGCAGACCACACACACCCAGCATGCAGGGATCGATATCAATTTCCCAGTCCGCAAAGGTTGTACAGTTGAGCAAGGAACTCGTGTCTCGCCTGTGCAATTTTTACAGGTATGATACACCAAAACTTCAGAAGCTGTCAACTGGTGGCAGCTACAATTCCTGTCCGCTTGCTGTGCCCTCTTGAAGGCTGCGACCGTTTTGGTCACACTTGTGTTATGGCTGGAGCTTCAACTGGAGCGACCTTTCCAGACTGCACTGCGACTGCCAGGGCTGGCTGGGGTAGTTGGTGCCCGCCGGCACCCGTTCGACGGAGTCTTTCACAAGCACGCTGGATGTAGGGTTTCTTGTCTATTCTGCGCCGGGGCATAGCATCTAACACCCGTCCGGAGCAGACACTGCACTGTTAAAGAATTGAAAGTCAAAGCTCAGCCCTGGGCCAAGCCGAGGTAGCCAAGGCAGCTCCGAGAAGGTTAGCGATGATTTGGAAGATCGCACCTCAACGCGACCCATCCCGAGCTGCACAAGTGCTTCACCCAGCTTCCCTCTTCGTTGCTGTCCTGATTTTTCCGAGAATCCGTACACTCCGGCTCCCATGGCATAGCTCAGGGTGCCAAAATCGCCCAGGCCCATCGCGTGCCCCGCCACTGCACCCGTGACCACAGCACCGATCATGAGCCCAGAAGCAACCACTGCCATGCCACTGCACGGCAAAAGCAACCTGACAAGCCCGACTTGACTGCAGATTTTTCCTCCCTGGGGAAAGCTCCACTGGCCTTGTCCCCATCGTGAGGTCGAGCTTGCCGCCGCAGTTCAGCATTGCTACGAACGAGAGTAGGGCAGCCAGCACCGCAACGACTGCAAAGGCAACAGCAGCACCAACCTCAAATATCTTGACATGATGGACAACGTCCAGTTGGAGGGTTTCGGCTGAGCACCAGGCAAGCGCACGTGTTGTCTGAATCCCAGAGCAGATCTCCTGCTTTCAGAACGCTGCTCGTTGAGTAGCAAAGGAAAGCAGAGAGGGCGCTGGGCATGACAAACGTGTGCACACGTCCATGAACGTAGCGGAAGCAAGAGACATTAGCACAATGGCAAGCTGGACCTACCAGCACCTGTTTTTGAAGCCGGACCGACCAGTACCTCAAAGGCCGACTCTTTTAGCATCGCCAACAGGCAACCGGCTCCTCGGCCCTCACAGCAAAGCTTGCGCCACCACACAGCACTGTCGAATCCAAGTGTATAGACTTGGAGGTCAGACTGCCTTCAGGGAGGTCAGCACTCGTAGCGAAAGTCCAAAGGCTCAAGTCACCTCATGGAGCGTACATTCTCAAGCTTGGCCTCTCCTATACTTTTCTGAAGCAAAGCATGTTCAGATATGTTAAGGCTTCTGTGAAGCCAAGGAGCCGTGTGCCGAAGCAAGGCCAGCAACCGTGCCGCGCAACGCGCCCTTCCACCATACGCCCACCAAGGCAACCTTAAGCAAAGTGCGAAAACTGCTCTGCCGTTTTGCCAACCTACCGCTTGTTTCAAAAGCAAGCACACAAGCAGAGCGGAACGCCAGCAAAGTACCGCACAAAGTTCTTGCATGTCACCCGTCAGCCTAGCTGGCCTTCTGCCGGGGCACCACGGCACACGTGCATCCGATGGCGAGCAATGCCAGTGCAAAGAAGGCCTGAGATTCACAGCTCTGCCCTCCTTCAATCCGACCTCTTGCTTTTCCTTGAGCATATAACTTCAGGCTGGCCAAAACTTATCTTGCAGTCTGTCTAAGCATACACTTAAGGCAAGCTGCTGCAGATAGCCCAGTCACCCGAAGCTTGCCAGGTAACGCCATAGCATGAAGTCTTCGGGCAGCACGGATCCTCAAAGGTTCTCCATGACAGAAAATGGCCCTCTCTAAGACTCTGAGAGCTCGAGGCCCGCAGTCGGAGCGACCCTTCATACGGCGACCCTTGTCCCTGCCTCACCCCGCCTCACCAATGTCACTCCGTGTAACACCATGTGACATTCATGTAACCCCCATCACGCTGGAACCATGATGGCTGCAACCAGGTGAACAACATCTCATGTCACCTGACCAGCCCAGCTGCTGTTGGACTCCATAGTTTTACAGGGTGTGTCGCTCCCTCATTTCATTGTTGCTACGGTTCAGGGCCAGTCGGGATCTGCGCGGCCAATGGTTCAGCCACGCCCCGCACTCAGAGGTTCGAGGGTTTAGGATGTTTCGGGGAGGTTTGCCAGTTCCTGCTACTTTCAGCGTGCGGGATTACTACTCCCCAGTTTTTTCGGGGTTCCGGGTTTGTCTGCCACCGCAGGGTTTCCCACTCCATGGGAGCTAGCATCCCCCAGTCTTTGTCAGAGCTTGCAGCTGCCCATTCCTCTCGGATTTGGGATGGGGCTTTTCGGTGGCTCGAGCTGGGTTCTTCACGACTCACGGTCTTATGCTTGGGCACGGTCTTCGGCTCTCACACACGCGCGTAAGGCAGGCAAGGATTCGGTCGCACCGTGCCACAACATCCACCACAACTAGCTCAGGCGACAGGATGCCCATCCCACAACGGCTGCCACAATTTCATTCTTTACTCTATACCTTGCCTTAGGCAGCATCTCCTATCGCGTCAGACGAGGGCTTTGCCCGGGCACTACTCAACCACTCCACTCCCAAATGCACCCCAATGGCATGCCACATACAAACGGGTGGATTCATGGATATTTCGACTTTGGGGCTGAGGGAGGTCTAAGGACGTCCAGGATTCGAGATGGTTTCGGGGTCTCTCAATGTGCAGGTTACGAATTGTCTGGTTGTCAGGAAGCTTGGAGCCTCCCGCGAGCACACGACAGCTTAGGGTCCAGAAAGACAACCTCCTAGCGACCTTGGAAACCAGCGACTTCACCACACAAAACCTTTACTCTTTACAGGGTCTCCATGCTTTTTGACTGGACTGATGCTGGGGAAGCGCGTCAGCACATCGGCGCTTCATCCAGCCTCAAATGCTTGTCAAGGGTGGTGGTGAGTCACGACAAGCGATGGGCGTCACAGGCCTGCGTGGCTCTACGTGTAGGACGCTTGCTTTACATTTTATGGCTCTTCCGGCCTCTGTAGGCTGAGGCGCGTCGTCGCCTGGATTTTCCGCCTGCAACGAAGTACCAGGTACCAAGATGTGCCCAAATCACCAGGGGCGGGCGTCTGTGCATATGGAGCCTCAGGCACCTCGGCCCTGGTTGGCGATGGCATCCTGCATTGGCAGCGCCACGTGATATCACTACTCTGCGCATCTCCACATGTCATCACAGCTGCAGAAGTGCTGGCAAGACCACCGCAATGTTTGTTGTCACGCGAATCTGCCCAGTCCGGACCCGCTGGCAACTACAAGCGGCCTAACCACAAGCAGCCTTCCTGCGTCTCTTAACAAACAAAGCAAGCTGGCTCAGCTAAAGCAGGGCTCAGACTGCAGCAGCAACAGCCACTCCTTATTTGCAGAGCAGTCAAGTAACTTCACCCATGACGCAGACACGTGGATGATTCTTTTGTGCCGTTTTTGCTCGTGGGAGCAAGGGACGGGGGCCTGGGGCTGCATGTACATTGCATGCCCAAGAATTTGACTGGACTAACGCCCCCTCCCGGTAAAGCGATCGTTGATGATAACACTAGTAGTCATTCATAACAAACACATGATGAATGAATTACGCGTAGCACGGAGCCGCAAAATACAGAATACAGGCTGCAGAACACGCAATGCAGAATGCAGAGTGCAGGGTACAACATGCACTTAGACAGCCTTTGAGAAGACGCGCTGGGCCTCCCTCGTGTTTTTCCAGCTTCATGGACCACGTCTATGCTGTCTGGCGCTGCGTATGGCCGCGACAGAACACGAGCGAAGGGCTCAGCTGAACTGTACAACAGCCGAAGTCAAAGGCCACGCATCTGCACAGATCTGCACAGTGCCCTGGAAGCCCTGACATGCCCTGCAAGGATCAATGGATGGGTCACACCTGGTCACTCCGGCGTGGACCTATGTGGACCTATGTGGACCAATGTGGTGCAAGCCGGCCCGAAGCTGCAGCCTCTGTCACGGGGCGAAGCAGCTCCCGCGGAGGGAGATCGAAGACGATGGGTCGCTGAGTCGGGTTGTACTCAGAGGTACATGTAGAGGCGTTCACAAACAAGGTAACCTCGTCAGTTGTGGTGCCATGATCTTCATGCAGGTGGCCAGCTACCACCACGGAGATTGCACGACGCTGAACCTCTGATCAAGAGCCAAGGGCAGCACATGCCATACTAGCAGCATGACATGCATGTGCACTGCCTCATCCCGGGCGACATGAAACGCGGCACACGGAGAGAGATAACAAAGAGCGAAAAAGCGAAGCAAACCGGACCGCGTCATGAGACGAGGCTTTGGACCCACGGTGCCTCCTCTAGCAGGTCCTGGCAGCCAACCCTGCCATGCCGACAACGGTCCCCATGGCCCGCAGGTGGGCCATGCACCAGTAAGATGTCCGTGTCCGTTGGAATTGCCTCCCACTTCTTCCGAATCTCGTCTCCTCTTGGCAAATTGAAAGCCCAGTCGCAGAACTCAGGCTGCCAGGGCGACCCGTAGACTTTGTAGCCGCATACGTCTGCAGAAGAATCCTCTAGGTATGTGCAGCCCTCCAGTGAACGTCGCACCTTGCTGCAATCGTAAGCACCCCCTCGGTGAAAGCGCCGGGCACCACGGTCTTTGTAGTACTGCTCGTGAAAAGTAATGTCGTGGTTCCCGGCAATCACAATTTTCTCCTTTGCCGGGTATGCTGCCAACCACTTGCCTAAGCTCTTGACTTGCTCAAGCTCCCCGGTGTTTGTGAAGTCACCTCCCAAACGCAAACATTCAGGACAAGACTGGCAGCGCACAGCATCACACGCACCCCGACGAAAGCCTGCATGCAAAAGCACATCCGCGACCGGACGATGTTCAGGCGGGATCAAGTCATGAAGGCCATGGGTATCACCTCCAGCCATGCCGAGATCTGGCATTAGCATGTCTCTCTAAGATTCCTTGCTGCTGGCAGGGCACTGAAGCAAACGAACCTGGTGTGACCCTTGGCTTTCGGCTGGCTCCACGGGAAGGGCACTACTGTAGCACCAGCTGGTGCCCAGGACATCTCGCCAACAAGAACGAGGTCCTACATCGTGGCACCAAAAAAGTCAGCGGTGACTCAGCATGATTCAGCCGAATTCTGTCCAAAGTCTGCGTAGCCCGCTGCCTGTCCTCGGCATAGAAGTCGCCCTCAGCACCATCGTCGTCAAACTCTACGTTCCATGTGCCATCACCATTCTCCAGGGCAACAATTCCATGGCCACGCCCGCGCTTAAACACACGCGCCCCAACCTCCATGGTGCGTCTACCAGTTCTGCACCTTACGCCTCACCTACAAGTCAAGCGCTTGATGCCCGTCAGAGTGCGCACGCAACACACCGCAACTTCACAAAAATGTCCCCGACACATGGCTATGGAAACATTCATTTTTCTCGGCACCGCCAGAATGCTGCATCCTGTCCAGCTCGGATTCACGAATGTACGTGGACGATCTGACAGATTGCTCGTCAGCGACCAGGACGAAGGCGGTAGCAGGGTCCCGGCAGATGGGACACTTTGAGTCGCCTCCTCGCAAGTCCACGGCGCAAGCCTGATGAACAAATGCATCTCTGACTGGTACAAATCAAAAGCCTGTAGCACGGTCGAGTTCGTGACTTTGCATACAATTACAACAGCAGCAGTAGCCAAGCCTCACAGAGACACAAATGCCGACAAGGCTGACACAGAATTCGACGAGGCCCATCCAGGCAAACCACGCAAGGCTGCCGAGGTCGATGCAAAACAGAGCTTGAAAGGAGCAGCTTCCGGCAAAGAGAGCCGCATTCGTGAGAGGTGAAGAACATGTCCATGCCACCCTTGCCCAGGTCCGCAATCCCAAACTGCTTCTGCAAGCTGTGGATCTGCGGATCTGTCCAAGTCGTTCCAACTCCCTGAATATCAACGCACAGCTCCTGCCCTCCGGACTGTTGAAAGGTGAAATGGCTGAATGCAGCAGCAACCTCACAGGCACTTACTCAGGCAAGTGCACGCCGCAGAAAAAAACAAACTTCCGAATAACGGGTTCGCAACAGGACTGGAAGATGATGTTTGACAACACGGAGACCTTTGCAGCCTCACCGTCCTGAAAGCTCTCGACAAACCCGTCATTGCCGTTGAGTTTGACATAGGTGCCCGAGATGTAGCGTTCCGCAGTGACATATCGAAATCCAGAAGTCTGTGCCTCGTCGGTAATTTTGAGGACATAGGCTGGCACAAACTTCACTTTGGAAGCCTCCTCGCCCCCGGCCGTGTCGATGGCAGCATTGAATTCCTTGGCAAACTCCTGCGCCCGATGATGGTTCTGCAAGAAGAACTTGTGCAAGTCTTTTGGGGACCTGAAGCCAGGCTGGTTTTGCTCACTCATGTACGCATGTCTGGATGGCAGCCCTGCGACACAACGTCCAGCCTGTGTTTGATGGAAAACTTGCTTTCCTTCACGACCAAGTGAAATCTGGATCCGTGCACCAGGTCTTCAGAATAGCCATGCGCGCTCCGGGCGTGATATGCGTATCCTGAGAAGTCACGGCAGACATCTCCAGACATTAACTCAACGACACTCCGCAACCTGGGCTAGCAACTGACACCCGACAAAAGAACCCTGAAGACTGTCAACAAGATGAACATTGCAAGTCTCGCAAAGCTCCTTGAGCAAATGGCTTGTGATGCAAATACCTCAGTAACAATTCGAACATCTGGCAACTGCTTCGTCGATGCCGACGTCATGCAACAGACATCGGCCACAGAATCACCGCCGCGAACCTACCGAAGCCCCAGGCTGTTTAAGAGTTGCTCCCCGAAAGCCTGACATCAAACTAGCTCAGACAGCGTGAGACAGGTTGAAAATTCGTGATACAAGAGTACCACAACATGGCGAAGCGGCACAAGGCGGGCTTCTCCGCGCGCAAGCAGCTCACCACCCTCTTCGACCATGAGCCAAGCCCAGCCTTGACCACATCAAACTTTAAGCCAAAGTTCTATGTGCAAAAAAAACCCCAGGCGTTTTCTCAAGCGCTTTGAGCTCGATTCTTGCGCATCCGGCCATTCGCAGATTCGCAGTGAAGCGGCAAGGCCGTGCGCGGCGCCGGAGCTCGGGTGGAGTCCCGCGCCAAGCATCGGGCGGCTCCAGGTCCTAGGAAGGATCAGGAAGGAAGGATCTCTTAGCCATGCTTGAAATCAGATTTCAGGGCTGCAAATATGTTTCACTTAGCTCTGAACAAGAAATCCTTTCAGCCTTTCTGGTGGTGGTAGTAGTAGTAGCAGTAGCAGTAGCAGTAGCAGTAGCAGTAGCAGCAGTAGCAGTAGCAGTAGCAGTAGTAGTAGTAGTAGTAGTAGTAGTAGTAGTAGTAGTAGTAGTAGTAGTAGTAGTAGTAGTAGTAGTAGTAGTAGTAGTAGTAGTAGTAGTAGTAGTCTAATCGTTGTCGGCGTCGTTGTCGACGTTGTCGCGTCGTCGTCGTCGTCGTGTGATGTTTTCCTCTATTCGTGGTTTTTAATGTAGAAGTCGGAAGGGGTAGTGGGAGAATTTATTGTTCAAATTGCTTCCTATATCCCAACAGACAACCCAATCCTACCCCTTCCTTCCCTTCCTTCCCTTCCTTCCCTCTTCCCTTCCCTTCCTTCCCTTCCTTCCCTTCCTTCCCTCCTTTCCTGGATCCTTGCTTGATTTTCAGAAAGGTCCCCGGAGTCCAATCCCCAGCTTCACATTCGAGCATTGGGCACACCTACCACTCCCCGTCGGCCCCAAAACCTCAACGATCAGTCCTGAACCCCCCCCCCTGAATGCCCAACCAAAGCAAGGCTGGAATCAAGAGTTCCGCGATGTCCAGACCTTGTCCGGCCCAAGCTCCGCAGGTTTTCGTGACATAGCTTGGGGAAACCTGAGCATGCTTGAAGATGCCTGTTTGAGCTCCCCGGTGTCCTTCGCGGGTATGGGAGTCATTGCTTCGTCGCCAAACGTGATCAGCGAGCTGTGTAAGGTGGACACTGAAGTGGCAAGCTGGCCAAAGATTGATTGCAACTTCTCATGCACGACTTCACTGCTATGGAATGTCCCCCCTCCGAGACGCGCCAGACTTTGCAGCGTCTGCATCCCAAAATTCCCGAAGCCAACTGTGTGCAAGATGCACATGTTCCCAAATTCATGCCGCATTGAACGCATGACTTCTTCAATACACGATGAGGGACGGTGCTCCCATATCACTTCTGTCGGTTCTCCGTCACTAAGAAGGATTCCAATTGTCAGACCACCCGACAACAGGCTCCGGAATGCCGCCAGCGCCTGCAAATATCGCCCAGTGCCCGTGGGGCGAGTTGCCTTACATATGTCCTGCACCATGGCCTGCAGATTTCGGTCCACTGTCCGCCTGCCACTAGACAAGTAGCCAAGTAAAGCTGAACTGCTTTATTCTCAAGACAAGCCCGGAAACCCTCCCCAAAAACATGCGAAGGCCTCTCAAAGCGCACCTTGAAGGTGTCGTCAAAGGTCACGAGGGAAGCCACAATTCCAGCCATGCCCAGCAAGCACTGCAGAAGCTTTCGAACCGCCTCAAAAACCATCTGGATTCGGTTCTCGACTTCCATGCTGCCCGAGTTGTCGACAAGGAAGACAACGTGCGTGGTTGAAGTGCTCATCTGGCTGGCCTGCTGGATGTTGCAGTGCATGCCTCCCTCCATCATCTTAGAAGCCTAGAATCCAAGGCCCTTAGAATCCCTAGAATCCTTCGAATCCCTATAGAATCCCTTAGAATCCCCTAGAATCCCTAGAATTTACAATCAGACCCACCCCCTTTTCTCGGAGCAAGGAGCCGAGCATGTCCTCCTTCGCTTCTCCGCTGGCGCTTTCGGCGGAAGCATCACTCCACACACACCCAGACGAGGCAAAAAAGGGGAGCCGTTCAGCGAGCTTTCGAAGTGCACCAGCGCAGCATACTCATCATACTCAATTCCATCAGCTCCAGAATGTTACAGCTTGAGCAAGGGTTGATGCAGATGGCTAACAGATCAACCCGGAGCATTCTTCATGGACAGGGCAACAATGGGCGAAAACACAGCGTTGCCATCCCCTGGCCGCCCTGGCCACCCGTGGAGACCACACACATTTTAAACAAGCCCTTGTGCAACTGAACCCAGGCGACAGCACTTTGGTTTTTTGAGAGCGCGAGTGCATCCTGCCAACATGATAGGCTTCGAGCAGAGCATAGCAGAGCGGTGCTTCTGAGGATGTCATCTGCACCCTCGTCTCCAGTTCTCACGCTTCAAACAGAGTGTCCCGAACCTGCACAACTCGCAACCCCGCCTCCTCCCAACGGTCAGGGGAATCTATCGGAGACTCGAATATTCGAAGGTCGCGGTCCAGGTAAAGAACCCGAACAAGGCCTGGTCCAGAGATTGCTCCAGACAGAAAAGGCAGACCAAGGACGACAAGGCCGCCTCGCTCGATCTGCACGGAAAAATCCTTCGGACAATACTCGGTGCGATCAACAGCCGCAAAGCTTCCCTCTGCGAGAAAGTACACCCCGGATCCCAGCACTTCGCCATAGTTTGTGACTCGGCCAGCTGTTGCATCAAAGGCCTGTCCAGCCTTGTTGCGAAACAGCGGGCGCAGGAGCCGGGAATTCACTTCCCAGCCGGGAGTTCGTCCCTGAATGTAAGCAGCCCGCCACAGATCCTTTGGGAGTTGGCTGGTGCCGAGCAGCTCCAAGCTACATTTCACGCGTGCCTCGCTCAACTCCGTGATGCACTGATCCACGGTGTCCCGCATCCCCGCATCCAAGTCAGCATTTGCGGCATCTGCGGCAACCAATAGGTCCCGCAATTTCCGGGCACTGGCTGGTGACTCCGCCGCCCCGAGGCCGGGCCACGGCAAGCCCACTTCTTGTGGCAGCCAGCTAGGCATGGCATGCTGCCTGCAACGATGGCGCACTCGCTGCCGAAGCCACCAACGTCGGTATGCAAGCGCGGTGGCGCACGCGAAGCTCAGGGGGAAGCAAGGGGTGCAATTGCTGCTGACGTGCGGCTTTGCTTTGCCCACGCAGATGCTGCGCTGACCATGCACGACATCGGCCCACAGCGGAGCCACGGGCACCTGTCGCTGGCAGCTGCTGGCCAGCGAAGGAGGCGTTTGCATCCTTCCAATTTAAGTAAGGCTTGAGCCCACGAAAGTGGCACTTGAAGTGGCCTAAAGTTAAGCTCAGGGCTCTACGAAACAGGTCGCACTTTGTTCTGCCGCGGCGACACGACTCGTCCCAACTGCACTAGCACGTCTGTGTAGTTCGAGTACAGTAACCGTCCAGGAACCCCAGGAAGTCGACCTCGGCTCGCCTCTCCACGAAATCATCCTTGGCAAGCACAAGAGTCCCACCAAACGGCTAGACTCGGCTAGACACTGCCAATCAATTCAACACAGAGCAGCACCAATCTTCTAAAGGCGATCCACGCCACTCCCACTTACTGGCTGCCAGTTTGCGTGCCTCAACGCTTCTGAAGTGAAGAGGTTCATGCTAACGATTTGTCAGTGCTAGGCGGACAACACGAAGCACTTGCAGCACATCTCGATGGGCCAAGCCACCTTGCTCCAATCTGCCAGAGTGCATCCAGGCGATCGGGCGGACAGGTGACACGTAGCGCGAAGAAGATTGCAATGCCTATGGCATAGACCATCTCCGTAAGGCACAGGCACTGCGGCCTTGGTATCGGGTTTGCATCATGCAAGTAAGACTAGCACTGCCCAGCGCTTTCCAAGTGACAGTTCCGCAATGATACCTTGCCGGCACAGCATTCTGACATTTGTGGGCAAGCGCATCCCAGGAAACCCTGCGTGCAGCATCGCACGCCTGAGATGCCCCCGCGGTGCTGTGCTTCGCAGGTAGCATCCTCAACGAGCCGTAGAGGGCGACGGCCCCACCTGCGAAGTGCCAAAGGCTGTGACGCCATATCCATATCTCGAAGGCCTTCGACTGCGTGGAGTAAACCTGAAGGCTCCGCATGGCTGTGGTAACGCCAAGTTTAAGTCATGAAGGCAAGCTCGTCCCCTGCAGGCAGGCAGCAAAGGCAGAGCATGGCACTAAGACCAGGATAGCCGTCTCCCAAACCGTGGCGCGGAGGTAGAAGTCAAACACTGACAGGAACAGTGTGCCGGATGCGACCACGATGTCGAGTCGTCCTTGCACTCATCATGTGCGCCACGTATCATGAAACCTCGCTTCGAAGTGAGAAGTCACTTGGCATCTAAAAGCACACCGGGCATCCGTAGAATGAGCGCTGCCCGCGACGGATGAACAGATAGTCCGCGCTGTAGGACGTCAGAACTACCTTGGTTCACTGCTTGCGATGCGGGCCACTTCAAATACGATGTAGCTGTGCAGCAAGCAACTAACCAACGCCTCCCCGTTGCCAGTGTATATGTCACCGCAAGACAGAAGTACAGGATCATCTGCAGCATAATGCTCGGGTCCTTCCGGGTCTTGCCGCAAGAAGTCTTTGCTCTTTGCTCAGTGCGGCACACAGGGACCCTCCACCAAGCCTTGAGATCGGCATACTGCAGGAGGCACCACCAAACTGCCCAAAAAGCTGCTGCTGCAGGGGCGAAGAAGAAACAGCTCACCCCGACCAGCAAGTGGCTGCTCCAGATCTTGCACGAATGTGATTTGAAGCCGATCAGCTGGGCCAGCGTCCGGTGCATGCTGTGGCTTACAGCTTACAGCGCCTTCTGCCGCGTCTGCATCTACCCTCGAAGCTTTGTCGAAGTCTGTGCCGAAACGCTGCTGCTGAGGCTTCATGCTGAACAAGGCTTCACAACTTTCTACCCTCACAGCAGAACCATTGCTGCCAAGGCTCGTGGCTCAACACGTTGCAGCATGCTTATCAATCTGGGGTGATACGAGCATGACACTATAATGCTTCTCCCCGTTTGCCAGCTGCTCCATGTAGAACACCCTTTCACATAGGGTGTGAGATGTCAAGGGCTTGCAGCTGCCGTATCTACCCCACCATATGGCGAAAGCAACTGGCACAGCGATTGGGGCTTTCATGACCGTTGTTCTTGTGAGTTGTCCGAAATGACTGCATCTGGCTCGTCAGAACTGCACTAGGAACTTGAATTCCGCGAAGCTGATTGAGCCACGACAGCCGCACGGGGTGCCAGACTTTGGGTTGCTGCAAAGCTCGTGTCTGGTCAGCCAAGAAAACGGTGCCCAAGCGACGTGAAGGCAGAACCTAGCCTGGGCTCATGCTTCGGGACATCAAGCGACGCACCTAGGCGGCCATTGCCGTGGTCATGATTAAATCACTTGATGTCGCTCGATGTCGCTTTCATGTCGCGTCGCTCTCAAGTCGCTCCCTGGGCCCAAGGCCCGGCTCTGGCGAAGCAGTTGGTCTTAGGTGCACCAGAGGACATCAGTACCGCACAAGAAGAGGGCGCGAAACTCCTCTCCGGCATACGCCGTTGCTGCACTCCCAAGCTTCGGACACCTGCGGTGCCAGAAGCGAGCTGATGGATTCGTCCAACAGCTTCAAAGCTTTGGCACGGCGAGCATCGTACTCCTCTGTGGTGAAAAAAACACAACGTCTCCTTCCGTCTCTTGTCTCTGCGCAGACCAAGCTTTTGAAGGCTTGGTCTTCAAGGATATTTTTGGACTTCTGTCTGGAGGGGCCGACGATTTTTGGACTTCTGTCTGGAGGGGCCGACGACTTTCACGCGGCTTATCGCTCGAAGGTTCTGGGGGGTCTGGACTTCATTGCAAGAAAATTACAATGTAGCACAACAAACACAAGAAAAAAGTGCTGGAATCGACCAAAGAAACTGAGACACATGGGTTTTTCGGCTATCCGAAGCAGCGTTTTGGGACACCGGAGTTCTGGCCTTGGAACCAGGTGCGCCGGGAATGGGATCCCCAGCTTGCCCCACTTGCCTTCAGAAAAGCGTCACACAATGTGTAGCCAACGTTCGCGACAGCCCCCTTGCATGAACGCCTTCATGAACCCCTTCATGACCCTTCATTCGCAACAGCCCGTCGCAACAGACGTGTCTCGAGAGCCGAGAGCCCCTGCGCAGGCCATGCAGGTGGAGCAGGCCAGGGAGTGGAAGCAGTCGCAGCGGTAAGACCTAGAAAAGTCTATCATAGAAGAATCGCAAAGAGAGTAGTGTACTTGCCTCAGCAAGAACTCAGCTTCACACTCATTCCTGGGGCTGAATTCCAAAGCCTTAGCAGATCTTGACGACATGAGGTCGCACAAATGGCCAAGGACGCACGCGCGGGGCCCTGACACAGCTCCCCCATCCTGTACACGACTGGGGTCGTAGACAATGGCCTGTACGAGCACAGCACTTTGGCTGCGCTGAATCGCTGGAAGCTCCACAAGCTGTGCCCAACTGCTCAGACACCAGTCTCTAGCGAAGGATACTACTACTGTAATACTACTGGTATAGGTCAAGGCCTCGGCCTTCTCTGCATCCTCCTCACATCGGGCTCATGTTTGCTGCGGATCCCGTGTAAGTCCGAAACTCCATGAAACTCCTCTGGTTGCCGTATTCGCAGCAGACCTGGCGCCACCGTGGAAGCCAGATTGTGGGACAACGCCTGGCATGGCAGTTGCCTCTCTCTTGCCAATAAATGCCCTCACCAATTCGTGTCAAGCAACCCCAACTGCACTCGCCACCGGACGCAGCGCTTGTGGAAACAGGTTTGCCTCACGCGGCTCTAAGGTCACAGCCTGCTGTTAAGTTTTCAGCATTTTCAGCATGTGTGAGTGCCAGGCGAAAACGAAGTCTGGCCTGAATCACAGCAGGAGGTGCCAAGTGCATGAACTTCATCAGCACTATCCCTGGCCCGGAGGCAACATGACGCAGCTCGTGACTGTAACTCGTCACTCCACGTGCACTGGGGCTTGCAGCGAGTGATCCCCATGTGCTTTGGCATGAGGGAACCTTGCGCCCGCCAGGTTTCGCGAGCCCCCCGCGAGCCCCCGCGAGGTCCGAACTCACAGTGCTCAAACTAGGCTCACTGCCAGTGGATATACCGCAAATGGAACCAAGCCTCGGCCCAAAGAGGCCGAGGCTCAAGACCACTCCAGCCCCTTTCGAGAGCTTGGTCTTCAAAAGTCCAAGGCCGCCCACAAAGAAGAAGGCCAAAGGGGCAAAGGGCCATTCGGGAAGCAGCCAAGAAGGCCCCAAAAGCCTTGGTACTTTCTTGACTCGGCTTGACGCCTACAGTAACCCACCAATCTTGCATGGTGCAAGACGGTGCATGAAATGCATGAACCCGGAGATGTCGTTCTCGCTTTGTCTGCGGGGTTTAGGGCTTCAAGGTTTCGACACCCGAAACCTCAAAACGTCAGAGAAGAAGCGAGCGAGAGAGAGAGAGAGGGACAGAGAGAGAGCGAGAGAGCAAAAAACAACAATTGAGACACTCCTGTGTTCCGAGGTCCGCGCCCCAAGATCGTGCAAGCCGAAACCTTTCACACAATCCCATGCCATGATGTGCGATGGCGCTTTTCCGCCTCGTTGGCAAAACACTCTGCGTGTCTTTGCGTTCAGCGCGTGGCGAGGCAGAAGGGCAGATGCTGGCCTCGGTTCTCGTGCTTCCAGACACTTCCAGACCTTGTTAGACTACCCTGATTATCCGCCAGTCCGCAAACAACCACCCCCGCTTTGGGATGCCACACATGCAAGCCGGTGCTGAAACCCCAGGAAGCTCAGGTGGGCGGCATTGGAAAACCCAAGGTTTCGGCACGAAAGGTATGACCTGCGTAGCCAGGGCTTCATCGCATGGGTCTCATGGTGCGTCTTTCCATTGCAGCTTGCTATGCGGCCCTGAAGGTGCGGCACAGTTCAGAAGAGTTCAGCTAGGTCAGCTAGGCTCGCAAGGGAAGAGCTCAAGTGGCCACACTGGCTGGGATTGTGCTGCACATCTCGGTACAGTTGCGTTTCAAATCTTAGTCTTGACACAATTTTAGTCTGGGCCAGCGTAGAACTGTAACAAGCGCATGCATCGCCCGCTCGCCGACAGCTTGGCCATACCCCGGGCAGCGCGCGGTATGACTATGGTATGGTCAAATTTATCAAGGACCCGAGAACGATGAAAGTCTATGAGTCGATGAGCGTGGAGTGGCACCACACAGGCCTTTAAGTATGCCCCGATTTCTGAGAAAGAAGCAAAAACTAAAAGGAAGGTACGCAGCAGGAAACTGGAAAGTCCTGAGCCTGAGCGACTTAATCATTAAACAAAACTCCATGCGCCGAGCAAGGCCAAGAAGAGGCTCCAACCTCCAAGGGGTAGGCCTGAAGCTTTCCAGAAGCATTCCAGAGTCATTCCAAGAGCATCTATGCGCACTGTTTGGCTGAGCTGCCGACGTGTCGAAGCCCAACTGCCAGCGCAACAATCAAGCCACAGCACCTGAAAAAGCCCGTGCGTCTCCCTGCCAGCTGCAACACATGTCATCTCCCACTCATCTAATCCAAGAGCGCCGCCCTCGTGTAGGCATAAAAAAATCCTGCAGAAAGTGCTCGTCGTCGCCGCGACAAGGACTGCTGATCGTCACCATCCGCTTTATTCAGTCCTTCTCCCTGTCCGTCCGAAAAACCTGACATGCGCAGCACATTGTCACTCCCTTCGCGGATGCTGTCGAGATGCACGCCTCAGCAACCTCCCAGAACAGAACCACCTGCAGCAAATCAGGAAATCCAAGCAGCAGACAGAGCTCAAGCCCATACATGGCACATTATGCACGCGACCGAGAGGCAGCGGACGAGGCCGCGCTGGCGAATGCCAGATAAAGACAAAGCGCCCGAATCGGCCTGGGAAGAAATAGCTCTTTTGTGTACAGCTGGTGGCCGGGCTCCCTCTGCACGAACAGGCTAGCGTGCAGTTGATGAGCGCAAAAGAGCCGACTTTTCTCGCATGGTCTTTCTATGTCTTTCTCCAATCGCTCTGCGACTACAAACAGGGCATCCATTTCATCACAGCAACCCCGCGTGCAGTCGTAATACCTTGTTGCAAAGATGCGAAGGGCTTCAAAGCGACTTCTCCGCACAAAATTGTATCACAGCGCCTGTATTGCCGGCAAAGCGGCGTGTAGGGCCTGGTTGTTATAGACTGAACCGTCCAGTCTGTGTCCTGGAGCTGCTTCCGCAAATGCTCTTCAGTCGTGCGGCGAGGACCTGTCCATCCATATCCTGCATTTCCTGCAACGCGGGACACACCCCGAACAAGCATCATCGGGAAGGCCAGCGGACATGCGAAGGACAATTGAAGCAGCGTGTTTCGGAAAACCTGTCCATCAGAGAAAGCGTGGAGAAGCAGCCGCCCGCCGGCACGTGTGCACGTAGCAGCTGCAGTGAGGGCCTTCCGCTGTGCCACGTCATCACCTTGGGCTCTAGCCGCTAGAGCCTAATTGGCGGGCGTTAAGCTCTGGCAGGTAGTCCCAAATACGTCTTGGGATCTGGCCAATACCATGAAAAACCGCAAAATCCAATACCGTGTCGTACGGGAGGTCCATGATTTCAGGTTCTGCATTCAACGCAAGAACATCTGCTTGGAACACCTCATGCACAATTGACAGATGCACAAGTCCGAGAACTGTGTGGTGACCATATGGTGCCAGCGAAAACCAGAGACATCACCAAAATGCAGCTGAAGCACGCGCACTGACCTCACGGAGGATCATGACATAGAGGCATTTGTCAAGACAGTTCTAAGCATCAGCCTCAAATCCCCCTCTCCACCCCGGTCCATTCTGATGACGCACCCATTCGCTTAAGCATGCTGAAGCGGCCCTGGCATTGCCCCAGCTGCTTGCAGTCGCTGGCGTGCAAGACTGACAGCAGCTGGGACAAGATCGAAGGCAGTAACGTCGAAACCGTTTTCTGCAAGGAAGACAGCCTTGACCACAAATCGGATACAGAACTACACAACCTTCTTTCTCAACAAGGCGCGACGTCAAGTGGCATTTTCTCCAGTTCCGCAGCCAATGTCCAGAACCCGAGGGCCCATCACGTCACCTGGTCCACGGAACAAAGTGAAGATGTGCTGTGAACAGAGAGGACACAGCAGATATCAGCAGACATCTTTCGCAACGCACTTGGCCAAGCTGCCATCAGCCAAGGCAACCGCCAGGGCTGGCTGCGGGATTCCCACATCCCAAGGCGCACCCTCGGGAGCCTCCAAACCACAACACAACAAACACAAGCGAAGCACCTTTGGCTCATACAAAAAAACATCGCACCAGCTCTCCTCATAGACACTCTTGAAGAAACTCAGTGGAGGCGAGCGGTCCGCGACACACGAGGTACTCGCGTCCATGGCAGGCAGCAGACTGCACACTGCTGAGCCATCAGCACATGTAACCTGTTGCTGGCAGCGTGTAGTCATGAATGTCAACTTTTGCCAGTGTCTACAAACGCAAACTCTACCAGTGCAGAATTCAAGCAGTTTACGACCTTCTTCAAGGGACGTGGTCAGGACCCTTGTGACCTGGGGTCAGGATCCACCTAGTGTAGCACAAGCCACCAAGCCGTCACACCTGCACCTTGGCAGTTTTTAACCACTCCGGAACCTGTACAAAGATGTGGAGCTCGTGAGCTGGTCCAAAAAATCGGGGCTGATCAGCGACAGGGCTTATCACACCGTCACCTGAGCACTCGGCTGACACCGAAGCAAAAGTAAACATGGCTGCTGTGAAAGCATGTGATGGCAGGTTTGGAATGACTCGACGGAACTTTCTAAAAAAATGCGACTTCTGGCTTCAGGAGGCTGTCAGTGTGGCGGTCATGGGCAGGTGATCGAATGCTTGAATGCCGGGCACCGTCCGCCATGAAGCCAGATCCATATGTACAGTGCTCTGCTTGTACCAGCCAACGCTATCCAGCCATCCAAACCTTAGCGTCTTCGGCGTGCTGAACCCACGACATGTCTAGACACCTGTCCAGGGTCCTCCCAGAGGCTTCATGACACAGGTGCCCAATGACCTAAACACTGTTGAATGTCACCGGACCACCGTTGCCAACAGAGGCAATCACAACATCAAAAAAAACTCTGTTTCGTGCGAGCAGCTGGAAAAGATGCCGGTCTTCCTCGGACCTAATCTTGCGCTGAATCCACTTTCCATCCTCTTGCCAGTCGAAGTATTCTGATGCCAGCTTTGCAGACATTGCCGCTGCGCTGTCACCATCAGGAGCAGGCCGACTGTCTCTCCTTAAACTTGGCACGGCAATGTGAGACATCGCAGCAGCAAGTCTCAATGCAACAGCTGTGTACTAGCAAAGTGGCGGAAGCAGAAGCAACCGTTGCGCGCGCTACAAGCAAAAAAATCGCGCGCAGTCACCACTCAGTTCTTGCAACGGGAATTAGATAATAAGCCAGAATTGACAGCCCAAACTTGGAGCTCTGCCCAACCTCTGATAAGAAACAAGCTCAATTCATCTGCTGGCATCGCCTTCCAAGACACTGAGGCCACCGTACGTCATCCAATCGGCTGAAGGAGACGATATCCAGCAGGCTCAAACGGCAACCCAGCTGGGCTCCCAGCATGACCTTCACGTTCTTAAGTCATCTGCTCAGTCCCTACAGGTAGGTAGATGTAGCTACTGATCCCCGGTTGTGGATCCCACAAAGCGGCGGCCTCAAAGGGCTCGACTCTGTAGAACGGCCACGGGACTTCAATCTTTGAGTCCAGGGCAGCATCAATGGTAAGCCAAAACCTCGTTCGACATGTCAGACCAAACATACACAATGATGCCTCACCGCCATGTGCACTACACCTTCAGTCGATCTGTCCTGCGGCCAGGACACATATCCTTAATTTTCAGATTGCATGGGGGGAGACTATATGCCTCCCCACGAAAGTCGCGCCCGGAATACGTCAAGGAGTCTTTCTTCAAAAGCTCCAAGCGCTTGGCCGGGTCAGAGAAACAATCCACCAGGAAGCGCGCGCCGCTTTCGGTAAGCTCGTACTTGCCTTTCTTCTCCGAAACATAGCCCTTCAGGTCCTCGAAAGCAACTAAGCGATTGTTGAAGTCTCCCCATATCAACGCACCAAACTTCTGACTTCCGCGTTTCGAGACATTCAGCATTCGCTCCAGAGCTTGCAACTGCCCAAGCCTTGACTCGTCATCTGTGTCAAGATTTGCGCCCAACAGCATCAAGTCGACGTCACTGCCATCGACATGCAGGAGAACCTCTTGCTTCAGAATTGCCTTGAACGAGGGCTCGAACTCGTTCTTCCGAGCCGACTTGCAGGTCAGCGACAGCGGCTCCGGAAAGCAGTCGTGGTGGTTGATGGACGAATCGTCCCGCACGTCCTTTACAAAATGGCGGCTCACGGCCACATGCATCGAAACGTAACGCAATCCATCATCTGCACCTTTGACCAATTGGGCTGGTATCTGACGAATTAGCAGAGAAGGATCATCTTCGTTTAAGACATATTCATCCACCGTGTCTGCTTTCATGGACCGTCTGAGTAAGGAGCGAAATTTGCTCACGTCTTGTGCAGGTATGAAGACATCAGTCAAGTACAAAGCGATCACATCACACTCTGCGGCAGAACAAGCCTTGTCACTGTAGAGTAGTTGGTGGAGCCCGTCTATGGTTGGCAACTTCTTGTTCACCTTCACAAAGCCAAGCCACACCTTAAGTGGTTTGTCTCGCCCTACATCCAGCATCACCATGGAACGCATCGGAAGATGATGCTGAGCACGCACATTCCAGTCACATTGCCACTGGACAATCTCCGCTGAGAAAGAGCTGCTTTTGCTGAAGCCCACCCCATCAGGCCAACCAAGCTGCAAATACAACTTGGAGCGCCCATCATCGTCGGCAATGCTGTGTTGAAAGGCATCCCCTTCCGCCCAGCCAAAATAAGTACCTCGAACGCTGCCCTTCAACGAATCCATGTCGACATGCTGAAGGCTATCTAGGCAGACTACCTCCTCCACTCTCATGCGGTGCCTGAACGCATCAGACAACACCACCTCCAATGGCGTGTGCTTATACGACGGCATCGGGACGTTCGGGATGCTCTGCGTGGACGCAAGATCAGCAGTCATGCAGAAAAGCTGGCGGAGCTTGAAAAGCGATGGGGGGGTTGCGAACTGCCGGCCAGCGATGTCGCGCCCGGAATACGTCAAGGAGTCTTTCTTCAAAAGCTCCAAGCGCTTGGCCGGGTCAGAGAAACAATCCACCAGGAAGCGCGCGCCGCTTTCGGTAAGCTCGTACTTGCCTTTCTTCTCCGAAACATAGCCCTTCAGGTCCTCGAAAGCAACTAAGCGATTGTTGAAGTCTCCCCATATCAACGCACCAAACTTCTGACTTCCGCGTTTCGAGACATTCAGCATTCGCTCCAGAGCTTGCAACTGCCCAAGCCTTGACTCGTCATCTGTGTCAAGATTTGCGCCCAACAGCATCAAGTCGACGTCACTGCCATCGACATGCAGGAGAACCTCTTGCTTCAGAATTGCCTTGAACGAGGGCTCGAACTCGTTCTTCCGAGCCGACTTGCAGGTCAGCGACAGCGGCTCCGGAAAGCAGTCGTGGTGGTTGATGGACGAATCGTTGTCAAAATCACGCACATATGACTTTTTCACTGCCACATGCATTGACACGTGGCGGAGTCCATCCTCGTCAGCCTTGACGAGCTGCGCAGGGATCTGTCGTATCAGCAAAGCTGGATCGTCCTCATTGAAGACCTGTACGCATGCTTTCTCTGGCCAAAAAGCTCCCCTACACTGACTCAGCCAGGAATAAGTTGACACTCCACTTCATGCCGGTAGTTGTGCTTGATGAGAGGGTTGAGTTTCTGAGTAATTCAATGGTTCTTCAATTGGAGCTTTTGGCAACTGATGCTGCAACGCACTTGGCTGTGTTAGCTCAGTATGGATCCGTCTGCCGAGATGCATACTCCGAAGCTCGGTCTGGTCCCATAGTGTTCCTGCGCTGCACACGGACAAGTCCACATGATGTGTCATGATGTGCTCCCGGACGACATGGCTCACCGCCTTCGTGCCTCAATAAGCTTCGCAGACCGTTCGTGCTGCTAGGGTGGATGAACAAATCCGTCAGGAAAAGGGCGACAACATCAGCTCCGTCTGCGCTGCCTGCATTCAATTCAAGCCACTGCAAACGTGACAACATGCATTTACAGCTGATTACGTCACGTATCGCTTCATGATACCTCTACTTCGGGCCGCCTTGTTCTCCTTCAAACAACAAACGCTGAATGGATTTGACTGTGGGGATCTTATCGTCCAGCTTCAAAAAGCCCAACCAGATCCGCAACTTTGTTGGTGCTGATGTCCCAAGACCTGTCAGTGGTTGTCTAGCAGCACACGCACAACACACTCACTCATTCGACTCAGTCAGCGCTCGATTGGTGACTTGTGGACATGGGACCTGCCAAGAATTCTTGCAAACAGACTGTTGAACCATCCAACACCAATTGTCGCACTGCGTCGTCCGGCTCCCCTGCTTGGACGTCCCGCAGCAACCTTTGTCGATGCTGGGAAAGCCAACTGCCATAGGCGAAGCAGCATGTTCACGACTACACTTGGTCCAAGGTTCCGTAGCAAAGTAACTGAAGAGATCCGCCCAGCAGGAGTAGCTGCTTGGCTCAAAAGCGCCCTTACTCGGTCCATGCTCCAGGACGAAGCTAGCTCGAGCCAACACATGCCAACGCATTCCAACACGGACACACTGCCACAAGATCGATATATGGAAGCTTCTCATAGCTACAGATAAGTTCCACACCAGAGCCGCTCCAGCCTTTGAGCCTCAGTTGCTCCACGCCCCCAAGGGCCTTCAACAAAAGTGCATCATGCCCGAGACAAAGGCCATCCAAACAACCAGGGCCGTCATCGCGATACCACCTTAACAAACTTGATAATTGCACCGGCAAAGCACATGTGAATCAATCCAACCGTCGAGCGCCATGCGGAGCAGATTTGACTCATAGAGGTGAGCCGTTACCAAATTCCAAACTGGGCGCAGAGGTTCTGCATGTTTCAACACATCATGTCAAAGTCGATGCCGAGACCAAGCGTGCGCAACTGGTTTGAGCTGGGCGACTGAAAGGAAAAGGCAACGAGGCGATGGGACTAAAGATTGTGTGGTGCGGCACCTGGAAACCAAACACAGGAATCATGTCGTGCCGAAAACATACATGCAGGCCGCACCAGTGCGAAGGTCTCGTCCACCATCGTTGGCATTATAGCCCGCAACGAGGTCAAGGTGCCCACCTGCGGTTGGACACGGCATTAGAATTCGCCCGGCAACACATTCCGCCAACCATCTGAAGCCCTAGACATTCGTGGACTGCTAACCTTGCCAACCTTCGACATAAATTCACAAGCTGAGCATTGCGCCAGGCCCCCCAACCTCAAAGGCAAAACTGCCCACACATGATATCCGCAATGGATATTGAAAAATGGCTGTAAACATGGTGCTACATGGTGCTTGGCTAAGTTGGATGCAAATTTGCAAACGACACTGGCAGGCCCAATGCATTGGTGTTGTCGGCAACATCCGACCTGAGGATGGCGGACAATGGCAGACAATGCGTTCTTAAAACATTTTTTGCCATGCACGTCCAGCTACAACTTGGCCATGCACGAAACCCGAAGGTCCATATACTCGTGGATGCCTGTCGTATCACCTCTTTCCCATGCGATGCTTGTGCGCCTGGGGAAATCCTGAGGCTGCACGTGCCATCTTGAGCCAGATCTGCGCATTGTCTAGTAGTGCAAGCCCGCTGTCACACTCTGAAAAAGCGTGGGGAAACTCTGCAAACGCTGCCCGAAGAATGTGCCCAAAATAATGCCGTGTGCACTTACACCCATTGCCTAGAAAAAATGCGGTCTGCTCCGAAAATGCATCACAAAGGTAGCCAAAAAACGAGTCCTTGAATCATTCCCCAACACATGTCCCGCCCTCCTCCGCAAGAGCAAGGATACTCCTTTTTGAAAGGTGGGTGGGTGAATTTTTTTTTCTCCCCTCCACGCCTTTTTCCGCCGCCAGGAAGGTCTCGTGGGCCTAAGGCCGCAGCGGCGGAAGGCCGTGTCCAGCGCAGTCAGCCAGCGCCAAGACGGCCTCCAGAGCAGGCACCGCGCCAAAGCCGGCGGGCTGTAGTCCCGCCGCGGTCGGGCCCAAGGCAGTCTCGGCCACGGCCACTTGCACCGCGACGGACAACAACCCCCACCACCGACGCGCCCAGCCGCTCGCCACGCTGCAGCGCACAGCAGCGGGGGCGCGGCAGCCCCGCAACCGCGTCAAGGTCCGCAGGAAGTCGCGGGCCTGGTCGTTCCAGCGCCCGCCAACCTCATTGCCGAGGACTAGCAAGCGCTGGGGCCCGGGCACGCACAGCTCGGGGTACGCGGCTAGCTTCCGGCGCTCGGCATGGCGCAGCGAGGCTCCGTCAGATGTGGCTGCGCGGGGGTGCGGTTCTCCCTCGCGCGTGAGGGGCGATACCATGGTGGCATCGCAGCAAAGGGCACCACCCCAGCTCGTGGGGCCCTGTAGACCACCAGGTCCAGGCGGCGCTGGTCCCCCGTCCGCACTCCCAGCGTGGTGGTCCTCGCCAGCCGCTGGCGCGGGGCCTCGCGAGCAACGCGGACCCATGCGCGCTCCACGATTTTGGCCCGGCGCGCCAAGAGGCCCGTGACTTTCCAGCCACATGTAGGCTCTCAGTCGCACATTCATCTGTATTTGCAGGATAAATTTGTTACGCGTGCATTGCCACTATCCTTTTCGCGAGAACGACTCGTGCGAATGACAATTCATGGACTGCGCTACCGCAGTAAAGCTGCAGAGCGACATTCGCTGCAGTTTCATGCGAGTGGTCTACGTTGTTAGTTTGCTCTGCATGCGTGTCTACACATACGCTGTCACTGTACATGGCACGCATGCCAGGCATGGTTCGCTTGAATCAAGCATGTGCGGTTTGCGCCTTGTAGTTTGCCTACCCCTGGAGGAATAGGCGCGTTAGGTAGCCTTTTTTGCTCTCAGTCCGAGTGCCAAGCAATTGGAAATTGTGTATGGCACGTCCGCGTCAATGCTGGCAGCGGCTGCCCCTTGTTGGCTCTAGTTTTGACTTTTTGCAGAGATGCGCATGGCCGAGACAGTTTTTTTGTACATGCTGGTTCCATCCTGGCCCGCTTCCTCTTCTGCAGATTTCTGCTCCGCTCGGGTTCTATTTTTGGCGAGTGCACACTGCTTCAACCCTGTGCGTCCCCTGGACGCTGAACGCTACGAAGAAGAAGAAGAAGAAGAAGAAGAAGAAGAAGAAGAAGAAGAAGAAGAAGAAGACGAAGAAGTAGTAGTAGTAGTAGTAGTAGTAGTAGTAGTAGTAGTAGTAGTAGTAGTAGTAGTAGTAGTAGTAGTAGTGGTAGTAGCATTTAATATATTACAACCAAAGAACTGAAGATGGCCTCTGTCGCCTCAAGCTGCCGGAGCTCCTGGGATGGGACCACGGCCCCACTGCCGAAGGCCTGAAGCCGGTTGTAGCTGTCGCCAAAAAGAAGCTTTATCATGGGAATCTACAGCTGCATCAGTGCTGCATCACTGGCTTGGGCTGCCAGGGTCTCCGATGTGATGGATGCAATGCGAGGAGGTGGGACATGGCAAGAGCGCGCAACGTCCGGACGCTATCCGGACATGCTGGAGGCTCCAAAGCTGGCGAGCAATTGGAACCATCAGACAACTGAATTCACGTGTGCATCCGCGGCGCAAATCAAGATTTCATTCGGAACAGAAAATCCAAAGTTTGAGCAAATGCGAAAAGGCAATGACAAGGACCACTCCGAGCAGCATCGCAAGGTTGGAGGTTGGAACGTCCAGCGGGGTTTCCAAGCTTTGTCCGTGAGAACCATTTTGTTACCTCCTGTTGCTACCGTGTTGGCCAGTGGTACAAGTGCGGATGTCACGATGCGACGCGACACGCTAGAGTTGTCTTTATAAGAATGCTTTTTGTCGAACCTGAAACCCTAAACCACGAGAAAGGCTCGTGATTTCCTCGTGATTTTCCTCAGTCAGAAGCTGAGACTGGAGACCGCCACACCGCCCTCACGCATCCACCAAAACCTCACGGAAAGGGCAACCGTTTAAACGTCCTCGGCGAAGCAAGTGTAGGTCTCCACTCTCTGCGATCCCTCACACCATGGCCTGAACTGCCCTGCACACCCACACAACATGCACCACAACAGCTTCAACTCTTTGAGATCAGGATTTCCCGGCCCATGCGGATCCAGGCCAGATTGATGCGAAATTCCGACCTTTCGCATTCCGTGGCTTCCTTGGTGAGAGCAGAGCCGCACCCTGCAAGGAAAGCACACTGCAGTAGGCAGACTTCAAGCCAGGTGCTTCCCTTTTCGCCCGAAGGCCAATCAGATGCAGCTCTGATGGCCTTGAACCTGCTCATTTGTTGCCCAATTTTTTTTTCCCCGCGCACCTTTTTCCGCCGAATCCGCCGTCCCAAACGCCTTCTGGCCGCAAGCCCGACGACCTACGGAAGGCTCACCGCAGAATGCCGACTGGGCGGCGGGTGCTCAGCGAGGTCGAGCACCGTCGCCAAAGGCTGTGTGTCAACCTCCCTGGGAGGGGGGGCATCGTCCACTCGCCGAGCGCGGCGCTGCACAGGGCGCGCTGCACGGCAACAGACAATGCACTCCACCACCGGCCCTCCCAGCCTTAACCGGCAGCCGCTCGAAGGACGGCCGGTGCTTGGCGCGCGCGCAGTCGGATGAGCTGCTTGAGCAAACGTTTGGACTATTCGTTCCAGCGCCCTCCGACTTCGGCAGCCAACACGCTGGCCCCCCGAGGGAAAGTTCAGGGTAGCGCGCATGTTTGCGTCGTGCAGCGGCCTCTAGTGCGGCACCGTCGCGGTCAGCGGCGCTGCGGGTGGGACGCAGCCCAATAGGCCGCCTAGGCAACACGCTCGGCAGTGAACAGGCCTAGGCCTCCCAATCCTGGGCATGCTGGTGACTGGCGGCGTCCCCAGGATCGAGGCCGCCCAAAAGCTCGAGGAGGGTGCGCCAGACCTCATCATTTGGTGAGCGCGCGTAGTCCGCGGCGAGTTCGGGCGGGAAACTACGCGCACTGCAAGTCGGGCAGACGCGGCACGGCCTGCAGGAACTCCCGAGCCTCGCGCAGTCGTTCCCGCGCCTGCGTCCTGACGTACTCGTCGTGCCCAATGGGGACGTCCCACCATAGAAGCTCAGAGCGTCATGCGCATATAGCCTGGTGAGCACCGCGGCGCGGCTGATGCAGTCATACGCGCTTCGCCCGTCCAAGGGGACGACGGTCGCCTGCGGATGGAGCTCCACAGCTGTGCGCAGCATAGCCGCCAAGCTGTCGGGCCCTGCGCGTCTGCAGCGCAAACTGGAAGGGGCGTGTGGCCGTTTCGAAGGCATCCGCGTGCACCCGTGACACACCTCCCTGCGGTTTGCGCAGCGCCGTAAGGCGGCTGAGCGCGAGCGCGTCTAGGACCTCCGCCGGTGCATCCGCGCGGGCGATGCAATTCACCGCGAATGTGACAAGTCGAGCGCAGCGGTGTCGTCCAGCAACAGTTTGTGCATTTCGACCGTGCGTCCGACAACCCGGCCGCCGCGCCTCCAAGGCATGCGAGCCCGTCCGGCGAGGCGAGCTATCACGCGCAGGTCAACAGCCCAATGCGCCCCCGGTACCGAGGAAACGCACCAGGCACTCGCGGACCCTGCCCGACGCCCGCCGGAGCGCATGCGCGACACGCTTGAGGTCCTTGCCCATCGTCCGGGAGAGGAGCTTGCGCTGACTGTCAAACAAGTCGCGGATGCCGTGCACTCCTCTAAGTGTGGATCGGCTGTCCTCGTGAGCTGTATCGTTGGAGGTGGCGGAGGCACCTGCACGAGGCGAAACTGGCGATGCAGTTCTCGCCATTCCCCGGGCCGGAATAGCTCAAGACGCCTCAAGCAGACAGGATCGCCCTTGCGGGCCGGCTTGCTGGCTGGGCGTAAGCAGGAGGCGCGGCAGCAGGAAGAACAACTTCCACGCCCTCAGCACACGTTGCTTCGGTCAAGGCTGCAACGAAGGCGCGCCGTATCCCCGGTGCAAGAAAGGCAGGCACAGACCGCATTGTGGGAACACGGCAGCGAAACTCCTCATGAAGCTGTTCCAATCATTGTTGCTCTATGCAAGCAGCATTTCTCCTTTGAGCACTTTGTGCGTGTGCTTCGACACCCGAAGATTTCATACGCATCGCCGGGGTCCTTCGACTCGACTTCCGCGTGAGGGATTTCTTGTGGTCAACATGTAGGCTCTTGTGCATCCACAGCTGCAAAGGATGGGTTGGGCAGATGCTTCTGCAGGAGTGCTCGTCTCGGCATGTCTTCGTCGTGCGCCGTGGGAGAGAGGGGAGGGGAAAGAGGGAGAGAGAAAGAGATGGAGAGCGACAGGCAGAAAAAGAGTGCACTATCAATCACTTGGCCAACCGAAACGCGGCTCGTTGGCATGCCAAGACCTAAAGAGTCCAAGGCACTGTCAAACGACTTGACGAACCTGTTGTGCAACGCGTTGCGCAAAGCGATCCAACCGTCCTCCCGTCCACCACCGTGAAGGCCTGCCATGACAGGACAGCATGCGAGAGCCTCCTATCTGACCTTGACCCGGCTTTTCGTGCCTCAGGAGAGCCTGGGCGCTCCTTACAGCACCAGAGTTCCGCATGCCGAGTGCGTGCATACGCATCCTGCTGTTTCGACGCCTCCGTTGCGGCGGACATTGTGGGAACATCGTACGGCCTGCCCCACAGCAGGCGCGCTGGGGCCGCGCGGCGCGCTCCGGAACGGGCGGCCGCAAGGGTTTGCCGCGAAGCGGGCGCCAAGGTAACCAACAATGGTTTCTTGCGCGACGTGAACCTGGATGTACTTCTGGCGGATGCCCGCCACAGCGAGTGCTGGCCAACGGCCTCCCTCTTTACCAGGGGGTCGCAAGTTGCGGTCGACCACGCTTGTGAGTCCAGTCTCGCGAGATGGCACAGCTCGACCGACGACAGGTCACAAGCCCGGCGCGGCCGCTTCCGATGCGGCTAGGCTGAAGCGTCTAGAGCCTAGACACCTACCCGGAGCTTTTGGCTGCCCGCCACTCCAGGTTCCTCCGCCTCCTCGCCGATGCCCGCGCCCGTGCGGCCCCTCGCGCGCCTGAGGTCCGCCACGCGCCAAGCAAACGTCCACAGATGGACGGGACTGTGGCGGCACAGCGCGACGTAGGCCTCGTCGGATGTTGAGCAGGGCGAGGGCGACACCCCGCCCTTGGGTGAATGTTTTGTTGGATATCTGGCACTCCACCCGTCTGCGCGTGAGGGCAGCAGTAGCTTGGCACTTGCGACATGTGTGCTCGTGAAAAAAATATAACCAGCGCGCGTGCGGCGCCCCTTGTGCTTGATGTTGTTTGATTGCTTACACGGCACACGGCACATCTAGCTAGAACAACTCCACTCAAAAGATGATGCTGGATTCCTCCGATTCGCTAGCTTTTCCAGGGAAAGCTGCGGAGGAAGCAGCGGTGGGAAGCAGCGGAGGGAAATAGCGGAGGCACCGGGCGGCCTCATGATCTTCACCTGCTCTCAAAAAAGATGCAACCCACATCGCCATGACAGACTGTCGTCCACATGATCGGAAGTGTTGTTTATTGGAAGCTTGTCCATGTTCTTTTTTACAGCCTTTTTGCGCCTGCAATCGAGTGTCCGTTTTGATAGGTCCTACCCCTAGGCTCTCCTAATGCGCAGGGCTGTTGCGCGCGTGCTGAGCCTGCGCCGCCAGGCCACTGCGGACATCAAGGGGCAGCTTCACCATTGGCCTCGTGGCTTGACACACAGGCTGAGCGACAGGGCTCGCCATCGGGCTATAGCCAACGCTTTGGCACTTACGCGCCGCCAGGTTTTTCTTCCTTTTCGACATCAACTGCGACGGAAGCAAATCGTGAGCAACCGAGTTCGTGGGGCTCTAAAAAGCATTCACCATCGGAGTGCCACGCTGCGAAGCTTGGCTCAAGCGGCTCAAGGCTTTCAGCAGCCGGCCGGGGGGGTTTCCACACGTCGCCATTGTGGTTTGATTTACCAAAAAATGAAAGCAGCAATGACTCCTCCAGCAAAAGGTGTGAAGAGACAGGCCACGCGATCCAAATTACATGAAATGGACGGCTTGACCCCCCGTCAGATGAGGAGAGGCACTTGCAAGTGTCTGCCCGCACCATAGCTGACATTGCGCGTCATGAAGTTCAAACAGGGTTGTCCAGCATGGATACCAGAGACCAGCCTGCAAAATGATGTCAAGATTCGAGTGGAGGGCATCGAGCAGCAATTGAGTTTTTCATGGGTTTGAGATGGCCGCTGATCCTTTGGGGATTTGTCAAGCAAGAAATCAAGATTGATGGCTGGTTGTGAGGGCAACCGACAAAGAAGATTCTTTACAATGCACATGGGCGGACACACGGGCAGATTGGACAAAACTTCAAGAAAGCTCCGAGTTGCAGGAACTTCTCGCGCGTTCCACCCTCAAAAACAAGCCAAGGGCCAGGGCAAGAGCAAGGGTCGACAGATCCAAATTTTCAGGAGAGCGATCGCATGAGGTGATTGCTTTAACCAAGAATGCCAGACTACACTCAACAGACAAGATATCAAACTTACTAGGCGAATTGGTGCAGATCAATGCTTGGGACGTTGTGTTGTTTTCCGAGACCAGACGATCCGGTGAGGCTGTTGATTTAGAAGGTGCCCACCGCTCATTTTTGTCTCAATGTCCGACTGCTTGTGCAGGTGTGGCAATACTTGAGCATTCAAAACATGTTGCAGCAGTTCAGCGAGTGCAAGCCGTAGATGAGCGTGTGATGTATATATGTGGATTTGAAAATCAATGGGCTCGTATTTCGCATGGTATCGGTTTACATGCCACATGCAGGATATCCGATGGAAGAAATGATGCAAACATATGATGCTCTACATTGCGTGCTAGAATGCGCGCGAAAACGGAACACAGCAGATGTTGTCGAAGGCGATTTCAACACTCAGCTGCACGTCGGTCAGCGCGCGGATTTGCTCACGTAGACAGCTCATATGTTCAGCATGGTCGTCACAAATGCAGAGCCTTCAGAACATGACAATTGGACGTTTTGCCAATGGGTGTACGGCGTCGTTTGGGTTTTGTGCTTTGTAATACTGGCTCTGACGTTACGCGTGGTGGAACAGCTGATTTGCTGGATTTGGGGTCTGATCATCGAGCGGTGCGTGCGGCCCTCGAAGTGACCGGGCCACGTAACCGCTAGGGACGCAAGCCCGTCACACGTAAGCAACGTTGGCTACCGTCTGTGGCAGAAAAGCAAAAAACAGTACAAAAAAACTTGGACGCCTGTCTTCAACAGCCGGCACCGGTCAACATGTATGAGCTTGAATCTTGCGTCGCAAGTTGCGCAAAGCTTACGAGTAAACAGCGTGCGCAGCATGATTTGGCGGATGTGAAGCCTTGGCACCATCATGATTTTCAAGATTTGATTACTCAACGTCGGCAGTGCAGGGATAGAGAAGGTCGTGCTCGACTTTCCACACACAGATACAGGCTCATCTTCGCAGGCATATGAGGGACAGAAGAAATCGCCGGTTGAGTGGCGTTCTGTCGGAATTTCGCTGCTTGAATCGGATTGAGGATTTCTACCATAACCCTTTCAAAGCACTTTAAACCACCAGGGATGGTCCATCGCCACATGAGTTTACAAAGTATTTGGAAGACATTTTCACGCCCGAGCGCATGGAAATTCAAGAGCCGCGTGTAGGTTCGCACTATGTCGTGCCACCATTCCACCTTCATGAGCTGAAACATGCGATCAAGAACTTACGCCATGGCAAGGCAGCAGATTCCTGCGGGTTGGCGCTGGAGATGTTTTCGTTCGCAAATGATAACCTGTTGACGTGCTTGTTGGTGGAGCAGTCATGGAAAACTACTGTTAACTCAAAACGGCCGACAAATCTTTGGTACAGAACTGGCGTCCGACTGCGGTCCTCAAAATCACGTACAAAATATTTTCCAAGCTACTCTTGGGACGCTTGGCTCCTCTGATGGAACCCACATTGTCACCCGACCAAATGGGCTTACAGGGGTGGAACATGCGCGAAGTCTGGTAGTGAACAACTTACCACCATGATCACATTCGTGAAGCGAGCTGCGCAAACCTGGCTTGCATTTGAACGCGGACAAAACCAAGATATTCACAACGTCGTCTTTCGAATCACCAATGTACATTGAAGTCGATGACGATTTGCTGGAAGTGTTGTTCGACGGCAAGACGCACAAATACCTGGGGCATCCAAAAATGCTACCAAAAGGGCAGCAGTCGAAGTCGCTCACCGTTCACAAGTGTCGGGGGAAGTTCATGTATTTCGATGCAGTGATTACTCCCACTGTGTTGTTCAGTTTGCACGCACTGAAATAGCCGTAGAAGTAGAAGTAGAAGTAGAAGTAGAAGTAGAAGTAGAAGTAGAAGTAGAAGTAGAAGTAGTACTACTAACATTATTGGTAGTCGCAGTCGTAGTCGTAGTCGTAGTAGTCGTAGTAGTTGTAGTAGTAGCAGTAGTAGTAATAGTAGTAGTAGGAATAGTAGTAGTAGTAGTAGTAATAATAGTAATAGTAGTAGTAGTAGTAGTAGTAGTAGTAGTAGTAGTAGTAGTAGTAGTAGTAGTAGTAGTAGTAGTAGTAGTAGTAGTAGTAGTAGTTAATCGTACGAGTACGAGTAGTAGTAGTAGTAATAGTAGTAGTAGTAGTAGTAGTAGTAGTAGTAGTAGTAGTAGTAGTAGTAGTAAAATAGTAATAGTAGTAGTAGTAGTAGTAGTAGTAGTAGTAGTAGTAGTAGAAGTAGTACTAATAGTAGTAGTAGCAAAGCGCGCCCCCAGGCGCCTGGTAGTTTGGTGCGTTTTGGTGCGTTTTTTGCTATTGGTGGGGGGGGGGGGGGGGGGGGGGGGGGGGGGGGGGGGGGGGGGGGGGGGGGGGGGGGGGGGGGGGGGGGGGGGGGGGGTGGTGCAAGGTTGTGGAACAAGACACGTTGTCACAAGCGTCCATGCCTTCTGCGACCATGCCCAAAACAAACACTGGTGTTTACGCCCAAAACACTGGTATTTACAGCATTTCCGCCGCTTTGTACAACATACTGCGGAAGGATGTGGAACAAGAAAAGCATTCACAAGCATCCTTGCCTTTGGCGACCACGCCCAAAACACTGGTATTTTTACAGTGTTTTTGTTTCTCTACGGGCTGCAGACTTGACCTTTAGAACAGGGACCGGCATACAGCAACACATCGCTTCCAAACCCTGAAACCTTCCTTTCCCTTGCCCGCGAGTATTTTTTTTTGGTTACCTTTTCGGCCTGTACCGGAAATGACGCAAAACAGCAACGTCCGGACGTTCAGCCGCAGCAAAACGACCAGGCGCCCTGAGGCGCGCTAGCCTAGTAGTAGTAGTAGTAGTAGTAGTAGTAGTAGTAGTAGTAGTAGTAGTAGTAGTAGTAGTAGTCGTCGTAGTAGTAGTAGTAGGAGTAGTAGTAGTAGGAGTAGTAGTAGTAGTACTACTACTAGTAGAGTAGTAGTAATAGGCGTCCCTACCAACTACTCAGCAGGATGCAAATATCCATGTTCCCACTGCGTGGCGGGGGGGGTAACTACGTTCCTGCCAAGGCTTCATGCCAAAGCTCCATCTCCTGTTTTTCACCCGAAGCGCCAAAGCTCCATCTCCTGTTTTTCACCAGAAGCTGAAACCTTCACGCCAATGCTAACAGCTAACATCCATGTTCCCAGTGCGGGGGGGGGGGAGGGGGGGGGAATTACGTTCCCCAGAAGCTGACACCTTCATTTTTGTTTCTGTCCGCTTCGGTCCCGATTGGTCTGTTGCATTCTTGAAACGCGGGGCCTGTGCTGGCGCACGGCACTGTGACCGAGCATAATGCACAAAAACGCTCACAGCCATAAGACTGCGCACACACTTTGAAAGTTCATGAACTGCGGCTTCAGCCACCACAACATGGGTCATGCTTCAATGTCAGACACAGAACAATCAAATTTCAGAGCATCAGCGGCTTGCAACCCAGTCATGCCTGGGGCTTGGCCGCGAGGGCACCTCACTCTGAGGATCCCCGCACAAAACGGCACCGCCTTCAGCGAGCACCATGTCTGGACTCAATCTCACGAGAGGATGGTGGAGGCTCTGGTTTTGAATTTCCCACCCTCCGCGGCGACCACAGCTTTCAGGACGAGCACGGCTTCTTGCCTTTTCACTCTGTTTGGTCGCTGCGGTCGCACCTCAAGAGCACTTTCTGACCCCTCGAACCATTGCGAGCTGGACCGACGACTCCATGGCTTCTTGAGGCCGCGGCTTGTGGCTGTCACTCACACACCCGCTTTAGTGTCGACAGTCATCTTTTCGAGCCGACTGAGATGT